GGGGACGCAAAGAATAGTTCTACTGCAGCTTACCATGCAAAGCAGTCAACTAAGGAGGTTTGGTATAAGACTGTCTGCCTCATCCAAAAAAAAAAAAAAATTCTGGGGGGGGGGGGGGGGGGAATGACTACCAATTCCAGGCAATCTTGAATAAGGTCTACAAAGAGTCTGGTTCAATATGACAAGGGCCAATGCTCTGCTTGGGGATGCAGATAAAAGAACTAATGTACCCAAATATTGGTAATTTTTGTATGGGGGGGGGGGGGGGAGGTGGACCTTTTCGTGTTTCCAGATAATAAGGTTACCCTGTGCTAGATGGCGGTATGGAAATCACAGATATGGTGAGGGTGAGTGTGATTAGAAAGTTCCCTACCCCCTCCCCGCATCAAGGGGGGAGCCAAGGTCATTGCTGCCTATACAGATATTCAACCTTGTCTCCTTTGTACACTTATAAATGAGTCATGAACCCATGAGAATTCCTCCCACACACAAAAAAAGAAAATACTTAACACAAAAAAATTCAGCAAGGTCACTACAGCAATGAGAAAACACAAGCCTTCCATAATTACAGCATGGAATATCAGGACCATTGTTACCAATACATTTACCATCTTTCTTCTCAGATGCTCAGCTCTCTCACTCTCTCCACATTTATTTTCTCCTTTATCTGTATTCCTTCATGCAACATGGTCAATAGCTCCCTCTACCCGTGAATCAACCACAATACCTGTATCATTCATGCCTCGCTTCGCACATCTTTATATTGTAGTAGAGGCTGACTTTTACATCTTCTACCTATCTGTAACTCATTATGGCCTTAAGGACTCTACAATCCTCGACGTGTGTTCTAACCATCTGAGCCTTCGAAGACTAACCACTGGGAAAGGAATGATGATGGTGATGATGATGATGACCATGCTAATGACAAAGTTTTTTTGTGTTTTTTTAACTGTTTCTCCTCTGAGACTGCATACTGAAAGACTGACACCCGATGACCGGAACTGCCATTCTTCCAATGCAAATCCAACATAAGCAAATCCTAGAAACCCGGTTCAACTGTAGAAAATTTATATTAGAGCACTCAATGGTTATGAAGTGACCTGTTGTCCTATGTAAGTGGGTCGATTTATTCTTAACTCTTCAGTCCCAGATCGTTTCACAGCAGAAGCTACAAACGACACAATAATCACTGCGGGAAAAAAGCATCAGACTTACTGTCAGAAGTGCAGCGAATACTTTGTTGCATTTAAAATATCTGGCTAAATTTCTTTAGCATTTACAGACCAAAAATGCACACACAAAAATGTGCTGCTTTGAATCACTTGGACAAGCTGACAGACAGGGTGTGTTGCCTGAGACAGAAAGAGTTAGTGAATGACAACTAAATTCAATTTGTTTGTATCCCACACAGTTATTTTACAAGTACATAAACATAAAAGTCTCAACACCACAGAAAACCAACCTGGATAATGCTGAGTCAACATAATGAGTGTAGGAAGGTCTCTTTCTGTGAGTGTACTAGTATATGTAATACAGCAAAAAGAAGAATAACAGGCACTGAATTTTCAAATCATGGTACCCCAAAAATGCAAATATCAACAAATCAGTAACTATAAACATGTAAGCTATAAACAGTACAGGCATACCCCAGTGCTTCAACATTAGACTAAAGACCTTATCATCAGAGGGAAAAAACACTGCGTTCTGAAACAGCACTGTATTTTTGTACCAAAACAATGGGTTCTGAAACAGTTGTTTTTTATGTATCAAAACATTGGGTTCCGGGGCCCTATTATAGGGATACAAGAATAGACCCACTGCCTACCCAAAAGCATGTCGTAAGAGTCAACTAATTGGGAGCTTCCTTCGAAGTCGGAGTGCATCTGCCTGAGAGGCAAGGAACCAACAATGTGCATACAAATTAGTCAGATCTGTCAAACACAACACTCAGGTTCTGGAACAGGACTGCAGTCCAGGAGTGGAAGAACAGCAAAACTTTCCACCGGAGTTTACAGCTGGTGAATGCAAAGAAGAAGAAAATATTGGGTTCTGAAACAGTGCTGTATTTATTTTATGTATCAAAGCACTGGATTCTGAAACATTCTGATGTCATAGTCTTCGTCTGCAGTGTGCTGTAACACTCTTGACACTCTTATTAAGAATACTGACATTTAAGAAGCAAGGTTATTGTAAAATATATTTCTGGTTTCTCAGCAGAATACAAACACATTTAGTGGAACTGCTGCAGTAATTATTCAGTAAAGTGTGGTAGACCAAAGTTATTTGAGCAGACTGGAAAGAAGAACATCTAGTGAAACTATCTCCCAAAAAAATAGTCCAGAAGTGGATGAACAATCAGAACTTTCCACCAGAGTTTACAGCTGGTGAACGCTAAGAAGAAGACAATGGATTTGTAGACTATGAAAAAGTCCTTGACAGCACTGATAAGCAATCTCTCTGCAAACTGATGATGCACTTTGGAATTTTATAGAAAGTTATCAACTTAGTAAAAGCAATATACAAAGACATGAAATGTTGAGTTCTTCATGAGGTAAAACTTATGCATACATCTTAAATAGGTTGTACAAAAGGGAGGTCTTTTGTCCCCTCTACTATTTTTACAGCAGACTGGATTATAAATAAAGACAGCAACTGCAATTCAGTGGACCCCAACAAAAAAGCCCGATAACCTGGACTTTGGTGACTTATTTCTCTTCTCTCACACTGACAGAATCAGGTGCAAGATAAACATATTTAATATGAGATCACAACAGTCAGGTCTAAAAATCCATAAGGGGAAAAAAGACAATGAGAATAAACTAGGCAAAGAGTAACCAGATTTCGCTTAATGGAATCCCATGCCAAGATGTGGAGTCATACATCTATTTGGGCAGTAATGTAGATAACGATGGGGGAAGTGATAGAGATATACAAATACAAAAGGCTAGAGGAGTTTTCATAGCACTGAGAAATTTGTTGAAGTCAAAGGAGATTTAAAACTAATAATAAATTAAAATTTTTTTTAAGTATAATGTCAAATCAATATTGCTGTATGGAGCGGAAACATTGAGAACAACTAAAAAAATTATTTATAAACTCCAAATATTTGTTAAATGCTGTCTGCGTAAAATAGTAGGAATTAAATAGTAGGACAGAATCACTAATGTTGAACTCTGGGAAATAACTAACAAATTCTAGTGAATCAAGAGGTGAACAAAAGACGCTGGCGTTGGATAGGACATGAGCTGAGAAAATCAGAGAACAATATAATAAATATGTCTTTGAACTGGAACCCAGAGGTGAAGAGAAGTAAAGGCAGACCAAAAAAACACAGGGAGAAAGAAGCTAGAGAGTAAAGTTTAAAAAATCGGGAGTACATGGGGCGAGCTGCATGCAACAGCGAAAGATAAGACGACTTTGAGTGAGTTGGTTGAGAGCCTATGCTCCATTGGGGGATAAAAGTCAGAAGAAGAATGTATGGACACAAAGAAAAAGACAGGGTTTTCTGTGAAGTGAGTTACTGTTTATTTACATTATAAGCCTAAAGATGTGTAAAATAATTTCAACAAACAAGCCAACACTTTATTTCCTAGTCATGTGACAGGCCAAATTTCTTACTTATGAACAGAAAACACAAGACGTTTTTAAAATAAACATTGTTACATCTGTAAAGGTGTTTTTTATAACTGGCAAATAAGGGCTACTAAAAACAGTTGCAATGATGAAGCAGTGATTAACAAACTGCTCAAGGTTACTACAATTGTCTACGTAAATAACTTATGTACATAAAGCATTATTATATGAAACTGAAACAAATACTTCTCCCTCTCATTGTGGTGTAGGTTATCACGTCTCTATATCTTTGTCTTATGTACTGACAGTTTATTTCTCATACAGATGTTTATCTACACCATGATGCCAAACTAACATCATCTCTTTTGATCTCCCCTTGTTTCTCTTTCCCTCCAACTTTCCTGTTATCGAGATGCACTTGTTTTCCTTTTCTCGTGACACGTTTTAACCCCTTCACCCCAAGAAAGCATTAAACAGATATTTCCAGTTGGTACCATTTCTCCTTAACAGCCACTTTCCCGACTCACTATGGAAACATATTCATGAGATGTCCAGCTAACATAATTCACTGCATCTCCGTCTGCTCAGAGTGTATAACTAAATTCAATAAAAAATATCATTAAGAGAGGTTACCTTTAAAAAAGTGGCTATATTTGTAGAAATTTCCAGTCATAGTTTTACCATTGGCTACAGTGTTAAACAGTACAGGGTCACGTTAGTGTCATGCTATAATCAGTTTACAGTCCATAAAAGATGTAAGCCAGTTCATTCTATGCTGTGTTCGTTTTTATTTATTACTCCACTAACTCTGATTAGTAGTTGCTAAACTAATTTTGTGCGATTTTGGGTGAAGTGTAAAATGGTAATTTACTAAGGAAATTTTATTCCTCCAAGAATATTCAAAAAATTAAAATTCTGGAAACTTGGCTTAGTTTTTTTTCCCCAGGTCACTGGGGCAGAAGGGTTAGGAACATAGATAGTCTTCTAATGAGGCAGGTATTCAGTGATTTAATTATGATTTCATTTCTTCCAATACATCTCAATTGTGCTGTTTATCTGTCCACGATGTTCTTCTATAAAACTATATCTCTGCAGCTTCCACACAATTTCTTACTAATCTGTTGTCTGCCTATGATTCCCTTATGTACACCAGGATTGTTTCTGTACAGCTCTTCAGAACTTTCTTACTTACCATGCACATGTAATATACCCACAATGCAGTTTTCAAATTAACATATTAAATAAATAGTGTCAACCGAGTCCAACAAAACCTGAATGTTGCATGACACAAACTGTCATGTCAGCGAGTCAGCAATACTTTAGAGTAATGTCACTATCAAAAACTGTCGGGTGATATGGGTGGAAACCACAATGTCAGAAGGTGGGGTATGCCTGCACACATAAATATGCAACAATAGGTCACTGTTTCATATAGTCATCACAGAGCCTAGCTGGTCCTTATCAAGATGAGAACTGTTCATCTGTATACGTTTTTCTCTCAAAGCCTGAAAAAGACAAAACAGATCAATGAAATCACATAGTGGATAGAGACTGATTAGACTACTGACTGGTTCAGAATTCTCTGGAAGACTGTTTTAACTTTAAATTCTCTAGAAAAGTTTAAATTTAAAATTATCTGGAAACAGCTTAAAATAAAATAAAAATCCTCTACAAGGCTGAGTTATACCTCTAAATCCTCTTTAAGACTGAGTTATAATTCTAAATCCTCTTTAAGACTGAGTTATAATTCTAAATCAACTTCAAGACTGAGTTATAATTCTAAATCAACTTCAAGACTGAGTTATAATTCTAAATCCTCTACAAGACTGAATTATAATAATAAATCCTCTACAAGACTGAGTTATAATTCTAAATCCTCTACAAGACTGAATTATAATTCTAAATCCTCTACAAGAGTGAATTATAACTCTAAATCCTCTACAAGACTGAGTTATAATTCTAAATCCTCTACAAGACTGAATTATAATTCTAAATCCTCTACAAGACTGAGTTATAATTCTAAATTCTCTACAAGATTGTTATAATTCTAAATCCTCTATAAAACAGCTATAATTCTAAATCCTCTATAAAACTGAGCTATAATTCTAAATCCTCTAAAAAACTGAGCTATAATTTTAAATCCTCTATAAGACTGAGTTATAATTCTAAATCCTCTACAAGATTGAGTTATAATTCTAAATCATCTGGAAGACTGTTTACCTCTAAATCCAGTAAAAGATAAAACCCTGAGTTTACTTCTAAATTCCTTTTAAAAACTGAGTTATAATTTTAAATCCTCTATAAGATTGAATTCTAACTTCAAATTCTCTGGAAGACTTTCATTTGTTATCCTATTACCCTCGCCATTCCACTCCTTTTCTCTCAAACTCTCCTCTAACCACTCATCCTTTCTTCTCTCGTACTCGTTCATCTTCTACTATTTTTCTGCTCTCCTCTACTCTTTTTCTATCCTACTCTATCCCGACAACCTCATATTTTCCACCCTACCATACAGACTTCCAAGCCAACCTGACCCAAATGTGTGGGTGTTCCACATATATAACTCACCTCAGGTATAAACCTCAGCCAGGCCTCATAGTACCCAGGACACATCCAAGTATCGTTATGTGTGCCATTGGCAAACAACTCCAGTCTTTTAACATTACTTTTACACTTCTGTAAATATTTTTTTTTAATTTAATCATCAAAAACATGTAAATTCATAATATTTATGAAATAACTTGACTGTTGCTAGCTATCGATCGATCGATCAATTAGTTCCTACCTGAAGGTTTACAACAAATCTGACAGACCAACAAGGCGGACATCAGAAACTCAATTCTTCTTCTTCTTCTTCACGTTCACCAGCTGTTAACTCTGGCAAACCGCTTTGGTTGTTTATCCACTTCTAGATTTAAGTCTTGTTCCAGAAGTTGAGTTTGGCATGCACATCTGTTTTACAGATCCGGCTTATTTCTAAGCAGACTGTTGATTCCTCACCTCTCAGGCAGATGCACTCTGACTTTAAAGTGTTAACCCTGAATTAATTTACTTTTACGACATGCCTGTGGGAGGGAAGCAGAGGGTCGATTATGTCCACAAAATAGGGCCCCGGAACGCACACGTGAAGACATGCAGTTTAATCTTTAAAGAAGTTGCAAATAATTAGGGTACCTGTAACGACTACACCAGCTCAGTGTAAACTGCCGTTCTGCCTGGATAAGGATGTCTTGACTCTTGCAGAGTATGACCTCTCACAGTCCTTGCTGTGTGGTGTTAATCACCACGCCTGTCCACTGCCTTCCGTCACAAGCAACTACCTATAATTTCTGACAGATGTTCTTCCAAGCTTTTCTGATAGAGATGTTCTTCCAAGCTTTTCTGATAGAGATGTTCTTCCAAGATTTTCTGATAGAGACTTTCTTCCAAGCTTTTCTGACAGAAATGTTCTTCCAAGCTTTTGTGACAGAGATGTTCTTCCAAGCTTTTCTGATTTAGATGTTCTTCCAAGCTTTTCTGACAGAGATGTTCTTCCAAGCTTTTCTCATAGAGATGTTCTTCCAAGCTTTGCTGATAGAGATGTTCTTCCAAGCTTTTCAATGGCACGCAGTAGCGGGACCTTCTTTTCAGGCTTAACTTATTCAGTGCTACTATAACAGACACTTTGTGGTGAGCATTGGGCACTTTTTTTAAGACTTCTTGTAGTAAGTACCATAATCTTTTTTTTTATAGAAAAAAAAAGCTCTGTAACCAAGCTATGATGAAATGCAAAACTGTTAAACAACTCTTTCTCTCTCTTTCTCTGTCACTCCTTCTCTTTAATTTTCCCACTATCATTACATTCTCCATTTGTCCCCTTTTCATGATATATTAATCATATATGTTATTTGTATCCAGGCATTTTCCCATCAGCCATCTATAAAACCACACCTCTTTGGCTTCCAGATAATTTTCACTAATCTGCTGACTGTCCATGATATTTTTACATACATCAGGATATGATGAAATAATATGAAATGAATATTTCGGTTTTTTTTGTTTTATTTCCTTTGACTTCTTCTGTGTTCAGTCTGGTCCGGGCAGCATCTACTGGCAGCCGGTCAAAAGAGAAGCTCTGACACGTAGACAAATAGATCACTGCTCTTCTGATCTGCAGAATGCTTTGTTCCAAATGTACTGGTGACATCTTTCCTCTGGAGTAAACAAGACAGGCAGAGAGATGGATAATGATGCATGTGCATCACACGATCTCTACTACACTGCCCCGGCTGTGTGTTACGGGGAGGAGGAATTTCCTCCATGGCCATAATTGGCCTCGGAAATAAATCAAGAGGCAGCAGTTATTATAAGTCCTTGTCAAATGGCGACTTGGCATTAAGTAGCAAGTCAAAATCACAAACACTGCAGTATTATAAACAGCAGGTATAACAACAGTTTTCTCAATACTTAGTTTCCGAAGGCTCAGGTGGCTGGGTCACACCTGGAGAATTAAAGATGATAGAGTCCCTAAGAACACCCTCTATGGTGAATTACAGATTTGTAGAAGAGGTCGAGGTCAACCTCTGCTATGATAAAAAGATGTGGGCAAGCGGGACATGAATGATACAGGTACTGAGATAGACTTGTGGCAACAGAATACCATGGATCTTGTTGAGCAGACTGGGAAAATCAGGAAGGGAATGGGAATAAAGGAAAACATGATGGCAGATAGGTTGAGAACTTAGCAAAAACACACTGAATACTTGTGATGGTAACAACAGTCTTGAAATCCTCAGCTCTAATAGTGGAAGACTTTTCCTGACCTGGTTGGGTCTTGTTAGTCACACTCGTCATCGACTGGGATTTCCAAGCTTACCCATACCATAATATATCATCTGATGGAAAAACGCCAAAAATGAGATGCTTGTTAAGAGGCCGCAGGTCTATTCTTTTTCCCCCCAAAATGGGGTTTCTGGAATCAACATGGGGAATGTAGATACCTCTGGCCATAGAAAACAAACAACAGAAACAATCTATGAAATCCTACACTTCAGAATAAATATTCAATGGTCTCCACAACAAAGTGGTTATGCCATTTGTCTCACACTTAGTTGACTAATTTAGGTGCTTTCTTCAAAGTCGGAGTGCATATACCAGAGCGGCAAGGAACAACCAACTGCACATAAATAAGCCAGTAAAACAGATGTAGATACAAAACTCAGACCCTGGAACAAAGCCAAAGAACAAAAGGATGACCAACCAGGACTTTCCACCTGAGCTTACAGCTGGTGAAAAAAAAATTGTCATTTGGCTCAGGAGTGCAGTCTTAACACAGATCCCTTGAAGTTATGGATTTGTCCTTTATGCGATGCTCACAGCAAGCATCTAGTTGTTCGACTGAGAGAAACCAAGCTTTGTGAGATAAACACTCAGGTTCTGGAGCAGGACTGCAGTTCAGAAGTGGACGAACAACCAGAACTTTCCGCCAGAGTTTACAGCTGGTGAACGCAAAGAAGAAGAAGAAGAAAACCCTGGAGTAATGAAGTTGCTCCTCTTGAATTTAATCTTTCAACAATAAATGTTAGAAACCTGAAAATAAACAGTAAAACTAAAAAAAAAAAAACAATAATAAATTTGTTAAACACACTACTTCGTCAGATTTTCCGGCTGTAACTATCTTGGTCAAGGACAGCAAAAACAGGACTGATAACAAGCTATATATTAACCGATAGATGCAAAAAATGGCAGCAAAAGTGTACATTCAGAAGAACAATGCAAAGGATATCCCAGAATGACAGAAAAACAAATGATGCAATCTCCAACTGGAAAGATGGAAGCCATAAACCAAACTGAAAAATTAGACATACAGTCGTGTGTGTGTGTTTTTAAGTACATTATGAGAAGGAATAAACACAAACACTTGGTGACAACAAATAAACTTGATGGAAAATACACAAAAGGATGGCTTCAGCAGGACAAAAACACAGACCTGATCCATGATTCTGGTGATCATGTGATATGGTGAGCCATGAATGCCTATGCTCATTGGTTCCAGAGAAGACATTATTAGTGATTATGTCATACCATTTAATGTCTTCTATTATGCACACGCAACAATTAATGAATGTTTAAGAGACAACTAAAAACACAACAATTAACATAACCATGCAAAGGATAGACAAATTATTTTAACCAATAAACATTTTAAAACAGAAAAAAATTGACAAGGAAACCAAAAATCACAATGATAAGTCTGTTCCATTTCTCAACACCAACCTGCCAGTTACCAGTTGGCAAAACCGTTTCTTACATTATAGAGTTCTTTCATCATCTTAGCTGGCACAAGTTCATCCATGGTCCCACTCAGAAATAAGGTTGGTATAGTAATATTCTCTATCCTCTGTATTGAAGGAAACTGAAATTCAAACAATCATACGACATCAGCAAAAATATGTCCAGTTATATTTCTAACTAAAATTTTTAACAATAATCCACATTCACAAGTCAATCCAACATTTGGGAAACATATAAATTGTGTAAAAAAGCTGCCCGGGGGAGATAGAACATTTAAGAGTTCAGGAAGCATTAATAATGAACTACAAAAAAGAAGAACAATTTATATTCGACTATAATTTTTTTTTTAACATAACTCATTCATAATATCAAGGAAGGCAACACTTTAGTTTCATTAATTAAATTATACAATCTTTCATTATCTTGAGATTTGAGAGGCAGCTAAATAATTTAATTAATTTACTTGTTAACTCTTTTATTATCTGGGGACCAGAGGTACATAACACATTAATTTTATTAATGTCCTTGTTATCACCTAAGGATAAAAGGGAGGCAACAAATTATTTAATTAATTTATTAACTCATTCGTGATAGTGGTACGGGAGAGAGACGGATATTTCATTTAATTATTTCCCTAAACTCATCAATGCCCTCGAGCATGTCAACATACTCTCTCATTTCCTCGTCAACCTTGTTATCACCTACTTTGTTCTTATAGCACCATCGTGGTATATACTTGATGAAAGTCAGTCGGAATATCTTAAGGCTCATCTCATGAAGCGATGTAAACGTGTTCTCCAGTACTAGGGCAGCCAGCCTGGGCCCATAGACAGGTGAGGATGCCAAGTGAATTGCCACTGCTCCGCCTAGTGAACGACCAAACACCACAATCTGAGACTGGTCTATATCTGATCTCTGTGATAGAAAGTCCATTGCAGCTTCTGCATCTTGGTAGAGACCTACGAATGTGAAAGAAATTTGTGATTAAATCAGGCTTTGTACATAAAGAAGAGATGATGACAAGCAAAATACTGTTATTTTATATGAAGAAAGAACATTTTAAGAAGTAAGTCGCTGCTACTGAAGGCCAGAACAGAGTATTTGTGCATGTTACAGTGGTGGCCAAAAGTTTAAGACCACCTAGTAAAAAAAAGGCTTTCTCTATACTGTTACATAATATTGCACCCAGTGCTATTTCTGAGCCCATTAAAGGCAATCACTACAGCCATCATTCTACCCTTTAAAAAAAACACATCTACTTCAATCCTCCACAACAGCATGGAAACAACAATTATTTACTAGGTGGTATTAAACTTTTAGCCCCCAATGTACACAGAACTAGTAAATCTATTGTTGTGAATTCTAGACTTTTAGTAAACATGCAACAATCAGAACTGTGACTCTATTGACAAATGCTCAAAATTCCTTAAACAGTCAAAGTGAGTAATCTAAATGTTCTGACAGAGGCTAAGACACAAAGAAAAATTTCACAAACATCAGAAGAGACAGCATTCATTGTTTTGAGGAGAAAAAAAAAGAGGAACATGTTATGACTGGGAAAGTATATGAGAATTAAAGGTTAGTAGCGTATCCTTTACAGGACGTTGCAGAACCAACCCCAACAGCCCCTGGCTGATGTGTGGTTTTTCTAGGCAAATTTACGTCCAGTAGTTTGCCATTGCTTTCTGGACGGTCGGCTTTCTTGATACCACTGTCGAAACCAACGCAAGGCGCATGGCCCCCAGGTGGGATCGAATCCGGCATTGCGGCATTACGAAGCGTTCGCATTGACTTAGCCACAGAGCCGACATATGAGAATAGAAATGTTATATTAAGGAAATAAACATAAGCATCCCAGGGCTTATAGAGCCAGTCCTTTGCTGACTAACTAACTAGACTCCTCACAAGTTTGGTGTGCCTCTAATACATTACAGTGCTGATTTTTACTCCCAGTTCTCACATTCTTGACAGTGATGTTGTTACACAGCCCCAAAATCCTCCAATCTGAACACAAATCACAACTGCAGAACCTCAAAAATATCTGCACTCTCAAACCACAAAAGAGCCCAAAACTGATCTGAATTGATTCAAGAACCGACATCACAGCACTTGGGGCATTCCCATAAGCGCTCCGTCCCCATCTTCAGCAGCCAGCGAAGAGTTCCGATACAAATGGTGCCAGTAGCATTCTGATTAAACATCCGTCTTGCCTTTCCTCTGAGCCTCGACCATCTGCCAGAACCTCTCGTCCCTCCCCGCTGCATCAATCTCACCAGACTGTGGTGATCCATCTGCTCCTACGAACTGTACACGCTCTCCCACAAGGCACTAACCACGTCTGCCTTATCATGTATCAGTATTCCATCAAGTTGTGCAGAGTCAGCCAGTCTGTCCGCCTGTTCATTCCCCAACACACCGACATACCCCGGAGACAAAATCCAGACAATACTCCTCACTCGTGTCCTTCGCAGCGAAGCATGCCACTCTGCACGAAGCATACCTGTTATGATCTTCCTCAGCATGCTTTCTGAATCAGTTACAATCACAATGTGTGTGTGTGTGTGTGTCGTGTTCTCTAGCCAGCGGTAAGCTGCAGTGACCGCCTCCACCTCCATTCATAAGCTGGATGTTGTGGTATCATATGCTAGGCTCTCCTGCACCAAACGTCGACCATTAACTTTTGCTAAGAAGCCCCAAGCATTTCTTTTGCCTCTTGACACTGAACCGTCTGTGTAAATGATCAAATCCTCTGAGAGAGCATTATCTTGAATTAATTGCTGAATTTTCACCTCTGTGGTACCAGCGTGATTATGACTCTACACAAGTCTGACTGTTCAGGTGGCACTTTGACCCACTCTTCTCCTCGCCTAATGTTCTCAAGGATGCAAATCTGTCTGATTGTGTCTTCTGCCTGAGCCTTCCATGACCTCCCTCTTATCAGCCGCTGACCCTTAACTGCACCCAGAGCTTCATGCAGAGGTGGTCTGTGTCTGCAGCTACCCTGAGATATGACTTCACCTGCAGCACCTTGTGCCTACCTGCAATCATCGGCAAACCAAGGATGTATCGCATACACACCACTGGGGTGTGTCTGGTGCAACCCAGAATGACCCGCATAGCCGCGTTCTGCATGCACTCTAATTTATCCATCTGACTCTTTGAGACGGTAAGCAGTCCCAGGCCATAATCAACCACTGACAGGATCAGGTGCTGATATAGTGTGAACAGCATTCTCTGCTCTATGTCAATTGCAGCCATAGTCTTAAGTGCACTCAGTCCTTTTTGGCATCTCGTCACAACACTCCCCACATGGTCCTCAAATGACAGGCTCCTGTCAAATGTAATTTCCAGATACTTTAGTTTGCTCTCTTTGTTGACGTTTCTACCATCTATCGAGAGACCTGGGACATTAGCTTTAACGATTCTGTTGTCCAGAGAACACCACAAAACAGATGCCTTTTCCGGGTGGACGACAGCCCTAATTTCTGTACACCACTCAGTCACTTTGTCTACTGTCGCTTGTAGCTCCCGGGCTGTTTGTTCCCTCTCTTCCCCCTGCCTAAATGCAAGTATATCATCCGCAAAAGTCAGTATTCTTCCAACTCCTGGTGCTTCAAGGCTTGCAATCTTGCTCGTATACACGTTAAAGAGAGAGCACAGGCGAGATGGCGGATCCCTGTGTCAGTCCTGGGGCCAAAGTGCATGGTTCTGAGGTCCATGAGCCCACTCGGAGAGCAACCAGACGTGAATACAGGACAGTTGCAACCCAATTCACCAGCCATGGACTGACCCCCTTCTCCCTCAGTGCAGTCATTAAGATGTTGTATCTCACTCTGTTATAAGCATCCTCGAGATCCAGTCCTACCGCCATAGTTTCCTGTCTGTTCTGGAACCCTTCATAGACGTCAAAAGCAAAAGTGACCGCATTTGCCCAAGTGTCCTTTCCTAGCCTGTAGCTTCCCAGACCTCTTGGGAGAAGCTTCCCCCTTTCCAAAAATTCTTGCAGCTTTACAATTATTGCAACTATCTTCTCCAAGACCTTCCCAAATGTGTTTTGTAAGGTGATGATTCTAAAGCCACTAAGCTTAGAATGATCTTTAAAAGGTTTTGGTAGTGGGATTAGATAGCTGTGCACCCAGTCTTGCGGTACTGATGCTGTCTTAATACTTTGGTTAAAACAGTCGGCCATCTCTGCCAGGTCTACATCGCTCAAAGCCTTCATGTGACCATACCTGATACCATCAGGTCCTGGTGCAGTGTCTTTTGCTTTTTTTTCAAAATTTGTTTGATATCTTCAACTTGTATCATGACTTCATAATGCATATTCTTCAAGGTGCCAGCCAATTCCTTTCTAACTGCCTCCCTGATGTCTACATCCTTATGATCTGTCTGAGCTATAAACCTATGGAGAAAAGCCTCCCCTTTCTCCTTGTCTGTTTTCAGACGCACACCATCGTCCCTACAAATTGTTCCGACTGTCATAGGCCAATCTTTTCTTTGCATCTGCCTTTGCAGTTTCCAGAATTTTCCCAATTTTTTATCGCCTCCCATATTCACAAAAGTTTCCCACTTTGCTCTTTTGGCCTCTACAGCACAGTGCTTGAAAACCTCCACCTTATCTTTTTTCACATTCTCCGCAATCTCCACTTCCTCTCGTGAACTTGAGGATGTCTGTCGTACTTTCTTTAGCTACTTCACTGCAGCTCTCCTTGCCTTCCACGCCTGTTCTACTTCTGGAGTCCACCATAGGGCTGTAGAAAATTAGTTCTGGCAGTTCTGTTTCATGCTCCCTCTCTGAGGCGTCCAAGTAGGTTGTTGGTCCACGTATACCGGAAGGTCTTGCATGCTCTCCCAACCTTAACCTTACTGCGTTTAGAAATCAAGGCTGAACATATTGGGTGATCACTCCCATGGTCATTCAGGACAGTCCATTTAACATCTAAAACCGACGACTGAGAGACAAATGTCAAGTCAATAGCTGTGTCTGCATCTCCAGGCCTCACTGCCATTCTAGTCGGCCTCCCATCATTGATGCAGACCATATCAGAGTCAACCATGGCCTCTGCAAGAGCAATTCCCTGTTGGTTTTCTCCACTGCTGTCCCATTCTCTGTTCCTCTCATTGAAATCCCCACATATGAGTAACCTATCACCTGGTAACTCCTCCAATTCCTTGAGCCAGCTCCATTGTTCACTTCTGACAAAACAGTCTACTGTGGCATATATATTTATGAGGTTCCAACTTGAGCCACCAATCTCCACCTGTATCTCTTGAACCTCTCTTCCACTGTGGTTCCATTGGCTCAAGTCAAGCACCACATGCTTTACTCCCTCCTTCACCACCAGACCTTGTCCATGTCTCTCCTGTCCAACAGGGTTTATATAACTGACGTACCCAGGGCAATGATATCTGTCTGTATTTATTTAGCTCCTGGAGCATGATGACATCAAAATCAAAAATCAACCTCTCCAGTACAGGACCTCTCAGCCTAGCACTCCGACAGTTCCAGTATCCTCCTCTTACATGATTACAGCTCAATCTCTCTGCTTTTCGTCTTGTTCTCCCAGCACCTGCCCTCCTATTCCTATGCCTTTTTCTCTCCACATTCCCTCGTCGTCTCCTCCTCACTCCCTCTTCACTAACTGCTGAATAAAGTGTCAAGCGCAGAGCACATGCCCTGTAGCTCTGGCGACGATTCCTATGTATATTTTTAAAATCCATACGAAAAAATAGAGTGCTGCAGGAAATGACCGGTCACCCTAGTATTGCCTGCCTGCTAGGAAAGGGGCAAAAGATGTTCCGTTGGAGTCCATACGCCTGGTGCCGCCAGACGTCCAACGTTCATGACCAGCTCACCCGTGGCCATCCAGTTCCTCAGCACGTTGGCCCACCTTGAACTTGGGGGTTTAAATTCAGATCTTTTAGTGTATGTACAGAAGGTACAACAAACGGCGACCAGGACAAGATGATGTTGATGAAGTCTCCGCTACCCGAGACACAGGCAATGATGACCCAGGTTCCACAGATTCCACAGCGTTGTAAAATGTAGGCGTCCCAACACTGTTGACATATCCCCCACTGATGTCAACACAGAGGCCGTAAACAGCTGTCAGAGCGATGACTGTTGGGACCATCAAGCCGAGACACAGCTACATCCCATCTCATTTTGACCCTGCATCTAGTGACTGACAGACAGTAGCCAGCCGAGACGCCCACAGTGTAAGTTCCGATGTGGCCCCAAGGATTGATGTATTAGTCTTGGAGCCAAAAAGATATGTTCCCAAGTTATTGTTTGCAGTATTTTCACTGACTAAGGTGGCTGGCCACTGATTCTGGGTCGAAACAACACCAATCGTGACCCAACTGGTAAGCAGGAAACACACACAGACAGTCTCACCGATAATACCATTAAAGTAAAATGGGATGATTATCAAAGGGCACACAAGAAAAAACTGCATATTACTGGCCAGGCATCATTTATGACCTATACACATTTTCTCAGAAAAAAGAAAAAACATGATAATTTAAAATATCCAAAACAGTACCAGATTCACTAGCACTGCCTTCACTCTTCCCATAGCCTCTGTACTCCACCATTAGAACATTTGCATTCAGAACCGAGAACAAACCAAGAGCATTTTGTAACCTGAAATAAGTCAACAAATATCTGTTTATTAATGGTAAACATATCCTTCTGCTTCTTCTGCCTTGTATCTCCCAAACGGAGCACATGCCATCAACAATTATGTAGACTTGTTTATCTTCTTCTTCTTCTTTAATCCTTCTGTCAGAAAACATATCAAGAGACTGGTGGCCTTTATGAAAGCTATTGTGCAGTCCATATCCTCTCATGTACCATACAGTGTTGTCTTCATTTTGGTTGGAACAGGCCAGATTGAGCCTCTGCTGTAAGCATACAGTTGATAGTGTTGGAGCACATAACTTGCTTATGATTAGCTCGATTTAGTAGCTAGATGGTCTTAAGGAATGAGACAGCGAATCTTTAGCCAGCCATCCTTAGATGTTTCTTACAACACGTGAGGTTAGTGTTACTATTCTTTGCTTCCCTTATAGATTTGAGAATCACAAGGGTGATATTTAACCTCTTCAGTCACAGACAGCTGTTACCATAACTTGTTTTGTCCAAATTAACTTAAACACATAAATGTTGGGTCTAAGGAAATATAATAATAAACATACTGGACAAAAAGAGGTGAAGAAACATGGATAGATATATAAATTAGGGCTGTACCGAATAGTGATTTTCACTAATTGGCAGAATACGAATAGCAGGACCAACTATTCGGCTGAATACAAATACAAATAGTGTATCATCATTATCAGGTGCCTCGCCGACTGGCATGGGGGAATATGCCTCACCACAATCTGCGATCTCCTGTAGCATGTATCAGTTCGTGTGGCGACACACCTCCATGCCATGCAACAAAACTGTCAAGAATCTTCTCTCGTTGTCTTCCTCTATCCCTCTTTCCATAGATCTTTCCAGTGGTCACCACATGTTCCATTTTCCCTCTTCTCATAACATGGCCAAAAAATGATGACTGTCTTCTTCTGATGTCTCTGATTAGTTGTCTTTGGGCTCCGGCACTTTCAAAACCTCTTGGTTGCTTTTTATGGCTGCCCAGGGTATTTTAAGCATTGTTCTGTAAAACCACATCTCTGAGGCCTCAAGAAATTGTTTGGCCTGCCTACCGATTGTCCAGGACTCACAACACATTGCCTTTAAATATAAGTGCTTACTTGACGAGGCTAACAGTGACTAATGTACAGACCACATTTTCCACTTTAAAATGTCAGCCAAAATGTTATCACAACCTTACTTATCCGCTGCACCTTCACGAATACAGATGGAGGATCGGTCGCACCTCCAGATAAATACAAAGACAATTTTTAGCACGCTGCGTTTGGCATTTTATGCAGTATGATACACTTTAAGTGTGAAACAAGGAATAAAAACACTTTTCGACAGTGGAGAGGAAAGACAATTTAAATTTTAACTTTTAAGTATCTTCCTGCCTTCTTTAATAATGTCCCAATTTATAGCTGACTTTTTTTTATTTTCGCTGCGGCACCCCTGGCATACGCACTCAGTTTGAGATCCTCTGCTGTAATGCCTCGGTCGAGTCAGCAGGCAAAGACCTTGCCAGCTACTGTACCACGCAATCGGGTCGCAGTTTTCCCCGCTACAACAGACTTAGGCAACAGCAACTATTGTGTTAATGAAAGAGTTATTTCAGTCCATCGCAGTGTATGCAAAACGGGTGTAAGGTAACCACTATTCATAGTTATTATGTCCACTATTCAGCCCCGAAGTGAATATGAAGCGAATATTAGGTACAGCCCTAATATAGATGTGAGAACTAAATGGGACACACAGTTTTAAAGTTAAAATCAACAGGACCGAATTCATTGCACCAGGTTGTATCCTATATTGCCCAGTCTCTCTCTCAGCAGAATTGTTAGCTGCCTGTCAAGTGTCACACAAAGCATGAATATTGTAGCTCCAGTGACGATCCCCAGGGCCGCCATAAAAATGTGTGCAAGGCAAATGGCTTAAACACTTCACTACAGAGTCACATGCTTTTTTAGGAAAATACGTCATAAATGGAATTACCCATAAACGCACAAGAAGCTTGTGTCAATGAATGATGAATCGACATCACAGCACTCGGGACACCCCCATAAGTGCTCCATTCCCATCTTCAGCAGCAAGTGAAGAGTTTTAATTCCAATGGCACCAGTAATTGTCTGACTGTATATATATTTCACTTGAAATTTCCCTTGAGTGTCGGCCTGATCCTCTGTTAACTCTATGCAGCGCCATTCTCCTCAGACCGTAATGATCTATTTGTGTCTCCGCACTGTTCACTTGCTCTCAAAGGGCCCTCACAACATCTAGCTTGTCATATATTAATTCACCCCCAATTGGTGCAGAATTGGCCAGCCTATCTGCCTGCTAATTTCCCAACACACTGGCATGACCTGGAGAAAAAAACAAAAAGGACGCTAACTACCTGGGACCTCTGAAGAGATGCTTGCCACTCTGCACGGAGCATGCCTGTCTACACATGCTCTATGAGTCAGTTACAATTACAACATGTGTGTACAGTTGATTCTCAAACCAGCGGAAAGCGCAGTGAATGCAGCTTTGTGCCGAATGAGTCAAGTTACCCAATACACAATACACCAAAAGGAGTGGGCAGGGATCCTTTAGATTCATTGTATTCATTACGGGCTGCAGGAAACAAAAGTACCTGGAACACCTGTTCATTGTGCAGCCTACCACAGTCTGGTTAACATTCCAAGTATCTTTCCTCTCCACAAATGTGAAATTCCAGTAGTCTTATAACTCTGTTAGTTTTCTTGCAGGAGAGTAAGGAGAGTTCGGAAAGAGCCACCTCCCGTCTATCATTCCCAGAGATGGCGTTTTGGTATCAAATTAGTAGGAAAGTTTCTACATCAACAAAATGATAGATGCAAACCTTTTCAGCATGAAAACTAGCTGACTGACATGGGATGGGCTCTCTCTCTACTCCTGCACAGCCTAAATGTTTAACACAATTTTATTTAGTGTTATTTTCATGTAACTTTACCTTAACATAACCTCTTGACTACTCTGTCCCCCGGGATCACTTTTTGTGTATTGCCTATCCATAACTGAAGCTTATTACAAGGCTTTTAGATTCGGTGAGGGGGTGCAGCATGACTATTATTAAGTATTTTGGCCAGGGGTAGATTTAATTCTTTGCAAAACTGATTTTATGTCTTTTTTTTTTTTTCCTTTTTTTAAATGCAGCTGTATCATTGTCTATGTTGTTTGCAGAGACTCTTTAGTTCATTTTCATTTATTTTGTCACTCAATTCATTACTTATTATTGTGTTTAACTGGCAAACTGACTAGCTCTACCACTCATTCTAGTTGTTTAAAAAATTTTTTTTAGGTTACAGAGCTACTCCTGAGTCATCTTCTTTGCTTCATTCAAGAACCCATCTAATGAAACAACACACAGGTGAAAATGAAACCTGCTAGTACTGTACAGTATTCAAGTGCACTGTAATGATAAGTAATGAATAATTTTGGTAGCTGCCTGTTCCCTGTGTGGGTTCCAGGGCCCTATTACAGGGAAAACAAGAAAGACCCACTGCCTACCCACAAGCATGTCGTAAGAGCTGACTCAAGTGGGAGCTTCCTTTGAAGTTGGAGTGCATCTGCCTGAGAGAAAAGGAACCAACAGTCAGCATACAAATGAGTCAAATCTGTAAAACGGATGCACATGCAACAGTTAAGTTCTGGAACAGGACTAAAGTCCAGAAGTGGACAAACAACCAAAACTTTCTGCCAGAGTTTACAGCTGGTGAATGCTGTACGGTGATATCTGGTCAGCATTCCCAGGTCCCTGCCGTACGGCAATCAATGCCAATGCTAAGTTATGTTCCTCTAGGGGTAGCAATTGTTAAAACGCAACAGCAGGCAGACGCCGCCATAAACTGTTCTGAATACTGAACTAAGGTGCTTACAGAAAACGTAGCTGACAATAGGGGTGTGTTTGTGACCATGAAAATGAATGGCAGAATGCCCCGTATTGAACTACGGCAGAGTAACCGTTTATCTCCAGTCCGGAGTATTGAGCCTAAGCTCCAAGCAAACTGTGGCATCAAGTAGTCTTAACTCCTTTTACCTCCAAACCAGAGTATTGATCCTAAGCTCCCGCAAACTGAGGCATCAAGTAGAATAACACCTTTTAACTCTGAAATGGGAGTACTGAGCCCAAGCTCCCGGCAAATTGCGACATCAAGGATAGATCCAGCTAAACTTCTGGTTTCCAACCTCTGCCATTCACTTTCACACATTTCTTGCAATTGTCAACTGCTCAATTCTCTTCTGCAAGTGACACCGTGTCTATCGCCATATATCTTGTTCAACAGCAGTCTGCCCTAGTACTAGTGTTAATCTTTGGACTGCACAAAACAAACGTGAAAAAGAAGTGTCAAGTGAAGAAGGTAGCTCAAGTAGCTGTAAATAAATATGAATAAACCAATAGAGAACACATACCTATGCCCAACATTACCAGCATTCCCATGAAAAAACACAACTGTGATAGCTGCCCTGTGCGTCTGTTTGATCAACACTAAATTAATACGAGTACCGTCCTTAGTTCGATGGAAATGATTCTCAAAAGGCATCTGGAAAGCATCCGGTGTTAAGACGATCAGTCTGGAGTCGGGTGGGGACTCTGGGTGGTACAACAGCAAATCTTGAGCGTGGTACAACAAACCTAAAATGCCCAACATAAAGAAACAGAAGGCATAATGTCCCCCTTGAGTCCAAAACAATAACGTAAATATTAGAAGACCAGTTGTGCACATTTTCCAAAAACGTGATATGATGATCAGTGCAAGTCGGAATAAAATCTCCAATGTTACGAGGAGTTTTCTACATATCATTCTACTTCTAGACGGCATCTTATTTTCAGTAAACGGAATCGTATCTTCAGAAGATGGAATACGAAATCCAAACATAACCATCTCAACGCCTGTGACACGTTTTAGTTTCTCAATATCCCGTCTTTTAACAGCACTTCTACTCTATGTAACTGCTGTAAACAAACGCCGCCATTTTGAAGAGCTATCTTCACTTTAAGCAGCCGCACTACCGTCTCCCGTACTTTCTTAGCCGTATACGTGTAATGCATTGTTCTTAGCACCTTTCCGTTTTCCCAGGCGATAATATTATTAGATTCTGCTACGAAAATGCATAGGATTCACAGCTCATGGCGATGACGAGTGTGATTAGCCAGGGAGAGAAAGAGTAGATGGTGTGGAGCTTCTTTGTGAAAGCATGGGAAAAAGGATGACTGAGTTGGCATACGTCACTATCACATCCAGCAGCATGAAAGTGACGGTTAAGGTAATTGCCACGTTCCAATGGGTGGAGAAAATCTCAGCCACGCATATTGTATTAGTACCGGAATGTTCTTTTTCTTCGCGTTCACCAGTTGTAAACTCCAGCGGAAAGTTCTGGTTGTTCGTCCACCTCTGGACTTTAATCTTCTTTAATCACACGGACCTAGTAATTTCCCCTGCTCTCTGGGTAGTAAAATTTGACGCCCGTCGTGTGAATTGTTGCGCACGTGAAAAAAAAATCCTTTGGCAGTTCGAAGTCGAAAAGAGTAGCCCAACGGCGCTGCCCGGGCAAAAAATTTTGAGTTTTAAAATCTACCAGGATTCTTGCCGGTGCGACGGAGTTCGTGCACTGTGTTGAGATTGCTCACACTCAGGTTTGAGTTAGAAGTAGAGAGGAGCACTTATGGGCTACACCCGTGTGTCATGATGTTGATCCGTCGAATAAACTCACACTTTAATCTTGTTCCAGAACCTAAGTGTTGCGTGCGCGTCCGTTTTACTGATGACTTCTTTGTACGTATTTTGTTCGTTCCTTGCTAAAAAAAAATATATCTAAACCTACAAAGTCCAATGCGACATCATAAGCCATGCGGTCCTAAATCCTGTGGCTCGCGACCCCCGGCTACACCTCCCTAAAATGTGGTAAATACACAGTAATAACTGTTTTTACGATATATTAATTTTACAGGTAATCTTTTACATGAAAAATGGCCAACTGTTGTGAATCGCCTCACGATATAATTTAGATACTTGAGATAGAGGAGATACTGGGCCTGGCGTCATGACCCAGGCTGGCCCACCTTCCGAGATTGTTTAGGATGGTAACGGGCCGAAATAATTGTAGACGGAGGAACTTCTACTGATGACTGGTAGACTCCTGCTGTGTATGTTCTCCTGTGCAGTTTGCTTGTTATTATATATTATTATTCTTTGTTTGGTTGAAAAGTTCAAATGGACACGGGTATATAAAATTTATCTTCTTCTTTTTAGCCCCACCGGCTGTAAACTGGTTGTCACTTCTGGACTTTTGGTTCTGTTCCAGAACTTGAGTTTTTCTTGCACATCCGTTTCACAGATCTGACCTCTGTTTATGCAGACTTTTGGTTACTTGCCCCCGATCTCGAAGGAAGCATACTTCTTTTTTTTTTCCTTCGTTCACCAGCTGTGAATTCCGGCGGAAGGTCAGGTTAATCGTCAGCTTGAACTTTTGGCTTTTACCTGGACCTGAGTTTTGAGTGTACAACCGTTTTACTGGCTTTTGCCGGTTCCTGCCTCGCTGGCAGATGTACTCCGACTTCGATGGAAGACGTCAGACCTATTTCTAGGATGACTGTGGCCAGTTTTTTGTGTGTGTGTGTGTGTCGAGATGTTACCTTATTTGTGTTGTGTCCTCTTTGTCCTTTACTCTACAGGTGTTGCCCCTGGAGTACCCATTTTAGGGCAGCCCTGTGTGGAACGGTTAGCCCTCAAGGAAAGGCAGGGGCAGATCATGGGCATCCCCCGTCATCCAAGGAGGCTTCCATAAGTGCAGAGCCGACACATAACGATCTAGTTCTGGACTCACCCAATGAATCGTCACGTCCTGCACATTGCTGCTTAACCTCAACACCGTATTAAGCTTCCCGCTCGACACGGGCTGTGCCCTCCGGAGATCAGCGGGGAGCAGCCCGTGGGTTCTGGACTTTTGTGACCACACAATCTTTTTCATCGCACGATTGTCATCTTTAACGTGCTGTTAGCACAACAGAATGAAGAATCCTGCGTCAGGCATGTCTTTATCTGTTTGGTCCCAACACTCGAGCGTGTGGGGTCTAGGGATGTGGACATTTGGACTTTTTCCAATCAATACGATTTGTGATGGTCGGATTTTGACCTTGCACGTATGTCGTAGGATCTATTTTTGTCGGACATTTTGGCTTAACCAGCCGATAGATGGTTGCTGTCATGGTGTACCTCAGCGCGGTGGCGACGACACTGAGGGTTGACAAAGGATGTACATGGGTAGAATCTTGCTACGAGACGCCACACATAGGAGATGTTATTCGTCTGTGCTGCGGGTAAATCTCTAGGTCAAGGGTTGAGTCTCAGCAGCACAATATTATTTTTACTCCACACACCTTTAACCGAGGGTTGTCATTTTAGTTGTACGTTTGGCAAGCACTTTACTCATTTTCCTAATGCGTTTTGAAAAGCCTTTTCACCCATGCGTTTGGGGGCGGGCTGATGAAAGCCTCAAGTGCACTACACCTCTGGGGGCCGCAAACTTCGAGATCCCCTGGCAGCTCTGTTAATGCTCATTGAGACATTATTCGTGGCGCACGACGAGGATGTGCTGCAGGAGTCTTGCGTGAGGTTCCGTAAAACCAGAACAGTGCAGGACTGGCGCCCGAGTGACGTTCGGAGTAACTCCTTATACACATCACGTTGGGCTTAACTTTACCTCACGCCTGTGACAGAAATCACCGCGCCATGGAAGTATACTCAATTAGTCGTCTTGTACGACGTGCATGTTAAGAGATGGTGGGTCTATTCTCTTTTCCACCAAAATGGAAACCCGAAGTCCATATGGGGGAAAATTGAATTTATGTTGTCTTATCCGTTTCTTGTGATTTCAAACAGCATGAACTAATTTATATGCCAACAACAACCTAGGTGTAACCAAAGGGTCTGGCCGGCTTACTACACCCAGAGGAAAGGCCAGATGGACATATAACCAGTTTGTGACCGTTCGTCCACTTTTGGACTGCGGTCCTGTTCCAGAACAAAACGGGGGGGGGGGGGGCGACCGAATCTCTCCGCCCGCACCTTACACATTTTCTAGGCAAAAATGGGGGGGGGGGGGGCGGTCTCAGTTCCCTGTCCTCCAACCCCGCCCTTTTCGTCATCTAAGTACACACTGTTCCAATAAATTGAGAAAATATCGAGTGGGGGGTGGCACTGTCCATCCAACTACACCTTGCTCACTACCCTTACACATTTTCTAGTTTCTAGGCACACTTTTATTTGAGGGGGGAGGGCGAAACTTAGGCTTTTGAGTACTCACTGAAAAGAAATTAGGGCTTCTGTCCACTCCCTTCGACTCATTTTTGAAGGGTCATCTTAGGCATGTTTTAAACATGAAATGGTCTTTTGAAGTTTTTGTTTATACATTTCGTATTATTTCATGTATTATACACACACACACACACACACACACACACACACACACACACATATATATATATATATATATATATATATATATATATATATATATATATATATATACATACATGCCCTACAGTATATATAAATTTTAAAGTGAAAAGTGGCAAACAGATATAACAATATACAAGCAACGAAATTAAATTCATAAACAAATACTTTAAATGACAGTTTTTATTCATGGTTAAAGACAGCTTCATGGTCCCCTTACAAAATTAGGAGGGTTGGGGCTGAGGCCTCAGGTTTTGGTGCGAATGCCTGTCCACGTCTTTCTGTAGCCATAGTTTATAGTCTAAAGATCGACGTGGCCTGTCTTGTTATTTCTAGCTCGAAAACAATTCGGCTTCCCCGATAGCACAGACACTGCCATGCGATACGAACTCGTTAGCTGTTATTCCGAGGACGATGCCGCCACGTCCGCCTTTGATTTGGCAAGCTGCATTGTTGTTAATTCTATCTGATGTAATTTTAAGTTAGGCGTAGTCACTGGATTTATGTTTTGAATTAACCGCCTTTAACAAAAAAGCCTAGCTAATTATCGGGTTTAACTCCCCCCCCCCCCCCCCCAATTTCTTTTGTGTAAGGGGGGGGGGGCGACTCAAGGGACCCGAGCCTCAGATTCCAGCATCTATGCCTGTAGGTAGGGGAACAACAATGACTACCTTTTCGAGGTTGAGTCTAACCCCAAAGGTGCATTGAGTCGAATTAATCCAGGCCCGCCAACGCCCCTCAGTAAACACACAGGAGGTATTCTACAGTACCAAGTCCACATTCCACATAGGATCACGCTTTCCTAAACTTTTTCAACTGAAGACCGGAACAAACGTGTCACCAAGCGATGGGCGACATATGGCAGTAATCGAATAAATCAAATCTAGAAGACTATGCGTTTCGATATATCATCCACACTTTTTGGGGCTGCCTGGCTTGGGCGACGATATTTTTCTCACACCCATCTGTATCTAAAGATGGCCGTGATTTTTCTGTTTCTTGTAATCTCCAACCGGATGAACTACCTGTAACTTATATGCCGATATCCATCCTCACCACGATAAAAGGTTGTCAATAATTGTCTATCTATGCCTGTGCTAATATTTCTCCGTTTCCCCGTGTGGGTTCCGGGGCCCTGGTATAGGGAAAAAGGAATAGACATGCCTACCCAAAAGCATGTCGTAAGAGTCGACTAATTGGGAGCTTCCTTCGAAGTCGGAGTGCATCTGCCTGAGAGGCAAGGAACCAGCAGTCTGCATAGAAATGAGTCAGATCTGTAAAACAAATACACACGTAACACTCAGGTTCTGGAACAGGACTGCAGTCCAAAAGTGGACGAACAACCATAAATTTCCGTCAGAGTTTACAGTTGGTAAACACGAAGAAGAAGAAGATTTATCCTGTTAATCTTTCAAGTTATTAGTTGCTCCAGTTTCCACTTCTTCTACAATTGTAAAAAATTACCTACTTTTCCTGTTTGTAATAAGTTGTAGACAGGACATTGAAAGGCATACGATCACCATGCTTGAGGATCTTGATTTTGCAGATGATATAGCACTCCCATCACATAAACATAAACTTATATAAGAAGAAAGTAACAGACTACGCAGCACAGCGGAAATGGTGGGACTGAGAATAAATACAAAGAAAACTAAGATCATGACAAGCAGTCCAAACCAACAACCAGTGATCATAAATAACTAAACTCTTGAAAATGTAGAACATTTCACATATCTTGGCTGTGTGGTGTCCGAAGAGGAGGGACCGAAAAGGACATACAGTCAGGTCTGACTTTTGAGCAGCTAGAGCTGCTTTTGGAAGGATGAGGCAAATCTGGAAATCCAACAATTACTGCAGAGGAACGAAACTCCGACTTTACAAGAGCATCATTTTGCCAGTTCTTCTCTATGGGAGCGGAATGCTAGAGAATTATCAAAAAGGATGCACACAAGCTGTCTACCTTCCATCACACATGTCTACGTAGAATTATCAAAATTTTCTGGCCAGATACAATCTCAAACACTAAACTACTTCAAGTCACAAACTAAGAAACTTTAGACAATATGATATCAAGAGAAGATGGAAATGGCTTGGCCACGTTATGAGAATGAATCCTGATATACCTGCCAAAACAGCTACAAACATGGACACCAGGGGGAAAAAGAAAACAGGGGCGCCCAAAAACAACAAGGAGGAGAACGATGGAAAGTGACCTGAGTGCGGCATCTTTGACATGGAAAACTGCACTGAAGATTGCACAGGACAGGAAAGCATGGACAGTCCTCTCTGAAGCCTCATGTGCCACTAGGCACAACGAGAACTGATGATGATGAATAAGTTGTATACATTTATCAGGTCCGCCTGTATATAAATAGAGAAGGCCGTGACATTTGTGAACGCATTCAAAACATCATTTTGGTTGTTTAGGAAATCTTATAGAATCACACGTGATAATAAATACTCTCAATTATTTGCGAGGGAAATAAATTTATATAAAATTAAGCGAGCATTCGTTTTTTGTTATAATATTGTACCTCAGCGAAGTGTCGGGGGAAGATGTAACACATTCGTTGATAAGCTCTGTCAAGAGCACTATTAAGAGTTATGTTCATTTCACCAAAGCTGTTTTTAATGCCAACACTTAATATTTCCAAGGTCTTCCTCTTGTTCTGTACACACTGTAACGTTTCAGTCTGGCTCGTTGTGGTAGATAGTACCAGGGCATTCTTGTTAAGTGTCCAAACCACTTCATTTGTTTTTCTTTGATGACCTATAAGACTGGCTTTATTCCTAGCATTCGTCTGTTATGTCTAAATATTCTTTTTTTTTTTCTTTATTCTAGCTTTAAACAAAAATCTAAAACAGGAACGTTAGTACATAATTTACTGGCAATTTTGTGTATTTGCCATCATTTAGAACACTTTTTTAGTGGCTGTAATGATCTAATTTTAAAATTTATTTGTCTTGCTATAACTTCCAGAACTGTCCAACTGTCTGCTAGTATCGGAGACTCTTCAGAAAAGAAGTATCTATTTAAAGTCGAATACAGCCATTTTATTCAACGTCAATAAACATGGCGAGAGGTGGGTTGTGTGGTCGCATTAACGTATTATTAGAAAAATAACTTTCTGCTAAATTATATGTGTGCGTATATTGTTGTTTACTGTAGCTAACATATTTAGGTGCAAACTTTAGTTTGTTAAAGTGCAATTTCTTATTTTCCTGATACTTCTTTTGCAGAAGCGTTTACCGGCGTCGGTCGCACACGACAGTTTTTCAGTTAGACTTGAATATCAGAGAGACGACTGCTGGCCTACTTGCCCGGCTGCCGGCTAAGTCTGCGACGTCGCACAAATTACAACAGTGTCGGTTAGCTAGCTGGTTGTATAGTGTTATCAAATAATACAGCGTACACTAAGAAAGTAACAAAATGCTCACGTTCAGCACTGACGCGTGTAACATTTCCAATCAATTACTAACGGCTAACGGCAGTAGTATATTTTGATGGCAGTAGAAAATGTGTCTACGTGGTTGAAAAATGGTACTTTTTAATTTCATGTTTTTGTTTTAAATGCTAAAACGATTTTTATTAGAGCTAACAAATTAATTCAAGCATTACTTCTTTCAGATGTCTTTTATTAAAACAATTATTATTTAAATGTTTTGTAGGGGAAATAAAACTTAAGTGAAAATATTAACATGAATCAAGCTAAGGTCAAAGTCAAAGCTGGGAGTTCCTAAATAGTTCTTACAAATGTTTCTTACATCTAGTAGATACTTTAGTCAAATTTTCAAAATGCCCTCTACACCAATAAAACCAGCACATTTAGATAGCTGAAAACAATCTCTTTCCCATTGTACCTCATTTAGGCTTGTATGTGATGTCATTTCTGAACTGAGATATGTAGGCTTTAGTGGAGATGAGATGTAAAAAACAGCTGTCAAAAACTTGCGTCCCAGAAACAAGAAGTTTTCTCTGCCCAACCAAACTGCTCACTTTTGTTTTGGCTTTGTTTGCATTGGACAAGATGGCAGACAATGAGACACAGCCACATAATAGCGATTGCCTGAAAAATGTCACTGTAAATCTAAAAAGCCACTGATAAGAAAGAAATTTTATATATAAATGTAAAATTGGACGGAGAATTCAATTATAACTAGCATTACCAGTATGAGTAATGTTAAAGCCTAAATCCAACGTTGAATACTTACCGCTATTTTTAATAAAACTGATGTAACAGAAAAACAGAGGACGTCTGGCTGTCGTAGACATGCGCTGTTAATCGGGTTTGTTCCCGCCGTTTTCAGCTATTTATAGCTGGTGAAAATCACACCAATCGCAAAATTTCACGACAGATTGGGACCCATCCCGAAACCAGCCGACATTTCCCAAACAAGTTTCGAATGGTTTCCATGGTAACGGAAATTTCCAAAAGACCGCAAATTGCCGAACACCGTAGTCGCTACATCTAGTAGATGATGTATGTACTGTTATGTTACTAACTGAGTTATTGTCTGTTTCAGTTCTGTCTGTGGTGGCTTTGCTAGCTTTTGCTGTAGTTGGGCAGGCTGTGTCCCCATCTACTTTTGTGACTTCTCAGGATCGGGCTCGTCTCAAGTCTGTGTTTGAGGCAGCTGCTCCTTACCCCGACACACAGTCGGCATATTTTTCTATTTCTGGCTTGAAATTGCTCGGAGCTGCCATTCCTAATGCACAGGTTAGAATTCTTTTTTTGTTTTTCTTTCTGTAGAAAGGGGGGGGGGGGGGCTCCTGCCTGGGAAAGTGGCTAAATCATTTGCCTTGTGGTTCAGATGTTTGGGGTTTGATTTCTAACTGCTAACTCCTTTTATTCATGAGTGGTTTGGAAATTCATTGGGTTGTTGACAGAGTTATGGAGTTAATGCTTTATGCATTGCTTTTGTGGGAGATAAGCCAGCTTATGCAGAGAAGACTAAACTAAACCATATGGTGGGGATTTTTAACTGGCAGCCAGTAAGCCAGATCTAGAAAGTTCCCTGTGGATTATTGTTAATGCACTGAATTTATAATCTTTCTATGCTACGTTGCCTGTGGCTTATTTATTGCAAAAGCGCTTCGTAAATCTGGGGCACCGGGTTCAATCTGCAACGTCCTGTAAAGGATACACAACTTTCTATGCTAGGGCTTGGGTCTCTGGCCTGTGACGATTCCTATTTGCGAAATATTAGCCCCTAAGTAAACTTCGTGAAAACCTGCCATATGGTTTTAAAACCTAGTACAGTATTGTGATCCTTTCGTCTTTAATGTATTTTTTTTTAAATCCTGTCAGATTCTCATGTTAATTGTTTTAAGTTTTGTATAACAAATTACCATGGTTAAACGGCCTGAACCATCTCAGTCTTCAGCACAAGGTAACTGTCCACAAGGTAAATGTCCACAAGGCACTGTGAATCTGTTAAAGTAAAGGGCACTTTTTCACACCAGTAGGGACCTGATAATGCAAATGATGGGCATATGATGTTAGACTCATATTTTTATAGATCAGTTGCCACTTGATGGATGACCTGGTCAAGGTTCTACCTTCTACCCATTTTATACTGGTCAACCTGGGAACCAATGTCATTTTTAATAAAAATCCGAACCTTTGCTAAAAACCTTCAGGCTGGCAAATGTCTAACTGTTAAGTTAAAGTGGCTGCCGATTTAACTACACAAAGTAGAATACATCTCTAGATGCATGTGAAATAGCTGCCATCAACAAATAAGATAATTTGTTGGTAGGGGGTTGCAGAGGGATTCTGAATGCAGTTTAATAATCCTGAAATACCAGCCTATTTGCTAGCAGACTGCTTTGCATTGATTTGGACAGCCATATAGGTTTTGCAATCCAAAGTCAGTGGCAAACTACTAAAGGTAAAATTATCTAGTAAAACCACACAGCGGCCAGTAAATGCTTGCATTGGTTTGTGATATGAGTATAACTTGTTATATGCAATTAATTCGTTCTGAAAATGCATAAAACGTTTTTTTTTAAACATGCATCGTGTAATAAGTTGGGTATAGTTTAAAAGAGAGAAAACAACTAAGAATTCAATCTTTACAATGAAGAACTGTTTTGTTAACTTAAACTTACACAGAAATGTACTGTACATACATTTAAAGCTGGCAGGCTTGTCAAATGGTACAGGAACTGGTTCCGGCCAGTTAGGATCAGTTTCTTGCTCTCCTGATGGTTTTTGGCTTTTGTTAGAAAATTATCTAGTCTTCTCTGACAGGCAGCTTTCTCCCCCCACCCCTCTCTCTCTCTCTCTTTTCTCTCTTTTCTCTCTCTCTCTCTTTTCTCTCTCTCTCTCTCTCTCTCTCTCTCTCTCTTGGTGTACAGTTCCTTGTAGCATTCCAAACAGTTTTAAATCTCCCTGGAAACTAAGCTCCCCATCTTTATCCTGTTCCCTTCATTTTTCATTTCAGGATCTTCGTAGGTGAGTCTTTGACTGTCCCAAATCTGACAGTCGCCAGGTTGTCATTTACTATTTACTGGTTGACCTGTGGGAAAAGGAAGACCTTGGCAATAGGTAAACCTTTGGCGTAAATCTGGAAGTTATTAGGGTACACAAGCCACAAATAACAGACAGGGAGAAGGGATATAAAGTATCTGGGACTGTTAAACTCTTCTTCTCTTTCTGTTTTTGCCCTTAAAATGGCAGTTGGCGCATTCTGATTGAGTTTACAGATCCTATTTCAGGTCAACCCAGCCTGAAATGGCTATCAGGAAATGTTCTGAAAAAATAAAGGTAGTTGGTGAGATATTGACCTAATCGTCCATCAAATTCAGGTAGAACTATAAAAATGTATTTGTCACATGTTTTAAAAATAAGTTGATGTATGTGATTAGATCTGCTGAGTTGATTTGTTTGTACGTAATTTTACAGGATGCTTGCAAACAGATCTCAAAGGTGATCGATGGTGGCAATGTTGCATCTATTTATTATGCTGCCACTGCCGCAAGTGCTTTAGGGAATTGCAAGGTAAAATAGATTCATCATATTTTCTAGTAATATTTAAGGAATGTTATAAAAAGAAATACATAGGAAAACTGACTGACAGCTGCAAACTTGATAGGGAAATGAGCCAGGGAAAGACAGTAGCTAAATAATTACATATCATTAGTGGAATATGAACAAAGACCTGATCTGAGTGGTGATCGTGTGAAATGGGAGGCTAACCCCCTTCCTCCCACCGATTTGTCAGCCAAATAATTCATATTTAACAACTACGTTGCAAATAAGCACAACAGTTATACCCAAATAAATACAAATATTGACATCCCCCCCCCCCCCCCCCCCCCCCCAAAAAAAAAAAAACCCAGAACAGCCAGGTGCAGGATGCACTTATAAAAAAAATAAAACCCAGATCAAGGCAGCCAATGCAATACTTTATATCCAGAACATAATGCTGAACACAGTCAGCCTCCTCACACGAGGAGGTCTTCTGTATTTAGAATATGGACTGGATGCAACAGACTCCACAGACATATTTGCACGACATCCACGACTGGGGGTTCAGAACTTTGACCATGTGGACAGGCACCTCAAAATTCTGAACATATGTTGCAGAGATGCTTTCTACATACAGTAGATGGATCCCTGGTCTGGCCAGTTAGCATTCCATGGAGTAGCATTCCAAGCTGTGTAGATAGTGGAGGACATGTGTCACACCACAGTCTTCATAGAGACCTATGACCTTTTCATTTGAAAACCACTGGCAATTAAAAGATTCTTTTTTAGCATTCCGAGCCCTTGAAGTTCATTGCTGATGATATCACCCTCTCTCACCCCTATAAATCCATCCCAAATCAAGGCCTAAATATATGTTTTGTGATGAAATACAGTTTTACAAAGGTGGGGAGGAGCTACTGCCACCATAGCGCTCAGGGTCATTGAGAAACACAAGCTCGCTCACCTAAGGGGGGGGGGGGGGGGGGGGAAAGATACCTGCAGTTGTCATTTCCAGTTATTGACATGTTAATTTGAGTTCTGTATTCCTGTTAGGGCTAATGTAGTTGGGCTATACAATTATTTGTCTTAGTTTATCATGACACATTAACATACTTGAAACTGTTTTCTCTGGTTAGATTGAAGTTCCGGAGTTAAGGAAGACATTAACCGATGCCATTAAAGATGATGCCAGTGTCCAGGATATTGTGTTTGCTTATCTGGCACTGAAGAATCTCGGACTACCTGGTACTGTATTTGATTATTTTCCTATCATCTTACATTGCGCTGTCCATTTTTACGTTTGTAAATATTCCATTGTAAAGTAATCTGACAGTCTAGTAAAACTTGTATTTTTATTTTCTTATCTTCTAAGTCTTTTCCCCCTTATTTGTAGTTTAGGTCGTCAACAGAAGTACCTTTTGATGTCTTTTGTTGCTCAGTCGTTGTTCTTTCCATATTATCTTTGTCTCTTCTTGTAATGGTTGGTGTTACTTTTGCTGGGATGATTCTGATCAAAGGGCATTTAATTATGCTGTTATTTTTCTCAGTGTGCTATATCCAGCTCCTGCATCTTATCCTCATGGAAATGCTAGTTCCCTCCCCAGTCTACACATTAGTGATGTAATTCCATTTAGTTTCTGTGAACTGCTGAGTTATCGAGTGTTTATAGTCTATTAGTAATTGCTTCGGTTCTGCATGTAGGTCTAACAGTTCTGATTTTCAAGTACTTATAACAGCAAATTTTTGATATTTCACCAATAAAAATCATTCCATGAATATTTTCTGTCAATTGAGTTTTCCCCCAGTCTCAGTTTGTTGCTGGTTAAATGTATTGTAATGTGGTTCATTGGCTATAAATAAAGTATCTTCACATATAAGCATAGTGCCATCACATATAAACACAGTACTTTCATTTATAAACACAGTACCATCATGTATAAATACAGTAAATTCACATATAAACGCAGTGCATTCACATATAAACACAGGACTTGCACATATAAACACAGCACCTTCACATATAAACACAGGGCCTGCATGTATAAACACAGTACCTTCACATATAAACACAGGACTTGCATGTATAAACACAGTACCTTCTTATATAAACACAGTGCCTTTAGAATTAACACAGTACCTTCACATATAAACATGGACTGGCATGTATAAAACACAGTGCCTTCATATATAAACACAGTACCTTCAGTATAAACACAGTACCTTCAGTATAAACACAGTACCTTCAGTATAAACACAGTACCATCAGTATAAACACAGTACTATCAGTATAAACACAGTACCTTCAGTATAAACACAGTACCATCAGTATAAACACAGTACTATCAGTATAAACACAGTACCTTCAGTATAAACACAGTACCATCAGTATAAACACAGTACCTTTTTATATAAACACAGTTCCCTCATATGTAAACACAGGACTTGCTTGTATAAACACAGTACCTATACAAATAAACAGTCACCGTCATGTAAAAACATGATACCCTCACTAAAAAAATGATGTGCCTCCACATATAACCAAGGTACCCTGACATATAAAGACAGTGTCTTCACTTTTAATTACAGTACCCTCACATATGCAGTACTTTAACTATACAATACTTTAACATATAAATACAGTTCTTTTTACTATAAACATAGTTCCTTCACATATAAACACAGTACCTTCATGTATAAAGTTTAAAAAAAAAAGTTAATTGTGTATCCCTTACAGAACATTGCACAACCAACCCCAATATTGTTTTTTCACTATTGGGGTTTTTCTAAGCAAATTTATGTTCAGTAATTTGCCATTGCATTCTGAACCTGCAGTTGGCAGTACACCCTAGCATTACAGAGTGCGTTCGCAATGCATAAGCCGCAATCGACATAGATAGAGTAACCTCACCTATAAGCGCAGTACCTTCACATTTATAAACACAGTACCTTCACGCATAAACACAGTACCTTCACATATAAACACAGTACCTTCACATATAAATACAGTACCTTCACACATAAACACAGTACCTTCAGATTTAAACACAGTACCTGTATGTTTAATCAAGTAGCTTTACATTTGAGCACAGTTTTTTTTTAAAAACTGTATTCTTATATTTAAACACAGCAGTTACACTCCTAGTCTTGTGTTTAGTTAATATTTAAAGAAATAATGCAGTTTAGCTATCAGAAATATTAGTTCAAAAATTAAAAAAAAAAAATTTGAACAAGCATTGAAGTTGTAAAATATTTCAGTGGATGATGCTAGTACAAACAAGGCTTTGTTGGCAGCTTTGAAAACCGATGATTCCCCTCAAAGGTTGGTGTTTGCAATGTTTGTCTCTTAATAATATATCTGTTTGTGTGTGAGAGGGAGATAGAGAGTGGTCTACTGGATTGTTGTGTGAAGTTTATCATTGTGAGGTCTACTGGTTTGGTTGTGTCAGTTTGGTCGATGTATGTGAGGTATTCTGTAGTCTGAGTAGTTCATCTTGAGGTCTTCTATATGTGAGGTTTACTATAGTTTGATAAATGTGATATATATATATATATATATTATATATATATATATATATCTATATATATATATATATATATATATATATACACACACACACACACACACACTGATTCCCACTGATATATATATATATATATATATATATATATATATATATATATATATATATATATATATATATATATATATATATATATATATATATCATCAGTGTATATAATAGTTTAAGTTGTTTGAGATTTATCATTGTATATGATGCTTACTGTAGCATGACTTTTTGTATATCCCATTCCCTCCCACAGTCATGGCTATGCCTTCTTGGCTGCGGCTGAGCTCAGCGGAGATGTCAGCAAGTTTGTGGACAACATTGAAGATGTGATTGCCCAGGCTGATGAAGTGGATGATAAATATTTACAGGTAATTGGGCTGATTTATTCATAGCTGCATGGAGTGATACATACACTGATAAATACTTATTGGGGGCGCTGAATGTTGAATATTTACCATTTGATGGAGTTTTGGATACAAGTATGCCTTAAAACATGGTAAATATAGGCAGTGAAGATTTTTGTTGTTGTAAAAAGAAACCGTGTAGCCTGTTTTCTGATGTCCTTGTTTTTTTTTTTTTTTATAGTTTGAAGGTGGGCTGTTTGTGACATCGTTGGTGGTTGATGGTGCTTACAGACTTGCAGAGAAGACCAAGAAAGCTCCAGCTGTGGCTCAGGTAAAATCGTTGCATTCTTTTAAAAAAAAATATATTTTTGTTACGTTTTCAGTAATGATGATTATTATATATTTATGCAGTGATTCCCACAATTTTGAGACAGAATGTGTGTATAGACTAAGTAAGAAACAGTGCAGTCAGATATGATGTAGGGACATCGTGTATCATGTACATTGAGAAGCAGAATATGACAGTTTTAGTATCTTGTTAGAAGAAGGGAGTGTGGCCTTCTATTTATGTGGCTCTGTTAGAGGATAGTCAAATGGTTTCACAATGCAGTCCTCGATGTTTACCAGGGTAAAATTACTGCAGTGGTCAGTTTTAAAATTTAACAACAGTTTTAAAATTTAACAAACAAGAAAAAAAATACAGCAACAGGTTTCTAGGACATTCTAGTTACCAAGTTTTCTCAGTGCACTTTATTAGACAGTCGTATGAGAGTCACATCGTGGAAAAGATTATGCCTCATTAAATAATGTTCCCATATCAAGGAAAGATATAAAAGATGTAATATTCTCGTTGTTTGCTGCACTAAATTGTGGAAATAGTTCCATTAAAAAAATTTTTTTTTTAATTGCAAGGAATAAACACTAGTTAGAAATATGGGCACTCTATCTGAGAAAAGATATGTATCAAAAGGGTGCGCATGAAGGTAAATTGTTGATGTTACAGGCATTGTTGTCAGTGTCACGACTCAAGCGCTAGACAAGCAATTCCTCCACATATTACTTGGCAACAGAAGTGGAAGATACCATATTTATCCATGTATAAGACAACCCCAATTTTTCTTTAGGCCAAAATTAAGAGAGAGCTGATCAGTCAACAGAAACTGGTGACCTAATGACACGTAGTGTTATGGGATGATGAGATGATGATGTAATAAATGACAGGGCTTGTATGTCATTGTAGAAGTCTCAATAAGGTATAAAAATAATTTAACAAAAACAAAGAAAGCAAGCAGCACCTCCATAGTGAAGGTTGATTGTAATGGATGTCCAGCACTCTCTCACACCCTTGTTTTGCATTCTGGCAGGCTGTTTCGTCTTATCTCTTGATGTCTTCTCACATGTTTCTATGTTAACCTCTTGTCCACCCGCCTTAAACATGTCCCTCTATTAGGGTTCTTTTGAATGCTTACCTGTATTGTGGTTGGAATGTTTGCTCCATCAGTTTTCATTGACAGTTTCTCTGGAATCTTATGTGTTTGATTGTCTTTAGTTTTTTTTGGGAGCCTCAGTTTGACTTTCAGATGGTTTTTCAAAGGTAGTTACTTGTTTCTCTGTCTCTAAGCCACTAAAATGTTTCAGTTAGCTGAAGTTTTTTCACATTTCTGAGACCCTCTGCTGGTTATAGAGGTTTCTTTGATGTTAAGATCTGATAAAATGTTTTTTTCATTTACTCGGTCCATGCTGTTCTAAGAATTTCTGTAACAGTTTAATGTTTAAAAACTGTTTTCCCATAGTGAATTTAAATAATGCGGAAAGAAACAATGCATTGCACAACTTATTGCCAGGCCTTTCACTGTAGTTCGTCAGGTGCGTTACTACAGAGTTAGAAAGAAGATGAAGTACAACAGGCTGAATAAATCCATTCGCATTTCAGTTGGACTGATTCAGTTTGCTGTACTTAATTTTATATTGATATAACTGTAGTAACACACCTGACGAGTTACAGCGACAAATGCCTAGCAAAAAATTGTGCAATGTAATGTTTGTTTCTGCATTATTTAAATTTGAAGTTTTAAAAAAAAAACCAGCACTACTTTGTTTTATTGGTTGTGAAGAGTCTAGAAAAACCATAATGGTGGAAGGCGGTGAATTCCCTGTCTTTAGTGTTATTTGAATCAGTGTTAATGATCTGCACTGTAAGTAAAATTGTCTGTTTGTTAACCATCACACAGGACAAGGTTTTGAAGTTTACCAACTATTTCCTGAGCCGCAAGCATGTCCACCAGCTGAAGTCTGCATACCACTTTTTGTCTGTGATTAAAATCCTGACTACAAATAAGGTAAGTCTACAAATCATTTTCCAGTTTCATTCACAAATCTGCCCATCAGAAAGAATAGTCTTCATATCTATCGCAGTATCTGTAATTAAAATTCTGATCATCAGCAAAGGAAGTCTCTTTGCCAGTTTGTTTCTGTAAGTGAAATTCTGACCACTAGTGAGGTAGTTCTAAATATCACTTTTCAGGAAGGGGTTCTCCGTGGCTAAGTGATCAAGCCATTTGGCTCGCGCTCTGAAGTTCGTGGGTTTGTTTCACGGCTGCGCCGTTGTTTGCGAGTGCAATTTTTATGGAGATCCCTGTCTGCAGGACTCTCGCTAGGTGGCTAAACATTTCGCGGAGAGAGGCCCAGCCATATGGGATAAAAGCGATGCAATGAAGTCGATCCTCTCAACCTTGAACCTTTAGGCTGAGCAGATTGGAAGAAACTCAGGATGCAGTATATTGACCAGTAAATGCCATACACTTTTTGTGGAAGACTGTTTGACATGACCTAATCTTGACAACAACATTTGTCCATAGCTTTGATTTGAAGTTCATATACCTCCATAAAACACAGGGCATTACTACATTATGAGTAAAAGCAAAAGATGTCACTCATCCAGCCTTATTAGAAATCAGTAATTACCCTCAACAACTGGAAAGATCAGTGGAAAAAGGGTAGAGGCAGACCAAGAGAGTGATGCTAGATGTACTGAAACGATGGCATGGGGGGAAATCATTAAGAGAGCTGTTCCAGGCAACCAGGGATTGTGATCTGTGGAGCCTCATGAGCGCCTACGCCAGTTGACAGGGCACATGGTGTTGATGAATTACCCTCAAGTGCCTTGCTAACCATAGTGTGCAATCATGCTTCTTAATTTCTGGCAATCTCCAACAGCTTGTATCAGTTTGCTTGCTGGCAGTCTTCCATACCATGACTACAGGCTGTCAGAAATCTGTTCATCTTGTTTTCTGTCTTTTTCCACGTATCACATGTTCTAGTTTTTCTTTTATAATGTGACCCCCCCTCCCCCTTCCCTTCAAGGCTTGTATCTTTCTGTTTATGATAGGTTGCCTTCAGGTTTATGCCTTTCTATTTTTGTGTGTGCCCAGTGTTGCTCTGGGATTCTTGTTCCTCTGTGTTCATCTGAAGATGTAATTGCATTGTGCTCATTTACAGCATGGCTGCGATATTTGCACCTTTTGGCAGACACATCCAACTTCTGCAGGCATTTGTTGACTTGGTTATCTTTCCCGGGCTATGGGATTATTCCAGTTGTACCTATACATATGATTTAGAACCAAATAATTTTGAGAATCGTCTGATAAGTAAATGCACAAAAAAAGGGAACTGATGATCATACGTCCGCTTCTTCTATGTTTGCCCTTAAAGGGCTTTTGGTTTGTGGTTTACAGCTAGGCTGTAAAATGAGCCCCTTTTGCCCAGCAGTCCGATTTCAGAAGATCATTAATTTACGTGTGGGTTATAGGGAAATCAAGAATAGACCCACTGCCTACCTAAAACCATGTTGTAATCGTCGACTAATAGGGAGCTTCCTTGGAAGTCGGAATGCATCTGCCTGTGAGGCAAGGAACCAGCAGTCTGCGTACAAATCAAATCTGTAAAATGAATGCACATGCAACACTCAGGTTCTGGAACAGGACTGCAGAAGTGGATAAACAACCAGAATTTTCTGCCAGAGTTTACAGCTGGTGGTGAAGTAGATCATTAGTCACCTTTTATGGTTGGCTTGTTATCAGATGTTCTCTACCAGATATTGGTGTCTCTTGCTTAGGCGTTGTGAATGTGCTTCGTAATGTCAGGGTGCCGGTTGCGATCCCAACTGCATGCGATTTAGCAGCAGACCAGCTTGCATTGGTTTTGACAGTGGTATCAAGAGGTGACTGTTCAGTGAATAGTGACAAACTACTGGACATAAATTTGACTAGAAAAACCACAACAGCTAAAAAAAAAAAGATGCTTAGGTTGGTTCTGCAGCGTCCCGTAAAGGATACACAGTTTTTTTTTTAAGTTTAAGGCCAGTGGGTTTTTTCTGTTTCCCAATAAACCGACACGAGGAACACCTCATCAGGTGAGCACTGTATTTGTGAAGGTTTAATATTACTTTTCCTTCTTAGCCTTTACTGGCTGTAAACTCCAGTTCTGGTTATTCAACCATTTCTGGACTTTGGTCTTGTCCAAGAACTTGCGTGCACATCCATTTTACAGATCTGGCTTATTTGTATGCAGACTGTTGGTTCCTCACTTTTTTAGGCAGATGCAGTCTGGTTTTGGAGGGAACTTCCTTGCCTTGTGTCACATTGGTCTCTCCCCCCCCCCCCCACACTAGAATGGCCCCAGAAGCCTCGCTGGAAAAGGTTTAAAACAACACTCCCTACCATGGGTTCGCCAGTCCTGTAAGGAGACTCTTGCCCACATTTATTGCCAAGCTGTTCGCCAGTGTGATTACAAACATGATAGCTGTCACGTCTTCAATGTATATTTTATGTTGCAGTTCCATGTGCCGGTGGCTGTATCTCGGGCAAGCCCAGTTGCTGTGACTCAGGCTGAACCTTCAGTTAAGGTATGACCATTTGTCTTTCTGTGGGACCAATACCGTTCAGTTTATTTTGTTGTTGTCATGGTGACTGTAATATAAAAATGAAAAGAAACAAATCAATGTTTGATGCTGTATAGTTATTGTGTTGTATCAGTTTATATGTTTGCAGAGGTTATCACATCAATTAACCCACTGACTACGAAGCCTGTTAACCCTTGAACTTTCCCAGTCTGATACAACACTTCCTTAGTTGCCTCTGCTGACATGTATGATGGTGAACTACTTAAAGTCTGTGCATATGCTTGTTAAGTTGTTATGTCCTGTCTTGAGGCGTAGAATAATGACCTGCCTTTCCGATTAAGTAAGTGGTAGTCATCTCTGGCCAGACTCTGTTAATTTCTTTTAGACTGGATGGCCCCTTTCTTGTCATAGTATGTTACTGTATTTTCTTTCTGTTCACATTCTGCCCCTTCTTAGCACATTTGTCTGAGGTTTTGTTTCCTGGTATACCACAGTGGGATGGCACTCAATGGAGTACAGTACACTTAGGCAGCCACCTTGCCAAGTTCAGATCTCAGGTGGGGGAGTTTGCCACTCTTGAGGGCTTGGAGCACCGACAGCACATCTGTGAGAGTCAGAACTTGTGTGTGCAACATTTTGGCCGCTTGCTCTAGTGCTAGGATCTCTGCTGTGTAGGTAGAACAGAATTTACCAGTGGGTATATACTTTGTATTGCGGTGGTTGTCTGGGTATGTGATAAAGATGCCAGCACTCCCATTTTTAACCACACTGGTGGCTGATCTGTGTGAGCATGTATCTACAACATTTTGGAATAGTTTTCCTGGATCACTTTAAGAGCAGCTGTCCGTTTTTGAAGGTACACTAACTCATGTAACACTAACACACCTACCTCTGACTGCCACTTCACAGCTGTAAGTTGAACATTGTCTTTCAGTTTCAGCATTAATTTTTATGGCATTTCATAAGAATTATTAAAGTCACACTGTTCAGAACTATCTTCACCCTTTTCTGATCTAAAACAGTCAAGATCGTATCCCACTGCATCATAAATATTCTCCAGACTTTCTTAATTTAGTAAAATCACCAATAATTACTGATATTTTAAAGGCTAATAGACCAAATAGAATATTGGTTATAGTGGGTTGAGAGGATGGCAGATAACAGAGAGACAAAAACAGCATGCACAAAAGAGTTGAATGGAGTAGACCACAAGGTGAACCAACAAGACTGGAAAGATAAGCAGACCTACAAACACCTGACACCAGCTGCAAAGAGATAATATGTAGATGGGTATATCTTCAACTGCAAACCTCAAAGAGGTAATTGCTGAAAAAAATATGCGATTCTAAGTTATACAGAATATATGTGCAATTGTATTTAAAAGTCATGCACAAAATATAGACCTGTGTTTAGAAGTTATGCAGGATATGTAATGGTCTGGGATCTCTGTCCCCCCACCACCCCAGGTATATGTGACAGATCTCTTGGGAGGAAGCCTGGGTGAGATGACAGTCACTGCAGAGAGTGCCCGACATCTGGGAGATGATGCTGTTGTTCTCAGCAAAAAGCAGTTCACACCTGTTGCTTCTGACAAGTAGGTTCTTTTGTTCTTTTACATCATTAAGATCCTTTTTTTTTAAATTTTGTTAACCCATAAGTAAAGTAAAGTAAAGGACCCTTATCCACACCTCTAGGCGTATAGGGCACAGGGCATATAGGGCTAGACCTATATTTTTATAGACCAATCGGCACAAGATGGGTGATGTGGTCAGCATCACGCCGGCCGCCTTTACTTCCCGGGACTGCACCCGGTACCCACTCAATGCTGGGTCGACCTGGGAGCCAACATCATTTTTGAAAATTAGTCCGACTCCCTAACCCATAAGTGTGTTCCTTTATTTTTTTACTCTATAAGAAGGTCAGATACTCATTTAAAGACAAACAGCAGTGAAAAATTGGTAATATAGAAATTCTTTTTATTCACCGGCTGCAAACTCCAGGGGAAAGATCTGGTTGTTCGTCCACTTTTGGACTCTAGTCCTGTTCCAGAACCTAAGGGTTGCGTGCATATCCGTTTTACAGTTCTGACTGATTTGTATGTAGACTGCTGGTTCCTTGCCTCTCAGACAGATGCACTCTGACTTCAAAGGAAGCTTCTAATTAGTCAACTCTTACAACATGCTTTTGGGCAGGCACTGGGTCTATTCTTGTTACCCCATAATGGGGCCCCAGAACCCACACAGGAAGGAATATAGGAATGTACATAATGTTTCTGGGCATTTTAAATAAGAGGAACATATACATAGGAATAATTGATGGTATGTATTGTGGAATTTTGGAATACCAAAGAGATTAATCAACATGACCAGATCATGCAGGGAAGACATATGTAATTTAGAAACATATAAGAGCAAAATTGACCCTTTTAGGATATCTGGTTTGAAGCAAGATGATGCCCTGCCCCACTTCTTGTCAATTTGGCTCTGGAGAAAATCATACAGAAGGCAAAAGAAGGTTGTGCTATGGGAGAAACAACAATTGGTAGTGCATCTGACAGTATAGGAGAATACGAAATAGAAACAGTGAAAACACTGACACTTTAAAAAAAAAAAGTAGGGCCGGTTATCAGTCAAGATAAGACAATACAAAGTAAAAACAAAAGAGGGAGAGGACAAAAACTCATAGAAATATATATTAAAATCATAGAATCAGGCTTTGGTACAAACTTCAATTGCACCGACATATTAAGAAGAAGTACAGTCTGGAAATATATACTATGCCCTGAAACATCTGCTAAAATCATATGCTCCATCTGGTAACACCAAGATCACAATATTTAGAATACTGATAATAGCAGTTGTCTTATATGGCCATGAACTTCGAGTACAACTAAAAAAAGAATCTGCTTTGAAAGACTTTTGATTTTAGAATTTTTAGATCAGTGAAAGATAAAAACAGCAGAGAATGGAGGGCAGCAATAAAATTAATAATCTTTTTAAATCACTACTAATTATATCATGAGAACTGCAATGGTTGGGGCATTAAAAAAAAAAAAAAGGTAGATGACAGAAAGGCAAAAACTGCGCACACAAAGGAGTTGGATGGGAGTAGACCAGGAAGCCGACCAAGAGGACAATGAATGGAGAGATAATATAAGGCAGACCTACAAACTTGGATTCACCAACTGGAAAGAGAAGGTCAGTCAGAAAGATGAATGGAGGCAGGTGATATCTGCATGGGCTCAGTGCTAAAGAAGAAGAAGTTTGTTTCATTATTCTTTTACATAATTAGGTGCTTTTATTCTTTTCCACTGTAAGTAGATCTTGTTATTTTTCTTCTGCGCTGCAAATAGGTCCTTTTCTTATTCTTGTTCACTTCCAGTCTTTATGTTCTTGTCCACCTCATCAGGTTGTTATTCTTGTTCACTTCCAGTCTTTATGTTCTTGTCCACCTCATCAGGTTGTTATTCTTGTTCACTTCCAGTCTTTATGTTCTTGTCCACCTCATCAGGTTGTTATTCTTGTTCACTTCCAGTCTTTATGTTCTTGTCCACCTCATCAGGTTGTTATTCTTGTTCACTTCCAGTCTTTATGTTCTTGTCCACCTCATCAGGTTGTTATTCTTGTTCACTTCCAGTCTTTATGTTCTTGTCCACCTCATCAGGTTGTTATTCTTGTTCACTTCCAGTCTTTATGTTCTTGTCCACCTCATCAGGTTGTTATTCTTGTTCACTTCCAGTCTTTATGTTCTTGTCCACCTCATCAGGTTGTTATTCTTGTTCACAAGTAGGTTCTTTGATTATTGGTCAATGCTTTTATTCTTGTCCACCAGTCTTTTTTGTCATTGTTTTCCTCAAGTTCTTGGCCTTTAGTTTATCTGTTATGTATCGGCATGTACCTGTGGTGTTAGTCATTCTTTCTCTTTGCTCCCTCAGCCGTTCATTACCCACTGGAGCAACTAACTCAAGCCTAGACCTGTAGGCTTATTTGTTATTGTTTTAATGTTACAACTACAATTTTCTTTGTGATAGCCAGTTTGAGACAACCCTTCCTTAGTTGCCTCTTCTGACATATATGATGGTTTGCAGTTATTATTCTTCGTTGTCTTTACCAGTGTCGCCCATGTAATAACATTTGAGGAGGCATACATCAGTTTTTATCTCTTTCTACTATCAGGTCACTGTTTGAGCTTAATTTCCTGGAGGCAAAACCAGCTAAAGGATTCTATAAGCTGACCATCAATGTTGTACCCAAGAAAGCAGATCCCAAGCTCATTGGAATCACTGGAGCAGAGGCAAGTAACAGTTCGGTTGTATTTTTTTTTTTTTTTTTTAAATACCTCTAGCAGTTACAAATCAGCTACAGTTTTGCTTTGACCCCTTGGCGTAAGGTTACATAATTAAAACTGCAATGTTTTATCTATGTGGGCACTTGTTCATGTAGTATTCTGTTAGCTACAGGTTGAGTAAAGGTAACTGAAATTCTTTACTGTTTTTTTTAAAATGCAAGATAGGAAATTTCAAAGCAGTAATCTCATAAACCTTATTTGAAGAGGAACAGGGAACACATTTACAGATTTTATGTTTTAAAAAGAATTATAAGGTGTGGTTCTAGAATGTATTTGTAATAACAGGAGTGAGCAGTGTTGTCTGATTTAAATGTATTGTGAGTGGAACAGGTTTGAGAAGCCTTGATCTATGGCAAAAACTGTAATGCATTATTATGTTTTTCATTGGGTTTACCTCACTGATGGCTGTATGTGTGTTGCCAGGTTGAAGTGAAGGTGACAACCAAAGTCTCTGTAGAGAATGTTGAAATTGGAGTTGCTGACAAGGACCAAGCCACTGCTGCAAAAACTACCAGGTCTGATTTTTGTTTTAGGAATTTTTTTCTTCTTTTTTCTTTCCGACACATTGGTTTTTGCTGTCTGTTTACTTGCATTCTAATGTTAACAAATAAAGAATAAAATAGATGTTCATTTTTAGGAATATATGATGTAGAATGTTTATTTTATGAATGTTCTGACTTTATTGTCACTTGTAAAATCAGCCATTCAAAGTGTGAAGTCCTGTAATCTCATTTGGTGCTATCTAAGGCTGTCCAGTTCGTAGACAGCCTTATACCAATATGTTTCTCATTTCATTGCCTGTTTGGGGATTCTCTCTACTCTTCTTCCCGGGATGTGCTCAATACATCACCATGTCTTTTGTCTAAATGTTGATACCCCGGGTTTTCCTGGGCAACTTTAATTTCTTCATCTTTCTTGAATTCATCCCATTTAATGTTCGTCAGAGCTTTAAGACGTATGTTTTCAAATAAATTAAACTTGGGTTGCATGTCTTTGCCCAGATTGGTGTACCCAAATAAAGCCACCAATGTCCTGGAGGCTGACCACCACCAGAAGATTGTCATGAAGTTCCAGCTGAAGGATAAGACCACTGGTCAGCTGTTGACAGCTCATCAGACATTCATCCGACTGACCAATCTCAACACAAAAGAGGAGATCATCTTCATCACTGAAGCAGATACAACTCTGACCAACAAGTTTGATCTGGTGGGTTTTCTGTCTTGTTCTGTGTTCGGCATTAGTGAAGGGAAATGTGTTTATTCTTTTATTGTTATCACTAAAAACATTCTCCGAGAACCGCCTTGGTGAAGTGATCCGAACGTCATGGGTTTGTATCCATATGGAGCTGGACTTTAAAAAAAAAAGGCTATGGCTCCCAGGTCGATCCAGCCTTAATGGGTACCAGGTAAAGTCATGGAAAGTAAAGGTGACTGATGGGATGCTGACCACATCACCCACTGAATGGTAAATATATGTCAAGCACCATGTGCCCAATACACCTGAAGGATGTCCTTTATTAAAGCATTCTCCAGGATAAGAATGTAGATAGGGGACTGGCTCATAGACAGTATTGTTTCTCAGAAACTTACTGTGGCTATATTAAACACCATTATGGTTTGAGAGGACAGTAGTGATGATATGGTGTCTGGGAGAAGAGGCAGGGATCGACCAGCACAGGATATCAAGGACAGCCTGGGTATGAAAGTTCATGCAGGATAATTGGCAAGGAATAGAGTAGCTATCTGGGATTACTTGATGAAAGTGACATTCTTCAAAGGACCTGCTACATGATGATGATCTGTAATTCCTTTATGGTTATCATTAAAGCATTCATTAAATAAATATCAGTTATTAATTTTTTCTTGCGTCTTCTTTCAGTCCATATTCCATAGTTGTCGGTGTGAAGACTTTGACATGAGTAATATTTTTTTAGGATGCCTTATGTGTACAAGGCAGATGTGGTTAAGGCCAGTTGGGAACAAGCAACAGAACCAGTAGAAAAACAAGATTATTATGGCCTGGAAAGAATGAGGCACCTGGGTGTAACCGGAAGGTCTGGCCGACTCACTACACTCAGAGGAATGGCAAGACAGACATAAAACCAGATTGTGACTGGTACCATCAGTATTGAAACTCTGTGCTGGCAGCTGAAGATGACTCAGCTCAACTCAGCTCAGCTCAGCCTTATGTGTAAGCAGATAAGCAAAGGATGTTTTATATGTATACTGAATTTGTTTTAGGGTTATGAATTGTGTATAGAAATTGTTATTGTTTTTAGTTTTTTTTTGTTTAAAAAAAAACTGTTCTGTTCTCCTCTTTTCTAGGATGTTGGGGCGAGTTCCAAAGAGTTTGATTCTCTTTCAGGAAAGTACAGCATGGAGCTGATAGTTGGTGATGCTGTTATTGAGAACCCCTTCTCCTGGCATTTGGTAAGATTAAATGACATCTCTGTGTAAATCTCACTAAAATAACCTGGCTTCTTTCCTAGAGATCTCTGTAAACTTCAGTAAAATAACCTAGCTTTAACCTAACTTCTTCTCTAATCTTCTCTGTAAGCATCACTAAAATAACACATCTTCTCCCACCAGTCTTTTGTTGTTGTTGTGTAGTGCGATTGCTTAACGGCAAAATAATCCTGTCCAGAATCTCCCATAGTAGTATGATTTGTTTCTTCTAATTGTATAGTTCTAGATGTGAAATGGGTGTGTGATCATTCTCAAAAATGTTTATAAATTGAGGAAAGATTATAAGAGGACTGGTCACCTCACCTCCTTATGTTGTGACCTAGAATATTTGAAGATCTAATATTTAATGCACCAGAAATGGTTCAGTTTAGAGATCATACAACATGGATTATTGTATCAACTGAGTGGTCTACAACACTTTAAGAAACTATACCTTGCTGGAAGTAGTATTTATAAAAAGCATAATGTGTCACTTTGTACCAGGTAGGTTAAACAGTGGATGCATGTTACTGAAGTGACATCTCATTATCACCAGTGAAACAACTTTTGTCTTCGTTATGAAGCTTAAGAAACCATGAACCAGTCTAGACAGGCCTAGACGTGTAAATGTTCCGTACCTCTCTCTCTCCCCCCCCCCCCCCCCCCCCCCCCCCCACTGGCTGTAAGCTGTGTCAGAAAGTCCTAGTTGTTTGTCCCTTTGCACTTTGGCTTTGTGCCAGGGTCTGTTTTTTTGCATGTACATCCTTTTTACTGGCTTATTTATGTGTAGTTTGTTGTTCCTTGCTGCTTGGGCAGATGCACTCTGACTTCAAAAGAAACCCCTGATTTGTCAGCTCCTGCGACCTGCTTGTTGGGGAGGCAGTACATTTATTCTTGCTTTCTCCACAGTGGGGCCCCAGAACCCACATGGAGACATTTGATACCAACACTGACCAAGATTGTTTCAGGAAGGCTTTGGCCTTGCGCAGTGTACATATACAAGAAAAAGGAGGATGAAAAATGAATCCATATTTTACCAATCACTCCCAGGGCAGTGGCCAGGCATTCTATCCTACAGAACCTACAGAAGCATGCACATCTTATGCCTTTCATCAGCTAACAGTGTATAAGCTCTCAGCCACTTCATACTGTGTTGACATGATTGGTTGAAGTTTAAAGTAGCTTTCTAAGTTGAGCAAAGTCCTGTCATAGCACTTGGGATAGTTGCACAACTGCTGCATTCGCATCTTGAGCGTCCATCACAGAGTTCCAGTTTCGATGGTGCCAACAGTTTTCTAAATGAACATTCCCATGCCAACCTTCCTTTTGACAACATACTTGACAGGTTAGGTGTTTGTGTCGACTTATTCATTTCTGCGAGTCCCATACCATCAGGTGCAAGCATGTCCTACAAAACCCGAATAGATATCTTGTATCAGATTAATAACGGAACATGTAGTTCATTGCTTTCCTTTTGTTTCCACAGACTGATGTCTCTCTCACATTCCCTGAAGGTGGGGAAACCAAACCAGACAAACAAAGCCAGTATGCCAAGAAACCAGAGATTAAGGTATGTCTGATTCTGCATCAACCGAAATTTAATATGGGTCAAATGGCAGCCCATGATTCCAAACACTGCTTCTCAAGCCTGCCAAGTATTCACACAGTTGTGGAGAGACATCACATCTGCTATGCTGGTCACCAACAATTAATAGAACTCCGTTGGAGTGGCTGCTGCATCAGAGAACTGAGAACGCAGGGGAATGCCCAATGTGCTGTGATGTCGATTGTGATAACATAATATAACATGCTGGTCACCTAGCCTGGCATGTCAGACCATCAACTTCAAAAAAGTAGAAAGACTGCTGTTCAATCCTTTGGCATTAAGACAGATACATGGGAATCTGTTACACTAGACTGATTTGAATGGCATACAGTCCTCACGCACAGTGCATTAGCCTTGCAGGCAGCTGAGGTTGCACTGGCAATGAAACAAAAGCAGACTAGAAAGAACAGTGTGGCAAATCCTGCCTCTACTGTCGGTTTCATCTGTTTCCTCTTTGCTCAAGAACTTTCCTGGCCCTAGTTGGGTTCGTCCGAAATATTCATACTCACAGGTATTGATCATTACTACTTTTAAACACAAAGGGGTCTTCATAACTTGTGATGGACAAACAGCACAATATTATGTAAAAAAACCAGTCAGATTATATCCATCCTGTGCCCTTTGTCTCCCAGTGAAGTATAAATCCTCAAACATTCTTTGCTTTCTCCTGCAGCTTAGTCCATGTCTTTCCCGTGTTAGTTGTCTCTCATTCTCTTCTCCATTTGTTTTTCAATGATGAATTGTGAAAAGTCATAAGACATTTCTAAAGCTAAGCCAATCCTGGTGTAAAGAAGTGAAGATGTTGACAACATAATAAAAATCAGCATTGCAGCACTCTTGAGCACTCAGTCTCTACCTTGAGCATCCAGTTGCAGAGTTCTAATACAGTTGGTGCCAGTAGCAGTTTGATTGTACATCCATGGTTCCTTTCCTCTGAGAGTAGAGTGAAGACCAGATCCTCCAGTCACTGCCCCGCTGCACCATTCTCTCTATTTCTGCATTTGTATTGTTCACTTGCTCCCAGAGGGCCTTGACCATATCTGACTTGTCACACATACTTACCACTGAGTGGTGGGGAACCGGCCAGTCTGCCTACATGTTCATTTCCTAACACACCAGAATATCCCAAAGAATAAATGCAAAAGAGGCTCACTCCTCGCAGTCTTTGACGTCATGCTTGCCACTGTGAATGAAGCATTCGTCTCCACGCTTGTCAGCAGACTGAGAGTCCACTACATCACTCATTGAGTGCTGATCGGTGTAAAAGATTTGCATATGCTCAATCTGCTTGGTTGAACTGGGACATGTAGCCAATATGTTCTAATTGTTTGTTTGCAGCACAAGTTTAATGAACCAGAGAAGCGACCACCAGCAACCGTGTCCTTGGCTTTCACTGGCCTGGTTTTGTTACCTCTCCTGATTCTGCTCATCTTGGTAAGTCAGAGTGTGGTCACTGTCAGCCCTGCTTTATTCTCTCTCTCTCTCTCTCCTCTCTCTCTCTCTCTCTCTCTCTCTCTCTCTCTCTCTCTCTCTCTCTCTCTCTCTCTCTCTCTCTCTCTCTCTCTCTCTCTCTCTCTCTCTCTTTTTCTTTCTTTCTTTCTTTCTTTCTTTCTTTCTTTCTTTCTTTCTTTCTTTCTTTCTTTCTTTCTTTCTTTCTTTCTTTCTTTCTTTCTTTCTTTCTTTCTTTCTTTCTTTCTTTCTTTCTTTCTTTCTTTCTTTCTTTCTTTCTTGCTGTCTGTCTCTCTTCTCTGTGGGAAGCTATGTTGTACATTAATAGGAGGTCTTGTCGCTGATCTCAAGTGGTAATGTTTGCGTGTGGAGTAGGGAATGTTGAAAATCAGATGATGTACATGAAGTGGAAGTAGTAATTTTTAAAAACTAGTTTTAGAAATAAAAGTGTGTACCTAATCTAGAGATACAAAGTGTTGTAGAGTTGTTTGTAATGTCGAGTTGTGTGTGTATGTGGTGTTGAGGTGCTATGGGTCTGTGATTTCAAGTTGTGTGCACATGTATGTAATGTTGAGTTGTGTGTGTATGTAATGTTGAGTTGTGTGTGTCTTTCATGTCAATTTGTGTGTATGTGGTGTCAAGTTGTGTGCATTATGCGAGATGTTTAGTTGTGTATGTTTGAGTTGTCAAATTGTGTGTGTATGTGATGTTGAGTTGTGTGCATATGTGGTGTCAAGTTGTATGTGTATGTGGTGTTGAGCTGTGTGTGTGGTGTTGGTGTGCTGTGTCGGTGTGCTATGTGTGTGTGGTGTCAGAGTGTTATTTGTATGTGGTTCCAGGGTGCTTTGTGTGTGTGATGTTAGGGTGCTATATGTATGTGATGTCAGGGTGTTATTTGTCTATGATGTCATGATACTTTGCGTATATGATGTTGAGGGTGCTGTGTGTGTATGTGATGTTACAATACTATGTGTATATAATGTAGGGACGGTATGTGTATATGATGTCGTGATTCTATGTGTGTATATGTCTGGGTGTTATGTGTATATGATGTCATAATGCTATATGTATATGGTGTCAGGTGCTGTGTGTATATAGTATAGGAGGGTAGTGTGTATATGTGATGTCATGTGCTGTATGTGTGATGTCAGGGTACAATGTATATGTGATGTTGAAGTGTTGTATGTGATGATTCCGATAGCAGTCTGTGCCAGGAGATTTTGTTGTAGTTGATTAGTGCAAATCAATTTATGTAGAAATTATGTTTCCCTGTAGCCTGCCTGCATATTTCATGCATGTTATTTTGTTTTGATGACAGTGGATCAGGATTGGGGTGAATGTCTCCAACTTCCCACTGTCTCTCAGTGCTGTAGGATTCCACGTCTGTTTGGGCGGTAAGTGTTCACGCATTGTTTCTTGACATCATTGAAAGGCTACATGTGATGTTTGTGTTATTTTAGATGACATTGTCATGTTGTGATTACATTTTAGATTAGACAAATAACGTTTCCTGTTTACACTATTTTAAATAAGTGCCATCGAAGTTACACCAATTATAGTTATGTAAGTGTCATTCAAAGGGGGTTCCTATTTACAGCAAAGGGCATTCACATTTGTCTAGGCCACAGTGGTAGGTAATGGGGCCGGTTCCCTTCCTCGCTACCTTATTGACTACTGGAAAATGCTCACAGTTCCTGCAACACTGGAGTAACTAACCTAAATGTATTGAAAGATAAAAGGACCCCTTTTCACGCTTTCAGTCGTATTGGGTATATAGGGCTAGACTTGTACTTTTATAGACCACTCGGCACTCAGTGGGTGATGTGGTTACCATCACGCCAGCCGCCTCTACTTCCCAGGAATTTACCTGGTGCCCATGTTAGGGTCAACTGGGAGCCACAGTCATTTTTGGAGGAAGAAAAAACCCGGCTTGGTTCAGATTTGAACCTACGGCCTTCAGGTGAACATCTTGCCATTACATCAGAGTGGTTCTCTTGAATTGAAAGATGCTAAGACATACAAGTTTTTTGTTTTACAAATATCAGAAAGATACAGGCTTGGGGGGGGGGGGGGGGGGGGGGGGGGGCATTATGAGATCAAAACTTTAACATGAAATTCTAAAGGTAAATGGAAAGATATCCTCTTGTAAGATATCCTCTTGTTAAAAGATAAGGGAAGACAGTGAGAGAATCACAGCATGGGAAGGTAATGCAGGAATAAGTACAGCTGGTGATTCCAAGATTTAGCAATGATTACCAGGCAGGGCACTTGATCTTGGTCGTTTCGCATCCTGATATGTGTGTAACTAGCTCACAGACATGACACTCAAGATTCCAAAGCCGTCTTATGCTAGGAGAGCCTGAATACTTATGAAATGCATCTGAATGCAGTGATGTCCATTTTTTGCAATTAATCATCTATAATTTAAACACTAATTTCTTCTACAGTGTTTCAAGTTATAAATGCCGTGCACAGTCATTGTGTTTCAAAATGTTTAAGTACAATAGCTGTATAATTCCAATTGATAGAATTCTAATTTTATGCATGCAATTTTTTTAGTCATTCTAGTTATGCGTTCTCATGTTCAAATATCATTTTAAGGCTACCTAAATGTACTTTCAGAAATTACATGTTGCCAAATAGTTGCATCTTTTATAATTTTCATTCTAGTTTCACATCAGATTTAAGATATAGACTAGTATTTTTATGCACCAGTCGGCCGTCAATAGGTGATGTGGTCAGCCTTATGCCTGCAGCCTTTACTTTCCAGAACTTTTCTTAGCATTCATTTTAGGTTAAGTCGACATGGAAGTCAAGGTCATAAAATGAAAATTCTTACTAGGTGCGGGTTAAAACCTATGGCCTGTATAATATTACAGAGATTCTCATTATATCTAGGGGGCTGCATGGTCTCAAGGCATGGGGTCCGCCACGAGTGCTAGAGGTTCCGGGTTCAATCCCCAGTAAGGGCTGGTTTTTTTCCTGTGGACTTGGACTTCTAGTAATTCCCCTGGTCTCTGGGTAATGAGATAGAACGCCCGTGTGCATTGTTGAACGCTTTTAAAAAAATCCCTTGGCAGTTAGTAATCGAAAAAAGTAGCCTAACGGCACAGCCTGGACAAAATTTGGAGTTAAAAATGTACCCAAAGTATTTCAGGATCCTCACCGGTGCTACAGAGCCTGTGCTGAGCCTCTTCGGACTCAGACTTGAGTTAGAAAAAGAACAGAGAGCTTATGGTTTAAACCCGCGTGTCACGATGTTGATCTGTTGTTTAAAACTTAAAAACCACATCTTATCCGATATTGTGATCATTCACATTCATAATATTGTAAAAATTCTCATGTCTAATATTGAATTCATTCACATTTATATTGTAATAATTCTCCCTCCTGTCTAACTGTCTAACCCACATGATAATGTTTCTCCTCCTCAGCCATATTCGCACTCTATTACTGCTACTGGGTGCAGCTAAATATGTTCCAGACCCTGCGCTGGCTGGGCATCATAGCTATACCTACATTTATCTTTGGCAACCGCCTTCTAAGTGCGTTAGCTTCTAAGAGGTGAGTGCCATCATGGAAATAGCCACTTAATTGTATTATCAGTGACTCCGCCAATTATTTAAGGTCATGTTTGAGATGTCATAAACTTTTCTTATTCAACCATTAATGAAAAAAAAAATTACTTTTCAGTCACTCTCTTGTCTACCTGACCATGCCCCCTCCTCTTTCCATCTCTCTTCTCTCTGTCTGTTAACCTGTTATATACTGTCTATCTCTCCTCTGTCTCATCTCTGCAATGAAAAGTCAGACATGCATAAGAAACAAAGTACCAATTTTGTGTAGATAATCAAAATCCCAGGTGTGCAGGCTGCCTCCCGGGGGCTTTAAGACATAGCTCAACATATGAAAGTGAAGTTGAAACAGTCCTAAGCAGGACTTCCGGCCAAAACGGAGGAAAGGTTTGGCAGAATGTTCAAAGTTATTTTTGCTTCTGACAGCGCTTTGCTCACAAATATCACGCCCATGATGCAAACGGGCACAACACATTTGCTTGAACAATGGCTTAGAGCAGGGCTATTCAACTAAATGTACTCAGGGGCCAACATTTTGAAAATGGTGATTGTCAACGGGCAGATGCCTGAGCCTAAAGCATAGAAAGATCACTAAGACATTACAACTGGGAATGATTCGCGGGCCACTTGCTATGCCTCCGCGGGCCGCCAGTTGAATACCTCTGGCTTAGAGGTTAATGAATGCGTTTAACAGTTTGTGGTTGAGTACCATGCAGAACTATTTAAAAAAAAAAGGTTAATTGGTTATGTAAAATTTGATAAGTTTGGAATATTTAAAATGTTAAAATATTAATCTTTGAGAAGCTTACATTTAGGCAGTGAACAAGTAAACGAAGTGACGTGTGCAATATTGGAACATGTGTTAAGACTGTTTTCATAAGTGACAGTGACATATATGACAACAATTGTATGATATTACTAACTCCTGTTATACATAACTCACAACTTGTAGTGTCAGAGATGTGAAACGGTAAGTGCTGTTTTATCCAGCTGAAATATTGGAGCTGTTTTTTTTTTTTTAATAAGTGTGGTGGAGGGAATTCTGTATTTATACATTGTCTGGGACATACACCTGGGTTTTTTTTTTCAACTCTCAGCTTGAAACTTGTGTGTGTACATATAGGAGTATGTGGCAGAAGTGTGCCAGCTTCATACGTGGTGTGTATGTTGGAATTTTGGGTGATCCCTCTGGTAGTGAGATTTGACTTGGATAACCACAGAAAAAGGACCCTCCTGTGTACAAGTTATGCATTCCAGTCGGAAATGGTAAAGCTAAGGTTGCTGCCCCAGTAAAATAATGAAGAGAAACCTACTGACGGATAGACAGAGCTGCTGTCTTGGATGGGGTTATTGTTTAGAGGAAATAAACTGGACAGATGCATCCAACAGTTTGATACCTTTACTTCCGAGATACAGGACAATGTGTAGGAAACTTCCCTTGAAAGGAATGGGCAGGTGGAAGATGATTCTGTATCAGATGAAATAAAAACATTGCCTGTAAGACACTTGGAAACTCTGCTACTAAAAGAAGAAGACATTGTCTACCAGATTCTTGTTTGGGCAATAGAAAACGGTAGGGAATATGTGTAGACAACAACTAAAGTATGGCCTCTCAAATGTGACAACAGTAATTTGAAAAAACAAAAACATTGTAAGGGACATGAAATATTTGTGCAGCCACCCTCAGTATTGCTTGAGGGTGTTGTCTCAGCTTGTGCAAGGTGGGTGTAGGCCAACCTGCGGGAAAAAAAGCTTTCTCTGCGGATACCAGCAGTGGTACACAGTTTCAAATTTGGTTATATTTACTGAGACCAGCATGATTTCAGTCCTGACATATGCCACTCAGAGTTGTAGAAGCACTAAAGGTTTGAAACAGAAGTCACAGAAAGAACTACAACACTTTGAGAAACAAATGATCAAGGAAGTGATAGTTATTGAATGGAATGAATTCAAGAAAAATGACAAATCTGAATTGTCTGGACAACCACCTGTATCAACTGTCAATAAGAGAAAAATGACAGTATATTTAACCCATTCTGAGATACAATGGACAAAGAATCAAAAAAGGCAATGAAATGGGAAAAGCATGAATTGAGCAAGCGAGGTGGACCAAAAGAAACCCGGTGACAGACAATAGTGAAATGATTAAATATTGAATTTATAGACAGGAAATGCTGGAATAGAAACAGACTCAAAATACAAATTAAATACAGAATTAAATGAACAACTGAGGTCATGATTTTGATGACATAACCCTTTTGGGTATCCATAAATCATCTCGATGTGATGCCTAATAAAGAAAGTTCTTTTAAAGCAGTTAAGTTGCACTGTCAGATGTTGGGAAGCCTTCTCTTGAATGACAATTGTGCCATTATCTGGACAGACCTGCTGTGAGGCACTGATGCATGCAATCTGCCCAATGCATTGCTAGATTGCCAAGTGTCTAGGGGATTTGTTTATGCTTCCCCCATACATACAAAAAAATTCTCTAATTGACAACGTACATCCAAGACTGGAATCCAAAGGTCAACTCCAAAACACTAAAAGTCATCTCTGTAATAGTGCATCATTCTCTTTATTATGGATGAAACACATTACAACGAAGATGAGTGGTGATCGATGGCACACTGTCAAGTCTTCTACTGCCTTCTCAAAACTCACATCGGCAGTTACTTCAGACATAAATGAAACACAGCAGCGAACTATGTCCCAGGTGTCTACTACGGGCAGCTCACATCTGACCGCGCAGATACACCTATGTGATGGGCAGTTACAGTTCCCTGGCAATTCGCTCTCTAAATGACCCCGCTACCCTTGGGATTCAAGATAGATGCACCTCTTGGTGAAAACTCCTGCCTGCTGTTACAGCCACTCATTGAAGCAAAGCTAACATTCCATCTGTCAGCCTCTGATACTTCCCCCTTTCACAACTACACGTTGGTTAACACTCAAGGTCTTCCAGCACCTTCCGTGCCCTTACAGAAACCCGTCAACCATATGTCCCATAGCCGCAACACTGTTGACTCTACAACACACAGTCGACACAAGTCCATTCTAGACACTAGTGACAGAATTCCCAAAAAGTCTGACTCACCATCCACCAAACCATTAGATTATTCACATGAGCACCAACAAAATAAAACACCTTGTTAAAACACCCTGGACTGGAACAAATCATGTACAAACACGTCCTAACACTAAAACTGACCCAGAGGCACTGATTGGACACGGCTTAACCTTCAGCTCAGCGGTTGGTTACACTTGGGTCTTGCAATACTCATGGAGACTGCTGTCACCCGTTAATCTCAAGAAACACTTGTCTCACAACTTCAAGCAGCGTGGATCTTTTGCGCTCTTCCCTGTTACCATCATCATCTAGCGCCTTTATGACTGGACAGCAAAGTGAGTTCAGCACACATATATACATATAGATGAAGAGGGTGAAGATGTCACAACAGTTGGCTGTACAGTGCTCTGCCAAATAATAGGACGGCTAACCCAGTCAGTGAACGCTTAAAGAAGCTGAACGTGCAAACATCACAGCACCGCTATGAACATGCCATGTCCAAAATTTAAGAAAAAGAAGAAAAAAAAATCAAGTGTAACAGAGATGTGGGTGAATGTCCACTTATACCACATGAGGAACTCGGAAAGGTGACTAGATTCCTTCCTGGTTACAGGCCCATTTTGTCTTCAGATAGGGGTGCAGAGCATGGATGCTGCTGATGCTCTACTATTTTATGAGGATTTGTTTTGCCTATCATTTAAAACAGTTGTTAGACGTCCACTTACACTATTTTGCTAGTGTCCTAGGAAGAAAGATAAAGAGGAGACAGATTTAAAATATAAAAAGTTAGTTGCCTATCCTTTTCAAGACGTTGTAGAGCCGACCCCAGCATTTGTATCTGTTGTGATTTTTCTAGGCAAATTTTAAATTCAGTAGTTTGCCATTGCTTCTGAACGGTCTGCTCTTGGTATCACTGTCGAAACTAACGCAAGACAAACCGTCCGCAGCTGGGATCGAACCCAGCACCCCAGAATTACAAAGCGCGTTCGCATTGCCTAGGCCACAGATGCAAACTATGTATTTAGAATATCTTCTTCTTCAAGTCCATGCCGTGTAGCGTTGGTAGTCATGTCAATGCACAACCTTCTATCTCATGTACTTTCAGTCAACTCTTCCATGCCATGTTGTCAAATTGTCCAGCATCTGTTCTCCTTCTGCCTCTCCTTCCCTCCAACTTTTCTACTGTCACAATGTACTCCAATTTTCTCCTTCTCATCACATGACCAGAGAACGTAGTCTCTTTCTAATGTGGGAAATCAGTTTTCTTTGTGAGTTTAGAATATATGAGCCTGATATTCACAATGAAAGGCATAATCCCTGACTGACAGCCAAGTGCTGGGAAGAACTCTTGCAAGGTGACCTTATATGTTACTGCAAAAGAGAGAAAATGGTGTAGCCATGCAATCTGATAACATTTCAGTGAATAGTTGACTGTTCGGATGCAGGGGGAGAGAAAGGAGTAGAGTAGCAAAAGGTTGTGGAGCAGTGCAATGAAGAAGATAAGAGTATATTTGATGCCTATATAATTTAGAGCTCTCTGGATCGCCCCTGTGTCTGTGGTAGAGCCAGTTCACTTTGCCATACAATCAGATCACAAGAGAAGCAGAAAACACAAGTAGAGTAAGCTATTGAGTCATTTCTGTTCCATCATTTTTACAGGTGTTGCTCTATTTAAAAAAAATTTTCTTGCCATTGCATTTACCCGTTTTCTGCACGTTTATGATATTGGCAATGTTATTTGAATATTATCTTGGGTTTCTTTTATTGAATTAGCCATACTCTTTTACTGTCTTCTTTATCCTTTCCATTCAGCTTTTGCATTATTATGTGGATGTCAAATTGTGATTTTTTTTTTTTTTAGATGCATAAGTTGGTTATACATTGAGGAATTTCTGTTTGTATTGTTTATATGATATACACACAAGCTCTAAATTTCCCTGTGAAATACAGAGAACTGAAATTTTGTGTTGGTAATGAATACAGTGTCACCCGATATTTTTGCCACTCTAAATAGTTTAAAGAGCATACATGATAATTACAAAAATGTGGAAAGATAAAGAAGAAATTAAACAATGAGAATTCCAAATACAGTAGAATAGGTCATATTTTATGGAAACAAAACAATGAAAAGAGTTACTGAATGAAAAAAATAGACGATTGAAATTTTTTTGGGTTGTATTCTTCTTCTTCTTCTTTGCATTTCCGGGTTGAAGACTGGTGAAAAGTTCTGGTTGTTCATCCATTTCTGGACTTAGTCTTTTTCCAGAACCTGGGTGTTGCTTGTGCATCCGTTTTACAGATATGACTTTGCATGCAGCTGTTGGTTCGTTACCTTTCAGGCAGGTGCACTTTGACTTCGAAGGAAGCTTCCAGTTAGCTGACTCTTACGACATGCTTTTGGGTAGGCAGTGGGTCTATTCTTGTTTTTCCCTACAATAGGGCCCTAGAACCCACACGGGTAGTTGGCCATATTAAAGAAGTGAAACATCAAGAGGTGGACGAACGGTAGAGAGAGAGTACGTTCAGGATGAATGATAGCATTTTGATCTGTTGCAGTGACCCTTTATTAATATCTCTCTCTCTCTCTCTCTCTCTCTCTCTCTCTCTCTCTCTCTCTCTCTCTCTCTCTCTCTCTCTCTCTCTCTCTCTCTCTCTCTCTCTCTCTCTCTCTCTCTCTCTCTCTCTCACACACACACACGCAAGCGCGCGCGTATATGTATGGTGTAATGCTGACATTTCAGATATAGATAATTTATTTCAAGTGAACGGAAGAAGAATATATATACATATATATATATATATATATATATATATATATATATATATATATATATATATATATATATATATATATATATATATATATATATATATATATATATATATATATATATATATATATATATATATATATATATATATATATATATACATACATATATATACACATGCAGAAGGTTGAGACATGGGAGCCCTTCATATGAGGGAGGGGAGAATATTATCTGTAAATGTATATAGACATGTATGTTTAGCCACATACAGTATTAGAACCCTGACATTCAAATAGGATAATTCAGTTGAAAATATCAACCATAGGTAGGCGTTCTAGTCAAGTATAGGGGACTGCGTGGTCTCGAGGCATGGTGTCCGCCTCAAGTGCTAGAAGTGATGGGTTCAGTCCCTGGTAAGGGCTGGGATTTTTTCATGTCGACTTCTAGTAATTCCCCCTCCTGGCTTCTGGGTGTTGAGATTGGACACCTGTGTGCATTGTTGCGCACATACATCCCTTGGCAGTTGGAAATCGAAAAGAGTAGCCTAATGGTGCTGCCCGGGCAAAATTTGAAGTTAAAAATCTACCCTAAGTATTTCAGGATCCTCACTGGTACTACAGCGCTTGTGATGAGCTTCTTCGCACTCAGATTTGAGTAAGAAGAAGAACGAAGCACTTATGGTTTACTACCTGTGTGCGTGATGTTGATCCGTTCAAACGTCCCAACTTCAGTTGAAAATATCTACTGTATTAAGACTTGCCAGCTTCTTCAGATCTAGCAGCATATTCAGTTGATGTGCTGGCAATTCCACTCTGTGGCAGAACACCCTCATGAATCTTGTCACTTCAAATATATGCAGTTTTGGGGCAGTTAATTTCAAGTAGGTCATATTGGGTCAATTGATTTGAAGTGTGGGAAGTCACATTGGGGTATTTGAGTATATGCATGCAGACCGGTTGATCTGAAGTAAGGATCCCAGTACTGAGATAGTTTTAATTTAGGGCATATTGGAGTGCTATAGTGACAGCTGTGAAAATATCATACCAGGTGAATTTACCGCATGACCCAGAAAGAAGCGCACAAACATGTACTCTCTGCTGTTGTTACTTCCTTTTAACCCCAGCTCAGAGAGATCTGGTTTTCCAAGCCTGTCTGTTACCATCATGTATGTAGCTCCTGGGCAGTATGTTATACAACATGTGTGTGTGTCCCAGTAATCACCAGTCTCAATGTGGTGTACTAACGAGATGTCTTGTTTTTCTGTTTCAGCGCCAAGCGTGAATGAGAGACATGGAAACTTTATGAGTCACATCACAAGTGGTGTGAGAGAGAAAGAGAGTTTGTAAATGAGAGGGAGAATGTTTGTGTGTGAGTGAGTGAGTGTGTACAAGGTTTGAGTTGAGAGTGAGTGAGTGAGAGAGAGGGGGAGAGTGGGTGTGCCTGCAAGTAAGAGAAAGTGAGTGTGCAGGTGAGAGTCTGTGAGCGTGTGCAAATCAGGGAGAGAGTTTGTGCAAGGAAGAGAGTGGGTGTACAATTGAGAGAGAAAGAGAGAGTGTGAGTGAAAGTAAGAAAGTGTGTGTTAATGAGTGTTGCAAGTTAAAGAGTTCAGAATGAGAGAAAGTGTATGTATGTGTGAAAGTGAGAGAGTGTGTGCAAGTAAGAGTGTAAGAAATGAGAGAACGAACTTTATTTTCTGAGAGAGCGAGTGTTCTGAGTGAGTGAGTGTGTGTGTCTGAACGTGTGGATTTGTGCGAGTGCGTGTGTAAAAGAGAGTGAAAATGAGTGAGTGTGTGCGAGTTTGCATTTTTGTGCTTCACACAATTAAAAACATGTCCTCTCATTTGCTTGTTTAGTTATATTTTTACGTTGTAGTGTGCCATCTGTCAGGACAGATCACTATCTTGCCGGGTTTGATCCCAGCTGCAGGCGGCAGCAGACCATCCCGGTTTGGTTTTGACAGTGGAATTGAAATTGACTGTTCTGAAAGCAATGGCAAAATACTAAATACTTGCCTAGAAAGAAAACACAAAAAGCCTAGAAATATTGGGGTTGGTTCGGCTACGTCCCGTAAATAATAAACAACTAACTTATATATCTAGACAATAATATAAAATACAGCTAAAGTAGAACACAAATATAAAAAAAAAAAAAAAAAAACATACCGTGGTACCTCGGTATATGTTCACTTTGGTATATGTTTAACTTGGTATACAACCTGTTTAGATACAAAAACCTTTGCTTGGTATACAAACAGTATGAAACACCCGAAGGAGAAGGCAGAAGTTCTTTTGGCAGATTTTTAGTAAGTAAAAGCAACACTTGATAAGCTTCAACTGGGTCCAAGTAGCGAAACGAGGTGGGGGAAAAAGCAGAGGAAAAAAAACACAAAAATTTCAGATTCCTGAAGTTTAACTAGAAGTGGCCTCTACCTCCAAACAGTGACATCTCCTACTCTCCCCTTCTTAGTATCATCCTAGTATGCACACAAATCTTCTTAGGAAGGTAAAAGAGGAGGTTCAATTGTTTATTGTCTAAACTGTCAATACAGATACAAAATTAAAAAAACAGAAAATTCAGAGATTCTCTGTGGCATGCATTGACGAGATGCACTCAATGGTGCTAGGCTGGATTGATATCCAAAGGGCTGAATAGGATAGTATGTTGTGGAAGAATCAACATCGAGCCTAATGTGATGTACAAGTGACACAAAGGATGATGTTCATTATCTGTTATCATCAGATACCTCTAATGTTCAACAACAGATTAACAAAATATCATTCAACATCAGAAAACACCAGACTAAAATGAAACAGGGTCTGCTTTAAAAAAAAACAAAAAACAAAAACCAATTGAACTAACAGCTACCTATGACCAATGAACATCCCATTACATCTCTAACTGAAATAGAAGTAAACAGTTACCCCTAACAGACTGGTGAACAGAATACACTTCTGACTAAATAGAACTGAATAATTACCTTTAAAATCAGTTGATTACATCAGTTGAATAGTTATCTCTAATTTAATATTACTGAACCTCATAATAAAGCTTTGAATAAAACAGGTAAACAACCACTTCTGATATGTCTCAGAATATTAGAATATATCACTGTACTCTATGACATAATCTTCTTGCCAACCCTGTGTTACCAGTGCCAGATCTGGACAATGACAGAAAAAGAGAAAAGGAAAACAACTGAAATGAGATTCCCATGAGGGGCTTCCGATATAACAGTAAGGAATAAGAACAGAAACGATAACATCTGAAGGAAAATGGGAGTAGCATTAGAAGACAACAGGTGAAATGGTCTGACGATATAACGTGATGGCAGCCATGATGTCCAGACCTGATGAGAAGCGAAAAAGAGGTAGACCATGCAAGCAATGGACAGAGGGAGTAACGCAAGAGTCCTTAGGAATTCCAATTTACAAAGAACACAAACAGGCTCTTTCCATAAATTATACTTAGCTTCAACACTGCAAAGTACAATAGGATCAAGATGAGATGATTGCTGGTCCTAAGTCTGGCTAAAAAAGGAGAAGTGTTAAATGTGGGGAAACTCGCCATATTCTGTAAAATTAAATTTGCTACAACAATTTGCAAGAAAGCAAAGGTGAAGGAATAAGAGAAATACGCAGACAACCATTGGGATCAAGTTACAAGACAAAGGTGGCGGCACTATACTGCACCGTCTTGAGAAAACGCCTGCATAATTTCCAAACAGGCACTGAAAAAGGGAAACAAGAGAATTTGACATCCAAGAGAGACCCTAAAAAAAAAACGAATGTTGCTAAAAAGGCAAGGGTACTGGGATTCCATCCATGATATTAAAAGGACTGCACAGAACAGAACAAAGAGCCATATGAAATATATAACAGCAGACAGGATGGTGGTGATAATTACAATATAGCTCTAGATAATAGAGAACTGAAAACCCATCTCTAACAGATCACTGAAACGCAGCAAATGTTAAATTAGAAATGAACTGCTAATATCTAAATCAAGATCACCAAACACCAGAATATCACTAACTGGTACTCTGCACTCACGACAACCAGCTTCTGTGTCCTTTGAAAGATAAACAGTTATTTATGTGTTTTAATTTAACCTTTATTCTGTTTTGTTAAACAGTTTTATGTAAAGGTAAAGTCCTTAAAGGGAATCACTGTTGTGAGTCGGAAGGTCGTGGGTTCACTCCCTGGAGGAGCAGGACTTTTTTTTTTTTTTAAATGACTGACTTCCAGGTAGACTCAGCCTTGAGTGGGAACCAGGTGCAGTTCTGGGAAGTAAAGGCAGCCGGTGCGATGCTGACCACATCACCCATCTTGTGCCTATTGGTCTGTAAAATATAGGTCTAGCCCTATACACCCAAAAGCACGGAAAAGGGTCTTTTTTTCTCTTTCTTTTTAAAGTCCTTAAACCAGAAAAATCAACCCAGTATGTTTTGAGTGAAAGTTTAGACTAATAAACGACCTATATTTTATAGACCAGTCGCACTTAGTGGGTGATGTGGTCAGCATCACGCCGGCCGCCTTTACTTCCCAGGAATGCACCTGGTATCCAATAAAGGCTGTGTGGATTTAGGAGTCAAGTTCAGTTTAAAAAAAAAAAAAAAAAAAACTGGCTCTGCCAGGATGCAAACCCACAACTTTCCAATCTGCTGGTGGACATCTAGCCACCATCGCCATGGTGACTCCCATTATTCAAGGGCCTTTAAAAATTAATAAAAAAACAAAGCATAGTGTGCTTGCTATGTTTGGTCGAACATCTAACAGTGATCACAAGGCATGATCAAACTATTTTCATGGAACAAATGTTTTCCCCCCCTTATAAGGGTAGAATTGTCTCCTCCATTACATCACACTATATACAACACTCACAAGCAGAATTGGGGGGGGGGGGGGGGGGGGGAGGTTAGGTGTGAACTAAGAAAAGTTAACTCATACAGACGATGACAATGGAAGTGTACAAGAAGTTACTTGGTTTGATTAGATCATCCCACTGAGAGAATATTATTAGAGAAAGGAGCATCTCTACTAAACACATCAGATTGTAGCACATGAAGGAAGAAGGGGTTCTTACAAGAGAAATGTTGGGAAGCCTTGTGGTAATGATGACAGTGGCCTTTATTTAGTTGGTTGGATTCAAAAGTTAAAATCCACAATTTACAAACTATCAAGAGTTACAATTTCCTTCTGAACATTACACTATAATGCTACTTTAAAAAGGTGAGGCTATGAGCAGATAAAGGCTGAGAATCTACATGTAAGTAAACATTTAATTTTCACCCCCCCCCCCCCCCCACTAAATTTGTTAATTTAATTCATAAATCATCATCACTTACAAAATATATCAGTTAGTGGTACAAATGCCTTTTTTTTATAAATCACATTAGATTGCTGCTTAAAAATGTGAGCCAATAAGCAACGACAACAAAAAACAAAAAGAAGAATAAGTTTGATAGCCCCTATGTGAGCTATTTTTTTTCTCAACATGTGTTCTTTATTCAATTTGGTGCAAAAGTACAAAGCATTATGAGTTTAAGTCCAATGGTTGTGAAGTTATGGCTTTTTGAGTACACACTAGAAATGAGTGGAAATGGGAAAATGCAAGGGTTTAAGGGCTTGTAGTAAGTAGGATAAACAAAGAAAGGATGCAAATCCTTTAGCAACTGACAGCAAGTTCAGTAAATTCCAGATTTACTGCAGCACACCTACTTGGTATCAGCCATTCATTACTTTAACTCTTTATAGCCTGAGAAGTTCTAGTTTTCAAGTAGATAGTTTTTGAACACAAAAAAGGTTAAATAATGCTAAGATCAGGCTGTCACTTTAGATTCAAGAGTTAACGAAACAAATAGTTAAGAAAAAAGAAGCACAAGGAATGTGCACTGTGTATGGAGTAACTAATGAACGTGTGATGAGTTGCTTGGTACTGAAAGAGTTAAATATGTCTAAGAGTCAATAACCTCTTATAAATGATAAATGCTTTTTAAAAGGTGAGGCTACAAGAAAAGAAAGGTTAAGAATCCCTGTTTAAATGGAAACAGTAGGTTTCATAAAGTTGGGATTCTGATTGGATTCAAGTGCCAGCTGTCAAGCATAAAAGCCTGTTTATAAACTTTAATCTCTCAAAATCTTTATGAAGATCTAATGTACACTGTTAAATTGAAAACTTAAACTTCACTTGGATGTTTTTTTCTACACTGACATTGTGACTTGTTACCAACTGGCAGGTTAGAATCTGGACTGTTGTGTTGTTACTAACTGGCAGGTTAGAATCTGGGCTGTGTTCTCACAAAAGAGAAATTGAATGTTTCAGGAAGTCCAGCATGAGACTTTGATGCATATTTCCCGGTCCAAGAGAAAGGGGCAAGTCTGGTGCCAGTGGTTGGCCCATTTATAATATCAGCTTGGAAATTTCTGGCCATGTTCAAATCAGTCGTCTGAAAAATTGCAGCAAAGGTATTTTTTAATTGAACATATTGAAAAACATGTCATTGTATGTAAACTGGCTAAATGATCTAATAACTCAAGAATCAACAATGTAAAACAAATGTAGGAATCTGCATAGAAAAAGTTATAACAGGACAAACGAAACAATAAAAAAGTGGGCTGCAAATATCCAATAAACAACAGATCAGATATTTTTCTTATGGCCAAGAGAGAAAAACTAGGAATACTGAGGAGATATTTCTGTGGATTTTAAAAAAGGCATAGGATAATATATATAAAGAAGCAGTTTGTGTAATGCTGTGCAGGACTTTGGAATACTAAAGAAGTTAATCAACATGACCAGAATATGTTTGGAAGACACTTAGCATAAACGCAGAAAGTCAGACCCATTTTCATTCAACATCTTGTATAAAGTAAGGTGTCGGCTCTGTGGCTAAGTCGATGCGAACGCTTTGTAATGCCGGGGTGCCAGGTTCGATCCCAGCTGCTGACCATGCGCCTTGCTTGGTTTCGACAGTGGTTTAAGGGAGCTGACTGTCCAGAAAGCAATGGCAAACTACTGGACATAAATTTGCCTAGAGAAACCACACAATAGCCAGGGGCTGCTGGGGTTGGTTCTGCAACGTCCTGTAAAGGATACCCTTGGCAGAATGTTAAGCATCAAAGTTGTTTTTGCTTCCAACAGCGCTTTGCTAATGCAGTTTCCACATAAGGATTGTAATCTACGGTTTCACTGCCTGAGCTACTGAGTTTAGTGTTTGGTTGCAGCCCTGTGAGCTGTTTTTTTCTTTCCAATTTAAAAAAACAAGGGCAATATATCCAAACTAGTTCAAAAGCGAGGCAATATATCAAAACTAGTTAAAAAACAAGGCAATATAAAAACTTTCAAAATCAAAGCAATATATCAAAAAGAAGTTGAAAAACAAGGCAATATATCAAAAACTAGTTGAAAAACAAGGTAATATATACAACCTAATTTTTAAAATCCAGGCAATATATCAAAACTAGTTAAAAAAACAAGGCAATATATCAGAACTATTTCAAAAACATGGGCAAAATATCCAAACAAGGAGTCACCTTTGTATCATAGCATCCTGATGGTGTAGTCTGATTTATGGCCAAATCTCCTCTAGCACATATTGAATTCCAGGGACTTCCTCCACTATATGGGTCATTCTGGTAGTCTATGAACAAAATAAACAGTCATACACTAATGTTTTAGTAGGTTGTTGCTTCAGATGAGAAACAACAAATGGAGTAATTCTGAAGCATTAACAAATAGGGCAATTCTAAGTTATATAACAAATTTAGCAGTTCTCCTCATTCAGACTCTTTACTAGATGTCACAGATTTTTTTATTTTCTTTCTCCATGTTGAGATCTGCAGTCTTTTTCCGCCATCTTGTCTGGATGCATGTGAGTTTTTCTCTTCTATAAATAGCCTGATGTTAATTGTGTACTGTTAAGCTGAGGTCAGAGGGATCTTGTTTCATTTGTACTCTTGCTTCTGGGCTTCTTTGGTGCAGCTGTTGCAGTTCTTGGGTCCAGAAGGGTTCATAGTTTTGCCTTTGACCTCAGGGGATTGATATGTGTGCTGCTTCGAGTATGATACTGGTAAGAGCTGTGTTTTTTCTAACCTCATTGGTTGGAAAGAACTCAGATAGCTTCTTTTCTGTTGTTTCTGTATATGTCCCAGTCTGCTTTCTTGTAGTTCCAGCTGGCTATCTTCTTCTTGTTTTCAGGAGGCTTGACCTCTCCTATCATGACGACGACTGGTTTTGATCACTTCCTCCCAGCTGTTTCATCACTTCTTTGTCTGCCCTTCGTTTTTTTTTTTTTTTTTTTAAAGCTATAGCTATGTCTGGTATACTTTGTGTTCGCCATCGTCTAGAGTAGAAGTTTGGTTCAGAGTCAGGTTCATTCATTAGTATAAGCAGGTTTTCTACCATCCATTCACCTACCTCTTCTCCTCTTGTGTCCATGGAAGCATAGTCCCAACTAAGGGAATGACTGCTAAAGTCTCTGAGAATTAGGCAGACTTATCAGCAACTGGAATGTCCTCTAGTTCCAGTTTATTGTTGTTGGGACAGTAAAAGTTAGTTATGTACAGCCGCTCTGAAAGAATATGTTGTTTTACTGTCAGATGTTCACTCATTGATGCTTCTGGAAGTTTCTGTGGCGACAATTGTATTTTTAACTAATATAACGATGCCTCCTTTGTATCCATCTCTGTCTAGCCTATATGTTTCATAACCTCTGACTGAAAAGCGAGAGCCTGTATTTAAATGGGTTTCCTGAATGCAGACATCAATCTTTTGTTTATAGATGAATTTTTGCAGTTCAAGCTTTTTCATCCCGACCCCTTCTGCATTCCACTGCATTATCTTTAGTGTTTTGGCATTATTTTGCTTAATTCTGGTCCGCTGATGCGCAGAGCTACCATCAGTAGTTTGGGGTGTATCCTTTCGAGGCTGGAATCCAGTGCTGTTCTCGCCTGGCAGTAGTCCACCGGAGCAGCCCCATAACAGTGTAGGTATCTACGCATACTCATTAACTGTAGATTGCGTTGATGTCGGTTTCCATTTCTGGATGCCCATGCCCTTCAGGCCGACATGGAAAGTTACTGAGTGTCCCTATCTGTGTCCTGGTTCATTCAAACACTGCCTGCCAGAAATCTCCGCCTCTGATTATCCAGGGATGGGGGGGGGGGGGGGGGTTCCTGGGTGTGACCTTGGTGGGGATCGGGGCATGTCCAAGCACCGGTGGGCCCAGCATTGGCTGCACATTATGGGGGCTCATACTACGCCTAGGGTTTCTGTCTGGCTTACCCCAGCCATACCCTGCTATTTTACCCTTTGAGCATTTTGTTAGCGATAGAGACTCACTATCCGCCAGAGCCGTGTCTGTTAAAACAGGCAGCACCATGTGTAGGTACGGTTAACTTGATTGGTTGAGGCTATGAGTTAGGCGCAGACATTTCCCATTTTTTAGGTTGGACCTGTACAAACCAATCCTTGCTACCCAAAACAAATTCAACCAACCAAGAACACACCCTTACTACAACTAATGAGAAGAAGATCATAATAACAGACATGAGATTCTTAGGAGAGCTGCCGGTGTGACAAGAAGAGATAAAATCAAGAATTAAAAAATTTAAAAAAAAAACTAGGATGGAAACCAGTCATACAATTCATCAAAGAACAACAAAAGAGATGGTTTGGCCACCTGATGAGAATGCCCTGGTACCAAGAGCCACAGAGCCAGGCTGAAGAAATATAATGCACAGAGCAAGGGGAAGACCACACAAGAGATGGAGTGACATCATCAGGAGTAATCTAAAAAAAAAAAAAAATACACCAACTTGTACAATGCATGGAAAAGTACACAAACGATTCTTACATGCCCCCCCCCCCACCCCCGATGAGAAGAAGAACAACAACAACAACACACACAATAAAGACCAAATAGTTAGTCAGTAGTTTTTCTAGACTAAATTAAATTAAACAGTTTGCCATTGCTTCTGAATGGTTATCTCTCAATACCTCTGTTGAACCAATACAAGGTAGTCTGCTGCCAAATCCCCTGCAGCTGGGACTAAAACTGGCACCCCGGCACTGCTAGGCCACAGACACAAATGAGCAAAAAATACATTAAAAAAAACTGAAATAAAGTCAACAAAATACAAATAAACAAGAAATTAACAACAAACCAACAACAAAACACAAAAATCCATAAAGATAATGAACCAAAAAAACCAAAAAAAAAACAAACAGAACATGAATTAACAAGAAAAAGACAGACCAACAAAGAAAACAACAAGAAATTCACGTCATCCAACAAAGTGCATTTGAAAACTAAGAAAAAAGTGTGCCTACTAGAATCACAAAATATACAAGTAAAAAAACTGACAAAATAAACAAATATACTAAATAAAAAACATTCAGGCAAACTCAAAAAGAACAGTCAAGTAACTAACAAGGAAAAATAATGTACCATTATATCGCATGATAGCTTTGAAGGTGTCCATATCTTTGACAGAAGACTGGTCCCTGCGGAAGATTTTTGCCCTGGGTGCTAGTTCATAGGTGTAATTCTTCCCATGTAGGGCCACAAACTCTGGATAACCACTCTTGTTGTAGATTTCCTCAAAGAAAGGAATATTGTACGACGGGAAGTAGCCTGAAAAACCAAATACCACTTTGTAATTAACTGGTATTGGATATTTAAATATATGTATAATAAAGTAGGGGTATGAAAGCAGGATGAAAATGGTTTGGTAACTCAAGAATGTCAAATTTGAATTCAGTTCTCTCCCATATGGATTTCAGGGCCCTCATTTCATTTTTTTTTTTTTAAATCACTATTACATCCGTTTTCCTAGCTTATTTGTGTACAGTTGGTTGTTCCTTGCCGCTCAGGCAGATGCACTTCAACTTCGAAGGAAGCTCCCAATTATTCGACTCTTATGACATGTTTTTTTTTTTTTTTGGTTAGGCAGTGGGTCTTCCCCAAAATAGGGTCCCGGAACCCATACGGGAAAGAAGAAGAATCAGCTATGAGTTAAGAACCAACATCACAGCACTCGGGACATTCTTATAAGCGCTCCATCCCCATCTCAGCAGCAAGTAAAGGGTTCAAATTCCCATGGCACCAGTGAGAGTCTGATATTTTTTCTGTAACATCCCTTTCCTTTCCATGAGTGTTGAGTGTCAGCCAGATCCGTTGATCTCTCTTTGTTGCAACATTCTCTTCAGACAGCAATCATCTGTTTGTGCCTCCACATTGTTCACTCGCTCTCAAAGTGACACTTACAATATCTAGCTTTGTGCGGAACTGATGAATCTATTTGCCTGTCATTTCCCAACACACTGGCATGGAGAAAATATCCAAAAGAGGCTAACTACCCGGGACATCTGAAGCAATGTTTGCCACTCTGCACGGAGCATACCCATCTCAACCCTTCTCAGGATGTTCTCTGAATCTGTAACAATCATGACATATGCTTGCAGTTGATTCTCAAGCCAGCAGAAGGCTGCAGAGACCAGCTCTATTCTTAAATTAGATGTTATGGTTTCATATGCCAGGCTTTGTTGCACTAAGCGACGTCCATTCACTCTTCCTATGAACCCTCATTTACTTCTTGTATAAATTCAAAAATCTGGCAACAATCATATCATCAGATGGAACATGTGTGCCAGAGATTAAAAGCAGAACAGGTCAAGCGAAAGCTGCATTTAAGAAAATGAAAACTATCTTATGCAATAAATCACTCTCATTTAATGTTAGAAAGAGAGTGCTAAAATGTTACATAGTATCAGTTTTGCTGTATGGCAGCGAATCTTGGAGTGTCAGTGAACAAATTAGGAAGAATTTGGAAGCAACAGTGATGTGGTTTCTGAGATGAATGTTACGAATACTCTGTGCGGCCAGAGTAACTAACAACAATTGCTTGAAGACAATGAAAGTAGATCTCTATATACAACAATAAGAAAGAAACAAACACTGTTCTTTGGCCACATAATGAGAAGAGACATATTGGAGAACATTGTGACAACTGAGAAGATCAGTGGAAAAAGTGGTAGAGGCAGACCAAGAGAGATGACACTGGATGGACTGAAGCGATGGCAAGGAGGAACATCATCAAGAAAGCTGTTCCAGGCAACCAGGGATCGTGATCTGTGGAGCTATGCCAGTTGGCAGGTCACATGATGATGATGATGATGAAAAATAATCACATCATCTGGGTGAGAACTGACATGAATCTGCTGATTCTTAGATACGGTCAGCATTCAAGTCCATAATCTACCACCGAACATGCGAATGGTTGTTCTTTTTTGACATCTTGACATAGCTTCACCACAGCTGACAAATTTCACCTCTCTCATGTTTCCTACCCTCCAAGAGCTGCTACCTGTTTGTGCCTGTCCAACTGGTCTGTTATGTGTAACTATTATTTTAATTATTTCATTCTTCTGCAATTTCTATCAGAGATATGTCAGTTAAAGGATTTTAAGTGTTACTGTTCATATTTCAGTATAATCTGCCGGGAGCATAAGCTGGTTTGTTTTTATAACCGGGTTCTATAAAGGAACCATAAGTAAAAGTAATCCACCTTTTGCCACGTCTTGAGTATTGTATATATGGTGTTAGTTCAACATTTTAACAGGTGAGTTATTATAGTCAAACGGACACTTAAACGGCTGGGCGAGGTTGCTGAGAGGGCCTCGAGCTGGCTTTGGACGCAACGGAACAACGTAGGGGACGGGCCTCGGTAAGCTGGTCCGGGTGTCTAGTGGAAAAGGGTTTCTCATCCCTTGAAAGTCCATCATGTCCGAATTGTCTGCCAGTGATCCTCTGCCACCTGCTAACAAAAGTCCAACATGTGTCTGGTATACCAATCGTAAGCTTGCCGCTCGGTCGTCCAGGTATGCAGACTGTTAAAATTATGCTACCGCGGCGACTTCTTATCTCACAGTGCCCTCTGCAAATCACCAAGTCGTCTTGTCCCTATCCGAAAGAAAACACCATCCGGTAATTTCGTGCAGCAGGGAACCAGCCATGAGCTTCATGAACTCAGGTGGGCCCACTCTCTGAAAACGTCTAGGAGCTCGTAGGCCGAAACATTTGTCGACGAGGGATAACTTCTACTGATGACTGGTAGATCCCTGCTGTACTTGCTCCCCTGTGGAGTTTATTCCTAGTCAGAAGCAGAAAACCCCTGGGTTAATGTAATTTTATGTCACTTTTATACAAGCATACAAGAAAATTAAGATTCAAGAAAGTGAGTTACATGCAGACAGACTGAGATATGACATATGGATACAGACTGACTGACTGACTGACTTTCTACCCCACCAGGACATCACACAAGCGATAAACACCCGATGACACAAAGTGCCACCATATGGATGAGGATCACCGTGGAGAGGTCCCAGAAACCGCGTTCAGACAATTGGCCACATTCATGGCCTGCCTATATTGCGGCCCCTGGCAAAAGCCAGAGTGGGGCTTCAAATAACCAAAAAATTACGTCCTAAAAAGGACGTAGGAAATAATAGAATATATTATGGACACACATGTAATCACAGACAGACAGATAAATGGATGTGTCAGAGACATTAGACACACAAAAAACAAGATATTAGTAAGAAGATATCAGTAAGAATATAGCAGTAAGGAGATATCAGTAAGAAGATATAAGTAAGAAGATATCTATCAGTAAGAAGACATCTATCAGTAAGAAGATATCTATTAGTAAGACAATATCTATCAGTAAGAAAAAAATCAGTAAGAAAAAAATCAGTAAGAGGATATATATCAGTAAGAAGTTATCTATTAGTAAGAAGATATCTATCAGTAAGAAGATATCAGGAAGAAGATATCTATCAGTAAGAAGATATCCGTAAGAAGATATCAGTAAGAAGATATCAGTAAGAAGATTTCAGTAAGAAGATATCAGTAAGAAGATATCAGTAAGAAGATATCAGTAAGAAGATATCAGTAAGAAGATATCAGTAAGAAGATATCAGTAAGAAGATTTCAGTAAGAAGATATCAGTTAGAAGATATCAGTAAGAAGATATCAGTAAGAAGATATCAGTAAGAAGATAACAGTAAGAAGATATCAGTAAGAAGATATCGGTAAGAAGATATTGGTAAGAAGATATTAGTAAGAAGATATTGGTAAGAAGATATTAGTAAGAAGATATTGGTAAGAAGATATTGGTAAGAAGATATTGGTAAGAAGATATCAGTAAGAAGATATCAGTAAGAAGATATTAGTAAGAAGATATCAGTAAGAAGATATTGGTAAGAAGATATCAGTAAGAAGATATCAGTAAGAAGATATCAGTAAGAAGATATCAGTAAGAAGATATCGGTAAGAAGATATCAGTAAGAAGATATCAGTAAGAAGATATCAGTAAGAAGATATCGGTAAGAAGATATTGGTAAGAAGATATCGGTAAGAAGATATTAGTAAGAAGATATTAGTAAGAAGATATTGGTAAGAAGATATCGGTAAGAAGATATTGGTAAGAAGATATTGGTAAGAAGATATCAGTAAGAAGATATCGGTAAGAAGATATCGGTAAGAAGATATCGGTAAGAAGATATCGGTAAGAAGATATCGGTAAGAAGATATCGGTAAGAAGATATCAGTAAGAAGATATTGGTAAGAAGATATTAGTAAGAAGATATCGGTAAGAAGATATCGGTAAGAAGATATCAGTAAGAAGATATTGGTAAGAAGATATTAGTAAGAAGATATTAGTAAGAAGATATCGGTAAGAAGATATCGGTAAGAAGATATCGGTAAGAAGATATTGGTAAGAAGATATCAGTAAGAAGATATCAGTAAGAAGATATCAGTAAGAAGATATCAGTAAGAAGATATCAGTAAGAAGATATCAGTAAGAAGATAACAGTAAGAAGATATTGGTAAGAAGATATTAGTAAGAAGATATTAGTAAGAAGATAACAGTAAGAAGATATTAGTAAGAAGATAACAGTAAGAAGATAACATTCATTCATTCAGTAGCATGTCCCTCGCGGAACCTCGCTGCCATAACAACCCTCCGGAAAACCTTCCTATCCTGAGCAAGATGTCCTGCGTCTGATACACCCATCTGGAGATCATCTGCCACATCCTGCACCCATCTTCTCCTTGGCCTTCCTTTTCCTCTCTTCCCAGGCATATACCCCTCCATTACTGTTCTCTCTAGACTTCCATGACGTTTCAAGTGACCAAAATATTTCAATTTTCTTTGTTTTATTGTCTTTACTAGCCAACCCTCTTCAATATTCAGCTCTTGAAGTATGGATGCATTTGTTCTTTTCTTTACCCAAGATATTCTTAGAACCTGTCTGTAACATTTATATTCAAATGCATTTATGCGCTGTTCCGCTTGTTTAGTAAGTGCCCAGGTCTCACAGGCGTATGTTGCAATGGGAAAGATGCATGCTCTTAAAAATCTGACCTTTGTAATTCTATCTGTACAATTCCATAATTTTTTCAGTTGTTTTAGTCTTTGAAGAGCAATTGATAGTCGCCGTTTAATTTCTTTCATTGTGTCACCATTGTTGGTAACCAGTGACCCAAGATATTCGAAATTTTCCACCACTTCCAATCTTTCCTCATTAACATATATTTCCTTCTCCATGGCAGTTTTGTTTGTATGCATTATCTTTGTTTTTGCTATGTTAAGAAATAAGTTATGATTTTCACTATTTCTTTGGAGTGAGGTTAATAAGTTTTTTTTAAACCATTTTGTGATGTTGATAGTAATACTGTATCATCAGCATAACGAATTTCTGGTATTTCATGACCACCGATGTTTAGGGCATCATATTGTTCCTTGTTTATATCATCTCTTACATTTCTCATTATATTTTCGGCGTACAGGTTGAACAAATACGGTGACAGCACACATCCCTGACGGACTCCTTGCTTGATGCCAAACCAGTCTGATGTCTCTCCATCTATTCTGACTGCTGCTTGTTGGTCTTGATAGAGCATTTTAATGAGCTGCACTATATGTGATGGAAAGCCCATATTCCTCATGATTTCCCAAAGCTTCTGATGTTGTACACAGTCAAATGCTTTTGAATAATCCACAAAACATAAGAACAGATTTACATTAAATTCTCTACACTTCTCTATTATTAAACGCATGTTGAATATATGATCTCTTGTTCCTCTTCCCTGTCTAAATCCAGCCTGAGCTACATTAATCTCTTCTTCCATTTTCTTATGCAGTCTTCTCATTATAATTTTTAGTAGAATTTTACTTGCATGACTGATCAGGGAAATAGTTCGATAGTTTGTACATAATTTCAGGTCACCCTTTTTTGGTATTGGAATGAAGATAGTTCTCTTCCAGTCTTTTGGCCAAATACCATATTTCCATATTTTTTCACATAATGCATGATAGATTTTTATGCTTTCTTCTCCTCCCGCTTTAATCCATTCAGCTGGTATCTCATCACATCCAGGTGATTTACCATTTTTCAGGCTCCTTATTGCCCATGAAATTTCATCTAATGAAGGTTCAGGTAAGAAGATAACAGTAAGAAGATATCAGTAAGAAGATAGTAAGAAGATAACAGTAAGATGATATCGGTAAGAAGATATCAGTAAGAAGATAACAGTAAGAAGATATTGGTAAGAAGATATTAGTAAGAAGATATCAGTAAGAAGATATTAGTAAGAAGATATCAGTAAGAAGATATTAGTAAGAAGATATCAGTAAGAAGATAACAGTAAGAAGATATTAGTAAGAAGATATCAGTAAGAAGATATTAGTAAGAAGATATCAGTAAGAAGATAACAGTAAGAAGATATTAGTAAGAAGATATCAGTAAGAAGATATTAGTAAGAAGATATTAGTAAGAAGATATCGGTAAGAAGATATTAGTAAGAAGATATCAGTAAGAAGATATTAGTAAGAAGATATCAGTAAGAAGATATTAGTAAGAAGATAACAGTAAGAAGATATTGGTAAGAAGATATCAAACTGACCTGCTCTCAGTATCGGTGTCAGATCTTCTGCAACGACCAGACCAGGGATCTGCTCGGCGACCCACAAACTATTGTCTGGCAGTGGACTCTGGGACTGGATTAACTTTGTGTCAACGACCATGTACTGATTGTTATATGTGCCTAGAAAAGAGAAGAATAGTTGTACATATGTAGAGAAAAGAAGAATGGTTGTACATGTCTACAAAACAGAAGAATAGTTGTATATACTTAGAAAACAGAAGATAAGTAGATACCCAGAGAACAAAAACAGTTGTTTGTACTGAGAGAATCAAGAGAATAGTTGTACAAGCTCTTGATTCTGATGCACTGGTATTCAGGTTACCTCAGTCCTGACAAGAACTTGCACCTATCGGGGTGAGGCTGAAGTAGACACTTTGCTCCTGACTTCTATCTTAAGCCTTCAGTGTTACCTTTGACCTTGCTTACATCCAGATCATGCGTTGAAGCCTGCAAATCCTTTATCCATCTTTCTTTCAATTTTTTCATCTACAGGGTGTCCAAAAAAGACTCTGAAATTATATGTTAGTAACATTCTAACATTTGTTGAGTAACTTCAAAGTTCACTCAAACAATACTGCTGGATCTTGCAACACATGTTCGCACTTCCCAGTCTTGGTTCTGGGGCCCACTGTGGGGGAAGAAACAAGAACAGACCTAATGTCTCCCCAACAAGCATGTCATATGTGTTGACGAACTTTGAAGTTGGAGTGAATCTACCTGAGAGGCCAGAAACCAACAATCTGTCAGATCTGTTAAATGGGTTTGCAAGCAACACTCACTCAAATTTCTTCCATCAGTTTACAGCCAATAAACGCACAAAAGAAAGACAAACACTTATTCGTACAATGAAATACACATTTTCATGACCCTGTAAACAAATATTTAAAAATTTTGCAGTACAGTGACCTTTTCAGACACCCTAAATTTGGACACCGTATACTATAGCATCCAACAGATTGTTTTCTGACCTAACCAAAGCACCCTGTCTTTCTCCTTTCCTCCAGCAGTGTCCTTAACCCGGTAACAAAGTACCATCTCCAGAGACACTATGCTGCAGATCTTCCCCTTTCCACTGCAAGCCCAGAAACCAGTGTGATCTATCCGACCAGGACCTAACCCTGACATCTGCAGATAAATCACACCACAGGGAAACCCCTGAGTCACCGTCAAGTTATGGTCTTGTCTTGTGACCTCTGTGACCCAACAGTTTTATGTAAATGTCTGGATTAATTTCTAGCTAAAGAAAATGTGTCTGGTCTACAGGTCAATATTTTCTGTAGGAATCTGTTATAATCTGCTTAATATGCTTAAATAGTGTTTAGACTCACCCCCCCCCCTCCACCCCCCTCCCCCTCTCTCTCCCCCCCCCCCCCCCCATTAAAAAAAAACAATTTGTCTTATGGTCCTTGGGTAAATGTGTCAATCTGTTCTGTCAGTGTCGGGGAAAGAGGATGTATTGACTGCTATTCATCATGGACCAGTGAAATGACCTCTGAATTGTTTGTTTTGCATGAACAGATAACTCCAAATGTACAAATACCTCAATTATGTTTAATTTATCTCCTAATGGAACAGAAGCCTTTAACCAACTAACACCAAATCTCTTATTAGTTTCTGCAGCTAGTCTTTTATGGAAAAAGTAACCAGTCTCGTGTTATTTCTCTTCTTCGTTGCCACTTATGGCTTGCATCTTTGGTTAGTGTTACTACTGCTTGCCTAGTTAGCCTGGATAACACACAGGTGGTAGACCAGAAACACAAAAGCTATAAATGTTTTTCCTGGGTAGGTTTTCTAATCTTGAAATTTGCAGCAGTCTATTTGGTCTGCTTGATTTCCAACAGCCAAGTTGAGTTTTTAAGTGTGCAGTGTGATAGGAGTCAGTTTATTAATGCAAGGACACAGCAGCTTTTCGGGTATTTCTCTTTGTCTAAGACATATGTTAAATTCACCATTCCAGGGCAATAGTAGAAGGGGTGGGGGCAAAAATATACCATCCTTTTCTTGCACTGAATAAATCAACCCCCCCCCCCCCCCCAACCCCACCACACATAAAAAAAAACCCCAAAAAAATGAATCAACCTTCTGCTTAACCCTCTGGAGACGGAGCCTTTTTAGAGTTTCAGTGCCAAAAAGACGAAGCCTTCAGGAGGGGATTCTCATAGTCTATACACACACAAAATTATTAAAAAATTAAGTGTTTAATTAACATATACAAAACTATACATATTCGTGAAGGAAATTGAATGAGCTAACAGAATATTTATGGATCAAACAGAAGTCTCAATATTTATTCAAATTAACCATTCTGATGTGCATAATTTATGCAAGCACGTTTTTTTAAAACTTGTAAACAAACATGACTAACCTAAAAAAAAATTAATGTGAATTTGTTTATGGATGAAGCTTGAATAAGTCCTAACACCTGTGTTTTGGGAAGTAAGGCCCTTGAAGGCCTTTCGGACACTTCTGGCAGATGGTTCTACTTATTTTTCTGCCTCCACCTATGTTTCCTTTGCTATAACACAACAGTCCTTTTTGTCATTGTTTATGCACACGTAACCTCAGAAAACAAATTGATGTAAAATAACCGAAAGCATCAAACTTTCTCAAAAGGCCTCAATAAACAGCCCACATGTGCAAGAAATGCGAGAAGCAATCTGACTGGCTGGTACGAAAACCTGCCAGCCAATCTCAAGGCTTGTAATACATAGGGTCGACTGATCGACCCAAACGTCTATTTGGCTACTTTGTGTCAGGCCTATATTTCGGGCGTGACATCTTTAAAGGGTGAAATTAGGAGTGAAGGTTGTACTCAAAGTGACAAAGATAAAAACTGGTTAAGACAAAAAAAAGTGAAAAAATATTCACCTGAGTTATACTTGGAGACAATCTCTGTCCACTCTTTGCCATTGTGAGCCATCATGTTGGCAATTCTGACTCTCTGCCATGCCATCAAGGATTGTGGTTTGACAAGCTTGTACAGGCTTGAATTGTAAATGCTGTTTGTGGTTTGTAACATTACCAGACCACTCCCCAGCAGGTAGAAGTCATCTAGTGATTCCAGGTAACCTGAAAAATTCAGTTTTATTTGTACAGAAAAAGTACAGACTTAAACGACCAAAATCACCACATAAATATAAGCTCCTTAATGAAGCGTCAGGTGAAGTTCAATGTAGGGGTGTCGATGCTTGACAAGGAGTAATGAAATGAAGAAAAAGAAGCAAACTGTTTGAGATAATTTTGTGAACATCACAGACAAAGAAGAAAAAGGCTACAGCTGCAGATTTTACCAGATCACTTGTATACTTAAAAAATAAAATAAAAACTGCACAATCATCATCATCATCTTCCTCTTTTGCTTTCAAGTGTCATGAGGAGGAATATCTGGTTGTCAAGTGCTCGATGAGAGGAGCTAGCAATTGTCATTTTGTGCATCTATAAAGTCTTTAACATCATCAATCCTTCTTGGGTATCATCTTGCTCTAGGATAAGGTCTAGCACCTGTGTTGGTAACTGACACAGCTTATCAATGTTTAACAAAAACTGTTTCCAGAGTCTCATAGTGTCATGTCTAACGCAATCTTGAGTGATTAAATTGGGGGTTTAATCTGTCATCCTCCGTGTTTAAACCTCCTATGCACTAAGTATTTAAAGAAACTAAATGGCCAGCAGTAGCAACAGTGAAAGGAAGCCTCGGACCTTTACAACATCAAAGAAAAATGGCTCTTTTTTAGAGAAATAATTTAAAATACAAAACAAAGCAAAATGACGACACAAAATAAACACCTGGATAACTGGAGAAGGATATCCTTCTTGCTGCCGTGGCAGGATCGGTCACATTCAGGTTGTAATGTTTGAAGATTCTGTTCATGACTGAGTATAAAAACCAGCTGGAGTGGGACATGAAGATATTCTCATACCCAGGCAACAGCTGGAAAAAATTAAAGATTAAACAGAAAGAAGAATAATGAAACATTCTGGTCGTTCTGTCCTGTGTAATATATATTTTAAACACATGTTTGGGCACACTAACACACACCCCCCCCCCCCCTTTCCCCCAACCCAATAATTTTCATATCCTGTAAAATAAATAGTGTATGATATATGCATCTTTATTTTTACTATAAATTAACACTGAAAAACAGAGGACAGGGAAGAAGGTTCATGTTTAAAAGAAAGACAGCAGATTAGATGGAATGATAAAACATGGACAGGAAAACAAGGTTAGACTGCATCACTGCAGTAAGAAACAATTCTAACAAAGCAATTACCTATGTGAAGGTGTCTGCTAATATGACTGATTAAAACAGTATCATTCTTTCTGGAGATTAAAAAAAATGCAGATATTAGCAGGATGGGATAAGAAAAATTAAAGACAGACAGAGGCAGAAAGACTAGCGGAGACAGACAGACCTGCTAGAAAGGATATATAGATGTATCGTAAGGGACATCCTTACCTTTAGGGAGGATATCACGACCTGCTATTACAAATATTCAGACTTTCAAGACATATCTGGACTTGATAAGAAAGATTTCAAAATGTGTCCCAAAATAAGTTAACAAAACCTGTCAGAGACAAGAACACAGAGACAGGTTTGATATATTTAAAACAAATCTGGACCTATCAAGAAGGATATTTAGCAGAATTCAATGAAAACTGTTAGCATAACACCAACCTTGATCAGTGCTGAGCAGTGCCCGCCTGAATAGAAGTAATTTTCTGCTTCCTGTGGAGAAAATTTGGTCCAATCCGGGATAGATTCTGGGCTAAGAGCACTTATCAGGTCAAGAAGATCTCCGTTGGCATTTAAGATATTGATTGCAAACATATCCAAGGTGGTCTGCTGAAAGATGAAAGCAAGTAAGTAACCATGAATGCATGGAACAAGTTAAACAAACATAAAAATGTAACAACTGACATTAGATGTTACAAAAGTTAAGGTCATCAACTACAGATGCTGGAAGTTAAAAAAATTTAGTTAAGTGTCACATGTATTGAGTTGGGGGGGGGGGGGGGGGGGGGGGAGGCGGGTGTAACTGAAAATATTTGGGGAAAAAAAAGTCAACAGATCAAACAAAAGCAACTAGAGATGATGTTAAACAATTGTGATGAAACCAAGTAACCAGATTTACTATGCACGTTTTTCACATACACACATTTCCAAGGAGCTGTTTGAAGTACATGGTTAGTTTGACAACACTACAGCCCTCAGATAAAGCAAGTTAACTCCTACTACAGAATTTTCCAAGCAATCATTAATTACTTTTCGCTGCTCAAGAATTTGTAACATTCATCTCTGATGCCACATCTCTGCTGCTTCCAGGGCTCCACCATTTATTTATGGATTCACTGCCTTACTTTTTCTTCTTCTTCATTGTTTGCCCGCGTGACACACAATTGTGTTGTGCCTATTTACAGCATAGCCTCGATATTTGTACCTTTCGGCAGACACATCCAACTTCATGAGACATTTGTTCACCGGGTTAGCCTTCCCGTTTGGTTTCAAGGCACCTGAAGTAGCCTGACTTGTATGGTGTCTTCTTTTTTCCTTTATCTACAGGAGCTGCCCCTGGAGAACACTCAGACGTGCGAAGCAAATTGTAGAGTATACCTGAACCTTGTCTGTCACACAGTCTGACAATTGACAGTTGGGCCTCTGAACCTTGTCTATCACACAGTAAGACATTCTATGGTCAGACATCTAAAATGTTCCTGTTATGCAGCAAAACACCTGATTGACAAATATTTGAGCCTAATCAGCAATTCAGTAGGACCTTCAGTCAACAGATGTTTGACAAAGGTCTGCCATACAGTAGAATATTTGGCCAGCAGGCTTCATTCATGTTCCAAATGAGTCTTTGATGGACATTATCACCCATGCTTCTTTAGTGGTAGCTGATGAGTGCCAGAAGATTTCTGGACACTGCATCTCTGGGGACCACCAACCAAGTTCAGGCCGATATGTACTATTATCCATTACACAACAACGAGGAGGTGTGGCAGAAGTTATGAATAAGGATCCGTAAAACCAGCACAGAGCCTGTTGGTAACTGAGGTGAAGTACGGAGCGTCTCCTTAAACATCTTAACTGCCTTAATTTACCCTCATACCTGTGACCTAAATCACCACACTACCACTGCCCTACAGCAAGACACGCTCAACATAACGTTTCAGAACTCTCTGACATCTACATAAATTTTAAAAAATGTAAATTTTCCGTGGTCGTTACCTACAGACTGCGAAATTAGTGAACCGATTGTTTTAAAAATTTCACACAACGCTGTCTTTGACTCAATGAGTGTTTTTCTGTCAGAAAATGGCACATCACACGAACGACGTAGTTCCAGCAACGGTCAAATCATTATTTGTTTCGTTGCCAGCCCTGATTTGATTTTAGTTGATTGGCCACCTTCGACTGCTGAGAAGGGCTGCCAATAGATGCCTTTTCCTACATGATCCATCTCCGACATTTCTTTACCGATCACTCTCAAATTTGTATACAACGTTGCCTTAGACTCCGCGCGTGTTTTTATGTATTAGTGTTGCACAAACTACGAACGACGTAGCTCCAGCAATGATCATTTCATTAGTTATTTGGTTGCTGGCCCGGATTTGTTTTTAGTCGATTGGCCACCTTTGGCTGTGTAACACTGAACTTCACATTATTATTATATAATTTCATTTCTACTAAATGCTTGAGTATTTGGTAGCATAGTTGTAAACATTCCACCTTTCGGTTAATCGGCGTTCGATTCCCTGCTGGATGATACTGTTTTTTTGAGGTGGCATCTAACTGGGTGGCTGCCACATTTTGTTCTGGTTTATAGCTAGGCTGCGATATTTACGCCTTTTTTTGCTTGGTTTTGGGGTTTACAGCTAGCCAGCGATAGCGGTGACGTGATGCTCACTGGTCATGTCACGGGTAATATTTGTTCACCCTTGAGAGGGCGGTTGGACGTTGTGTTGTGGTTTACAGCTAGGCTGCGATATCTGACCTAAAGTCCTCAGTCTTCGATAGTATAGTTTAGGTATTCAGCACTTCACGCGGGTGACTGGTGTTTAATTCCCCGCTGGGTGCCAATTTTTCTTTTTCCCTTAAAGGGGCGGTTGGCACATTGTGTTGTGGTTTACAGCTAGGTTGCGATATCTGCGCCTTACGCCTAAAGACATCAGATTTCAGTAAAGTCCCAATTAGCCTCCATCGGATGCTTCACTCGATCAAAAACTGTTCACTGATGACACAAACTGTTAACTAAGACGGCTAAGCGTCCAGTTTGGTTTGGGTCAACACGGATGCCAAGGTTAATTAAAAATTGTCCCTCTGGAGAGGGAGAGGTGACAGGTGCGGGTTTTTATTTCCGCTGTTTATGATTATAGTGAACTTTCTTTTTCAATCATTGAATATTACTGTAGGTTCCATCACTGGTTAGATGATGATGTTTTTTATTTTTTTTATTTCAGGGGCACAGTTAAACTAAACAGTCTGTGGCGACAGCATGCGCCGCTAACTCCTCTGGCTACAACGACCTGCACAGACAGTAGTGACCGTTTGTTGTTGTTGTTGTGACGGTGGTGGTGGTAGCGGTAGCAGTAGTACTGGTACTTGATGGGTTATGTGGTAGCTGTTAAGCTGGCCACATTTACTTCTCAGTACAGATTTTTTAGTCTGGTTGGAAATGGATGCCAAGCTCAATTTAACAACAATATTTCGTCAGGCGATGACTTTGCCATTCTTCGTAGAAAATGATATGATTGTCGGGGGGGGGGGGGGGGGGGGGGTGGGGGGGGGGAGGGGGGGATTGTTGAGGGGGATGGGGGGTTGATGCCAGACACTGTTAACTGAGAGAGCTTAAAACATTATTTTACAGTTCTCATTTCTTAGCTATTTCTATTTCAACAATGTCGCCGGGTGATGTTTCAATCATTCGGAGAGGGAGACATAATTGGTGAAGAAGAGGGGGGATTATGACACACTGTTAGCTCAGAGAGCTTATAACTTTATTTTACAGTTCTCATTTCTTAAATATTTATATTTTAATACCGCTTCCTCAGATTTTCTGATTTTGTGTGTGTGTGCCAGTTTGTTGGTCAGTTAGAGGTATAGCAGTCAGCTCTTCTTTCACCTGTTTTAGCACAAAAGATGCTTTAGCCTGCGATAAACAAATTTTTTTTCTTTCTCTAACAGTGTACTTTATTCGACCACTAATATCGACATTCGCTGATATGTTGCGTGTTCTAGAGTTGGCATATCAGACTATCTCTGTAGCTGTGCAATGACTGATATTAACCATATTAGACAGGTGCGCTTTCGATTTTCTTTCTTTTATAGTTTACCATTCTGGGCCACAGCAACGCGTGGCCGGGTACAGCTAGTTCAGAAATAAAAACTAATTTACTGCATAAGGTATGTTTAATCTTATGAAATGCCATCTGTTTTTAGGACTGACCCTAATATTCATATTTATTCACTTGGTGAAACTTCTTTCTATTGTAATATTACATTTTGGTGTTTTCTCAACTACCGTCCGATGTCATGTGACTGCCAGGTTCATCAGTCACTTTAAGTGGTCATGAAGAGAAAGAACAAATGGGGTAGCTGAATCTCAGCAGATGATAAAATCCATTTAGAAATATGATTACCACTTCCATTCTGGCTCTTTCTGACAAAATAATGATCAAATCTGTGTATGGGTACCTTTTTTTTTTTGCCACTAGAAAAATGGGAATGATAACAAGTTCATCATTAAAATATGTTAAATCTTTTCTGGTTTATTATTTTTTTTTATATTACAAGAAGCTTCTCTGAACCGTGCACATGTGTAATAATTTCCATCTGGCTTTTTCTACTGTTACACTGCTGTTTATTTCCCCTGGTCTCTATGCAGTCAGATTTCCCCCTGTCTTGAACTACAGATGTCTATCTGAAAGACTCCCATACCAGTTTAGGCTTCATGTCCCATCACTCTGTCTCAAGTTGATACCTCATGACTCACCCTTTAATCATCTATCACTGTAACCATCTCCCCTTGTATACTTTAGGTTAAGTATATCTTTACTTCCGGTCAAAATGGACGATAAGCGCAGACACTGTTTTTAGTCATGACAAATTTGTTTGCTGCTGATGGCTGTTGCATTGTCCTCCATTTATAGACTGAAAGGATTATATTTGAACTAATATTCAATAAAACAATTAGGTGTCATCTCTGTAATAAATGCTATCCTAAACAGATCAACATTTCCTGAGCTGGTTTTACATTCTCTCTCTCTCTCTCTCTCTCTCTCTCTCTCTCTCTCTCTCTCATGTTTTTCATCTATCTTTCATGTTATCCATCTCCTTCCGCATTGCTATCAACTTGCTCTCTTGCCTTTAACCTTTCTCTGCAGTATAGTTTTTATAAGAGTGTTACTGTAATGTCTTTTAATGTGGCCAAAATATTTCAGCTGTGCTATTTTCATTAACTAACAAATATATTTATCACCTAATCTAATCTAAGTATGGCTGGACTTTCCCCTCTAAATTTTTGTATTCAGTAATGCCTGTTCTCTGACATTGTACCATGTGCTCAAGTATCAATTACCGTGCCCTGGGCCAAGGTAACCATCAGGCCCAGTAAATCAGCCTATTAGTTTTTATTATCAATTACAATTTCCTTACAACGCTTTAACTGCATCACAGTCAAGTTTCTCATTACCAGGCCTTCTGCGCTTAATCTGAATGTTTGTACAACAGACGGTTGTACTTTGATATAGCCATTGTTTCTGCTATCTTGCAGATGGCTGCAGGTTATTACAACTCATTATAAATGGTTAATTGACTGAGCACATGCTTCAGAAACTAAAACTGGTGTCTTATGCAAAGAGTGGCTCACATTGCTTGACAAGACTTAATTAGGAGTATATTAATCTTCTGCCCAGGACATCTGGATATATGTGGTGATAAACTGTCAATATTTAAACTGTCTTTTGATTTTCATGCATTTAACACTGTGTAAAACAGAGCTGAAGTAAAACCCAATGGTAAACAGTCCCAAATGAAAGTCTGGCTTTCACACATATCAAGTTATGGTATGAGGTAGTCAATGCCCTTCCTCGCTAATTTTGCTGATCAGAAAACTATAAATGATTGAGTACCTAATTTCTGAGAGTAGGTTAACTCCAGAAACTTAATTAATAAAAAAAAAAAATATTCAGAAATTCAAGTAGCAGTTAGTGCAGTCAGGGCATGAAATGTTAGGCTTTCTCCTAGTCTAGGTCGTGACATATATGGTGAGGTTGCCTGCTTCCTTCATCACCTTTTCTACCCAAGTAATTCTTGTAAATTCTGACTACTGTCTGGAACTAATGTTTTTTTTTTATAGACGGGATAGACCCTTCAGTTGTATGAGTCAGAGAAAACAGTCCCGTGCCTGCTGAGAACTAAAATCAGACCACTGCCGTGGTAGGCTAGTTAACTAACCACTACACCACATAACTACAGATATATGAGAGCACTAACCATTACATTACAGGTATATAAGAGCTCTAACCGCTACACCACTGGTACATGAGAGCTCTAACAACAATAGGTAACGAGGGGAAGTCAATAAGTAAGTCATAAATAGTTGTTTAAAAAAATTAATAAACGAAAACAACTTAAAAACCGTTTAATTTTTACACACACACACTGTTCCTTTATTTTTCCACATAATTTCCACCAACATTGATGCACTTGTCCCATCGTTTTACAGTCCTTCCAAACCTGCGGCATAGAACTGTGTGCTTTTTTTCCTAAACCATATTTTCGCTTCACATTTGATTTCTGGGTCATTCGTGAAATGTCTCCCACCAGTGTGGGTTTTCAGTGGACCTAAAAGGTGGAAATCGCTGGGTGCTAAGTAGGGCTGTAAGGTGGATGTTCCAAAAGTTCCCACCCTGGATGGTTAATGTTCTCCTGAGTTAATCGAGCCGTATGTGGTCTGCATTTTCATGAAGGAGCAGTACTTCTCTAGTCAGATGGCCTGGACATTTTTTTCAAATTGCATCGTGAAGCATCGATAGAACTTTACAGTATGAATTAGTATTCACATTTTCAACTCTCTTTTTTTTAATTAGTTAAAAGCACTCCTTGACAATCTCAGAACATAACCTTCCTTGCTAAAGGCGTAACCTTGAATTTTTTAACACAAGGCGAAGAAGGATGTTTCCATTGCAGTGAAGCACGCTTTGATTTGGGCTGGTAGTGATGCACCCATGATTCATCCCCAGTAATAATCCTGTTCAGTATGTCATCTGCATATCGACAGAGATGCTGTAAGGATAGGCCTGATAATTCATTTTTGTGTTTGTCAGTTGTCTAGGGTACCCACATTGAGCACATTTTCTCAAAATTTCAATCGATCACGCATTATGTTGTATAACCATGTGAGCACCCTATTGCAGGTGCTACAGAGTCAGCTGTTACTCGCCTGTCATTTTCTCCACCTGCTGCATAAATGCACTGTTGCAATCTCAACAGGACGACCAGATCGGACTTCACGAACAATTTTAGAGCATCTTTGAGAAATTATTGTTACCCAGCTATGCACCGCTTTACGGGATAAACATTTGTCAGCATAAACAGGAAGCATTTCCTTATGAATGTCCTTTGGCAGGCAGCCCCCCCCCCCCCAACACCCCAAAAAAAACTGCACAACAGAATGCTGTTCTTTGAGGGTACACTCTGTTTAACTACAGTCACCATTTTGTTTCTGTGTTGCAAATGCACATGCAACACCTAGCACCACCTAACAAACAGAGACATAAAGTTCGATGTTGCTGTCAACTAATGACACCTTTAGAAACCACCAACTACATTTTCCTGCCATCCCATAAGCATTTGTGACTTACTTATTGACTTACCCTTGTACTACATACACCACATAACAGGTTATGAGTTTTAACACTGATCTTGGTTCACAGGGCAATCCAGTTACCTAAGTGACAGTAAATGTTCTGGAAATAAAAGGGAGGCCAAGGCAATACAGACTACCTCCATGAATGAGTCATATGCTGCAGACATGCTCTCTTCATGGGGCAGAGAGATCCATGGCTGGTTGGTTGGCTCCCAGTGGAAACCAAACTGTATGATCAGTGAAGGACAGACATCACACACAGAGGCCTTATCTCTACAGCACTGGCAGTGAGAATGAAAAGACCAAATGAGGGCAGTGCATTTAGTCTATAAAAGTGTGAGGCTAGCACCACCTGCTCAACAAGCTTCAAAGCAGGGGGTCTAGTGGTTTTATTTCTGCTGATCAAGTTCCATTCACCTAACTACTATTTGTTATGCCCTAAATGATTATTGTTAGGTTTATACAATTCTAGAAAAGGGGACATGGTTAATTTAATTCTAACAAACCTCGTCACTGCTTGTAGCAGACTTGTAGCCAGCATACAGACCATCTAGCTGTGCCAAAATATAAGAAGCATGGCGCCAGATTGGATCAGAAGCATGTGCCTGGATCATTTCATCTGCCCATCTTCTCTGTACTGTAAACCAGAGCTTTACCTTTTCTAATATGTCTGAAGGCTTAGGCGGAAACAAGACATTGGCAAGATTTGTAAACTGGTACTCCATTTGTCTGTAGGATACATAACAATTGCAAACCAATAATGAATAAATCAATATGAGAGAGACAGACAGACAGAGAAAGAGAGAGAGAGAGAGACAGATAGACACAGAGAGAGAGAGAGAGAGAGAGAGAGAGAGAGAGAGAGAGAGAGAGAGAGAGAGAGAGAGAGAGAGAGAGAGAGAGAGAGAGAGAGAGAGCTGATATCACTGCATTCCAGAATACCCCCCCCCCCCCCCCACAAGTGCTCCACCTTCAGTAGCCATCCCAGAGTGGCCAGGATGATGGTGCCAATGGTCACCGGATTGAAAGGGCATGTTTGTTTTCACATCAAGCATATTCATCCATCAGTTACTAAAATAACTAAAAATAAAATGGAGACAATGAAATGAAAATAAGAAATCTTTTAGGTAACAATGGTGAAAGAGAACAGAAAGTAAGAAACTGGTTGCTGCTGTGAAGTTTGCCACTCTGCTCAAAGAATCCCTGTCTTGCTCAAGGAATCCCTGTCTTCACCTTTTTCAGCATGCTTTTAGAGTCTGTTACGATTACGACATGTGTATGCATCTTGTTCTCTAGCACTTACCGCCTCCACCTTAATTCTCATGCTAGATGTTGTGGTGTCATATGCTAGGTTGTCTTGCACTAAAGATTTTCCATTGGAATTTGCTACGAACCCCCAGGCACTTCTCTTTCCTCTCAGCACCAAACCATCTGTAAAGATAATCAGATCACCTGGGCGTGAATCAACTGTTGGACTTTAACCTCCATAGCACCCGCTGGCCACTCTCTACACACCCGGCCCAATGTGATCATACGCCTACACAGGTCAGACTTTTCCGCTGGTACTCTGACCCACTCCTTTCCTCGCCCAATGTTCTCCAGCATGCATACTTGACTTATTGTGTCTTTTGCTTGAGCCATCCACGATTTTCACCCTTTTAGCCTCTGACCCTTGCCTGCAGCCAAAGCTCCATACAGAGGGTGTTCCCTGTCTGCAGCTACTCTGAGGTATGACTTAGCCTGCAGCACTTTGAGTCGATCTGCAATAGTTGGCAATGCAAGGATGTTTTGCATGCACACAGTCTGGGTGTCTCTAGTACAACCAAGGATCAGCCGCATAGCTTTATTCTGTATGCGCTCCAGTTTCTCTAGCTGACTCTTCGTGACAGTGAGTAATTGCAGGCAGATGTGTCTAGGCATTGAGGTAGCCAGTGTCATACGAACCCTCCATGGTTGGGAATCAAGTGTTCATGTTCAGCAAGCAACGAGGATACATTCTGAAAGTTTTTTTGGGGGGGAAGGGGGGTGGTGAAAACAGCAAATCTTTCCGCTCCCTGAGGCACATTGGATAAATAGTACATTCTCAATATTTGTACACATCTATTGATACTCAGATGATGTAGTCAACTACATGCCAGCTGCCTTTACTTCCCCAGACATTGGTACTTATTTTCAGCTGGAAAGGCCTGGGAGCCTAGGTCACTTTACCACCCATCATTATCGGGCCAGCAGCAGTCAAGCGTGCTAGCCACTGCACCACCCAATACCACCGGGCCAGCAGCTGTCAAGCGTGCTAGCCACTGCACCACCCAATACCACCGAGCCAGCAGCTGTCAAGCGTGCTAGCCACTGCACCACCCATGATCACCGGGCAAGCAGCAGTCAAGCGTGCTAGCTACTGCACCACCCAAATCTAGCACTAGTGGTTGAAAGAATGGTATCATCACTTGTAATATACAAACCACAATATAGAGGATTTGCAAGTGGGACATAAATATTACAGGTACTGAGGTGTTTTCGTGGAATCAAAATGCCATGAACCCTGTTGTGTTAGGCCCAGATCAGGAAGGAAATGAGAATAAAGGAGAAAAGATTGCAGAAAGGATGAGAGCTGAGGTCTTGCTAGTCACACTCGTCATGGGCTGTGAGGTGTCATCAATATCACCCCAGGAACCTTGACTCTAAAATGTGACCACTGGACTACAAGCCCAACTCACTCCAAAATACCCTATTTTATTCTCATCTCCTGCAGTGCTACCCAGGCCCTCTCCAAATTACCTATCCGTCTGTGTGTGTTTTCTCCCCCCACCCCCCAACTTCCCTTTTCTCCCCCAACTGGCTAACAGGTTCCGGTAAAAGATCATTCTAGTTAAACTATTATCAGATTTTCTTAGTAAATGGTATGTATCTATAAAATTCAATACAAAAAATATGAATCCTTTAGCTGTTTTCATCTCTCATGGCAGCAACTACTATGGCCTGTTCAGAAGTTCAGACAGACTGTTAACTTACCTGGCAGTCAAGGCACCTTCCAGGTAACCTGCAGCAAACATGATCCCTACATCAGTCTGATCTGGCAGGCGAGCCTGTCCAGCGCTGATGTCCAGTATACCCCAGCCAGTGGACAGAATGGTTTCATTGAATGATCCCACTGCTGTAGCTCTGTTCCAGTCTAAAACTCCAGCAACAAACTTGCAGCTTCTGCCCTGACAATAGACACTTCCTTCTTGATAGGAATCTGAAATGAAAGTTTCTAAAAATTGAATAAATATTATTGGAGCTACGCGTCTATACAAAATATTTAATGGGATAATTTTCATGTAACAGAACATTGCTTCCGTCACATCCTGCCAGAAAGAAACTCAATCCACTGCCAGCTCTTCCACCAAATGTACTTTCCTGCCCACAGTGTCTCTTATGTCCACCTCTGTGGTGGTTGGCCCATGCCTCTCCTACAGGTACTATGCCTATCACTGCTCTTTGTAAGGCCATGTGAAATTTCATATGCCAAAGCGATTGACTTTTCCTTCAGCAGTCACCCTTAAAAGGCAGTTGGGACGCTGTTTGCGGTTTACAGCTAGGATGCTTTATTTGTGCCTTTCAGCCCCACAAACATGATTTCAGCTTATCCCCAGTTAGACGGTTTTTACACATGGCTGTTAGAGGGCCGTGGGTCTATCTCACACAGGGAGATAACTTAAGAAACAACTATTATTTTCAACCCTTTATTCCACATGGAAGCATATATTTAATCTAGGATAGTTATACAAATTATAAAGCAATGCAATATGCATCCTTGGCAATGAAAGAGTTAAACCAACTCAAATCAACCTGTTCTGTCTTCTGCCATCACCTGCAGTTCACTCTCCATATACTCACTATATTATTTCTGTTTTTTTAGACCTCACTCCATTTTTTTTTTGGGAGTTTCGGAAACACTGACTGTTTATAAGTGTACTATTATCAGGTTTATAGTTATCTAGAGTTATCCAGAGTGTTCTTTCCTTACCTCAATTCAATGAATTTGCTTAGTTGTCTTCTAAAGCTCTATAATGATTCTGATATTTTAATTCTTCTTATTCCATGCGTCGGCTCTGTGGCTAAGTCGATGCGAACGCTTCGTAATGCCGGGATGCCGGGTTTGATCCCAGCTGCGGGCCACGCGCCTTGCATGGTTTCGACAGTGGTATCAAGAAAGCTGACAGTCCAGAAAGCAATGACAAACTACTGGACGTAAATTGCCTAGAGAAACCACACAACAGCCAGGGGTTGTTAGGGTTGGTTCTGCAACATCCTGTAAAGGATATGCAACTAACCTTATTCCATGCAGGCACCAGTCAACACTTTCAGCACAAGAGAACACATGTTTACTGATTACTCTATACAATCAGGGCTTTTTCCTTGGTAGTACATAGAACCTGAATCTTGTTTTAAGTCATTACTTTGATAGCAATACTGTAATAGACACTTTGTATGAGCACCAGCACATTTTTTCTAGAAACAAGCCCTGTATGCAACTCCTTGCGCTCCATTTTTGTTTAGTTTTCTCTCTAAGCTCCACAAGGATTCTGTCATTTTACATTGGCTAACTTTTTCCGTCCTACTCTTCTGTTAGTTTTATTCTTCTAGCTCTCTGCAATTTTAGTTCACTCATGTAGCTCTTAAGAACATAAACTCTAGTTAGAAAGTGTTGGAGTAACAAGTGTCTGATGCTAAAAGTGTTAATAAATGTTGTAACACTGCTAATTGTTCTAGTCTTTCTGCTCCATCCAGCAGTACTGATTTGATGTTAACTTTATTTATCCTATTACTTGGTTTAATTTTGTTTGCCTCCAGATTTCCTAGTGCTATTAAAGCTGCTAATATCTTTTACATTATTTGTATATCTTTTTTTTCTTCTGCCAGCTGTGTTCAAAATAAATTTAACAACAGTGAAACTATTGAAAATGTTTTGTGTAGTTTATTGCTCTGTAATGATGTGAAAGCGAGGAAATGAATAATAAAACGGAGAAACTGGGCAGAAAAACTCCCCCCCCCCCCCCACACCCCAGAGAGCACAGCCCTTCAGTCATTGCCAGGTCATGCTTTCCTTTGTTACTGCATGCAGCTCACTCATACCCTCCCCAGCCTTTTAACTGTAATCTCTAGTGGGTGTTTTTTAGGTGTGACTTTACTCTTTCGACCCTGTGCGTTCCAGTGCAAAGACTTATATATTGAAAGTATAACAGATGAGAAATAAAACATAACTGTAGACAAAACCAGATCATCTAAGGCAAGAGAACAAGTCTTTAAATTTGTAGGGCAATTTAACAGAAGAGGTGGAACAGAGAAATGAGCCCTACCTTGGAGAAAACCTGACCCAACTGAGGTGCTGCAGATCTCTATGTACAGAAAAATAGGCTCCCCACATGGGTTCGGGGGCCACATTTTGGGGAAAACAAGAACAGCTTCACTGCCTCCCCAACAGGCCTGTCGTATGAGTCAACTAACTGAAGGCAGCCTCTGAAGTAGGAATGCATCTGCCTGTACGGCAAGGAACCAAAAGTCTGCATTCAAATAAGCCAGATCTGTGAAACAGATGTGCATGCAACATTTAGGTTCTGGAACACAACTAAAATCCAGAGGTGGACGAACACCCAGAACTTTCCACCAGCAGGAGCTTAAATTCAGTGAACAGGAAGAAGCTGCATTTCATGGAGACAACAACAAATATAGATGTTTTGAGAGACTGGGTATGAAGAGTTTTCAAGTCAAAATAAAATGACACAACTTGCAGATAATAGCAAAACTGGTGGGACAAGCTGGTTTGTGATAATGAAGCAGAGGACGATGCAGGCAAGAGTATGAGCATGATGAAAGAACAGCAGCCTGGGAGAGTGTCTGCTCTCTCTCTCTCTTTCTTTCTCTCTGTGAGTGAGTCTGCGTGCGCGCGCTTGTGTGTGATGGTGTTGATGATTTGGTGACAATCATATATAAATTTTATATTAACACGGCGATTTTTGACTTTAGACAAATAAAGGTGGTAATGTTTGCGCAGTTGTGTTTGTAGCAAAAGTTACATCGTGATTATCAATTATGATCAAATCAATACCTGTTCTAAAACAGGCACCCAAGGAATATACATTTATTTGAGTACTCATTACAATGACATCACATACTTTGAATACAATTAAAACATTACAATTAACAATGAGCAGATCACCTTTGACTCTGACGGCTACGGCTTGTACATAAAGACTGCAGGCTGCAAGAAGAAACACTTTCAACATGGTGGTTTTGTTAATGCTCGTTCAGCAGATGTTTTATGCAGACAATAGACAGTAAAAATGACAGCTAGTAACCGTCACAGACTCCCCGAACTGGCAGCCACTTATAGAAGACGGCCTGTTACAAAATATCAGCATCACGTGAATCACGTGACATACTCGGGTCAGGCTGACCTACAGGCGGCCCCCAGCCAGGGCTGCCGAAGTTGGAATTTCCGTACACATTTATGACTAGTTTACCCTTGCCGAGAAAAAGTGTACTTTTGGTACCGCGTTATAAAAATTTTGCATCAATAGTTTAAATTTTAGTATTGTGTTGAACCAATTAAAAAAGTTATTGGGAGTATACTAAAAAAAAAAAAAAAAAACAACGTGACGTAATTGTTAATGCAAAGGTGCCATTGGCTATCTTCCGAATAACGGTCCCAAATTATCGAGGCAGAAAAAATACCCTAACAGGGCCTCAGTCACGTGTCAATTGCGCACTTCCGGCGACTTCAGATACCGTCGAGAGTATCCCACGCGTTTCCCTACGCCGCTCACGCGGCGTGGATTGGGGCTAAACTAGATGGCTGGGACTCATGAGAAGCAGCTACCGCATTTGCTGCAGCTCGTGAGTCCTAGCCATATAGCGGTATAGTCCCCGGAAGTACGCAATTGACACGTGACTTAGGCCCTGTTAGGGTATATTTTCTGCCTAATAATTTGGGACCGTTATTCGGAAGATAGCCGTGCCATTTAATGTGACTGGTCTTCTTCTTTTGTCGTCTCATTGATACCAGGTTGTAACCCAGTGTCGTGGTTTTCTGTATTTGTCTTGCGCTTCTCAGGGGACTTGAGTGATATATTTGTTCAACTTTTGGCAGGTTTCATCTAAACCATTTCTTTCTTGATCTTCCTCTCGCCTTCCTCCCAGATGTTCTACTGTAAAAAGTCTCGTATGCAGTTTAGTCTGGCTGCATTCTAACTAGATGGTCGAACCATTTCATTCTTTATCTGTCAAGAAACATTGTGATCGGTCAAGTTCGATTTACTTCACTTTTAAATGCCCGTGTGAGAATGGGGAAAACTAGTAGAAATAAGCTGCGTATACTAATGGGACCTAGACTGCATACACTCGTGGGACGTAGGCTGCATGGAGTCGTGGGACGTAGGCTGCATGGAGTCGTGGGACGTAGGCTGCATGGAGTCGTGGGACGTAGGCTGCATGGAGTCGTGGGACGTAGGCTGCATGGAGTCGTGGGACGTAGGCTGCATGGAGTCGTGGGACGTAGGCTGCATGGAGTCGTGGGACGTAGGCTGAGGCTGTGATAGGGGGTCAGGGCCAGTTCTAGATGTTTTGGAGTCGTTAAAACCGCTCACAACTTGGAATACAAGACCCTTAGATCGTTCACAAAACACAACGTGACATCCCTAGAAGATAGTGCAGCACGTCAGATGGTGAGTGGTTGTTTTCGGACTGAAACGTTGTTTGTATCATTTAAAAAAAAAAAAAAAACTAATCTTTAGTATGCAATTTTTTTTTTGGGTGCGATTCGATTATTGATAATTTACATTAGTTCTTCAGTAAGACTATTAAAAAGTCTGCGGTCCATGGCAGACCTTCGAAGATAAATGGGGCCCGCAGATGTTGGCTAACGAGGAACCACTAGTTGACCCACTTAATGTTTAACAGCAGAAATGGCATTGTGGTCAGTTTGCTTTCTTAACCAAGACTTTAGCCTGGGTTGATTCCTTGACAGTTTCAAAACCACACCCTCCCCAGGGCAATTCTCTTTGTTTCTAAGTTCGTTGATGGGAAATAATCCCGATCATGTTCAACCCCCCCCCCCCCCCCACCCCACCCCCCACCCCGAGCTAGGGGGAGCTATCGGTTGTATTGTGATCAGTGGTGGTTTTTTTTTTTGTGTGTGCACCATATTCATGTCTCATAAGTGCCAATAAGTGCCTGATAAGAGCTCTTGCAGTGTTGATGCGATGACCGAGTCATCTATTGGCAAACCAACAAGCCATTTGGGCGTCGATGTGTTTCTCGGTCTCACTCAATTTCTCCTACAGCAATAAGGCATGCACGCACTCATGTAGACCGGGAGGTGATGTTTTTGAATCTCAATCATGTTGTCTGAGTTTAGCTCATTTATAAACTCAGCCTGCTTTGACACGCGGGAATGTTTTGAGAAGTAAAGGCAGCCGAGGTGAGATTATACAACCACTCAATGAATTCCGACTAATGGTAACCCAATATTTTCATAGGCCAAATGGCACTCGTCCGGTAATGTGGTCAAAATCATGCCAACCATTTTTACTTCTCCAGACATTTACTGGTGCATCCAATTTTTTAATATGCCTACATCTAAAAGCCCAGGTGATTCACAATTCCTCCTCGATATGTTGTTGTGTGTGGCTACATACGAAACCGACCCGAGACTGAAATCAAAGTATGTGGACTGTGGAGACGTGTTCCGTCTTTGAGAATCACGGAGGTAGATTGCCCCACGGATGACTGTGCGAACTGTATTTGCGGATGGCAGTTTCGCTTAGCCGTCTTGTCTTATTTTGCCTGGTGCAAGGATTTTGAGGAGGTGATTTTTTTTTCCTCAGCGTATCTGCTGGACATACATTTTTTTGATTGGGAAAATGGTGAAATAAAGTATCAAAGTGGCAGGAGACACTATGACCATAGCATGGAGATCTGCGTATACGGACCTATAGGTTATAGTAGCCTGCACATCTTGTATCAACGTGAAAGGTAGATGAGCATTTGTCATTAGAGACAGATGGATAGACAGACATATAGATAGAAATACAGACAGATAGAAAGACAGGCATATATCATCATCATCATCAGGTGCCTTGCCGACTGGCGTGGGCGATCATGCCTCTCCATAATCCACGATCTCCTGCAGCATGTATCAGTTCGGGTGCCGACACACATCCATGCCATACAACAAGATGGATGTATGTAGCAAGCAAGAATTCTTTTTCTAACTCTCAATGACAAGGATATATTGCACAAGAAGTTTTTCATTTTATAAAATGCAGTTTTTGCCTGTCCAATTCTGTTTCTTGGAATTATATAGACAGATAATGTGTGCAATCCGAAGACTCACACTATTGACGACCGCTAATGAACATGAGATATGACTAGAGACACGACGTCACTTGCCGACAGAAAAATTGGACCGAAGACGGTTACAAGAGAAGTAGAAATGACGGAGGCTTGTATTGATATGTTCCGGATGCCGCAGTTCGCGGGAGAGCTAAGTCTCTGAGCTCCATGTTGGAGGAAAGGAATTATCCTACCGTCGTTGTGTACAGCGATCGTAACATATTCAGTTCAATGACTCACATTATATCTGTGGGGCATTGCTGAATAAACGTATTGATATTGCTTGTCAACGACGTGTTCTTATATGTAGAAGTTTCAACAGTTGACCTTGTTGGTGGCGTTTTTCTACCTGTCATTGGGTTTGGCATTTGTTACCCCTAGAGTAATAAGTTACTTGGACTTAGTACGGCTTGGACCTGGGACGACATTTCAACGGAATAATCTATGTACAGTATGAGATAATAATAATAATAAACGCCGTACAAATAGATAGACAGATATGGTAATCTGGTAATCCTAGTTTCAGCTTCATAGCAAACGGGTCACCCCATAGTTGCAGATAGACAGATAGATAGATAGACGGATAGATAGACAGACAGACATATAGATAGACAGGCAGATGGACAGAGGGGAAAAAAAAGGGGGGGGGGGGAAGAGAATTGATGTTCCGCAATTTGGATTGAAGACTTTATGGTGTTATTCGTTTTTGTAAGTGCTGTTTTCTTGAATACACAGACCAGATACATCGCGAACAGCCTTGCCAGGCGATATTTCATTTTGTTTTTAAAGTTGCTGTATCCAGTTTGTCCTACATGAATTTAGTTTCCAGAGTGTGTCTGAGGAGCCCGTTCACTGCCAAAGACCATCCTCACCCTAGATTTGGTTTGCTGTTCACCATTCACTCTGTTCACGACAACCTAATTATAGGCTACCCACTACACCTCAGGGGTGTTCATTCCTATATTCAGCCTGCCCTGTCGGCTACAGATTGAGGATTTAAGCCTCAGTCATCCCTCGCTATCAACCAGCACATCACATGTGGATTGAAACTAATGATCACCATGCCCAAAGATAAATATTGTAGCCACTGTGCTTCATTTGGCCTCTTCTGCATTCATCATCCGAGCCAACTGTCATCTCTAACAATAAACAATCTTAATAAAAAGTCATATAAGTGTCTCTATATTTCAGCAACTGCAGCATTTTGTTTTTGAGGTTAACAGGTGAAATATTCAATCTAACCCCTATAGGCAGTGTATTTGTTCATCTTATTCGCTACACTATCCAGAGAGTTCCGCCCAAAGTTCATTCCACTGCCAATATATACTATATAATTCTTAGGGGTTATGACCTCCTTCAACTGGTGCAAAGCTGGTTCATTTCATGGTCTAAACCAGGTCTATTCAACTAAGTTTATCAAAGGGCCACAATTTTGAAAATAAGGATCATCACATGACAGAGACCCAAGCCCTAGCACAGAAGGATCACAAATATAATACAAATTGCAATGATCCACGGGCCACTTGCTAGGTCTCCACGGGCCAGATGTGGCCTCCGGGCCACCAGTTGAATAGCCCTGAGGATCTTTTATTAGATAAGATCCTGTTGTATACTCCCCCTGATTCTAGACTAGTGGACTGGATCTCTAGTCCATTTAACCCACTAGGACAACCCGTTAAGTATGGACGCTGCGCCCACGGAAAGAAATTGAAACCTAATGTGAGTACTCGGCAAAGAAAAGTCATGTCTACCAAAATACAACAAATAGTTTGAATATGTGTCAAAACTACCATCAGTTAGTGCAACACAGAAAGCCCGGACGTTGACCACACAAGCCGCAGGATAGATGGAGTATCCGAAGCCATAAATACCAGCATCTTCGTAGCATATACCA